ACCTCTTACACATGCAAAATTCATTAATTCACTGTATTATTATTATTATTCAATTATTTCTTCTTCTCAATTTTCTGAATGTCAACTCTTTTGACAAATTCTTCAAATGCAGGCTTTGCTAGTGACTTAATAAGCTCATCAGCTATGTTTGCTGTAGAATTAACATGTTTCATCATAATCTTCTCTTTTTCAATCAAATTATAAAGAATATGATATCTAATCTCAATGTGATGTAATCTTCATGTTAAGAATTCTCTCTTTGCTAGATTAATTGCTCTCTTATTATCAACTTATACATGTGAGTATATTTTCACTTTTTCATCATTCATCAACTCAGTGTTATATAATATATTATTCAATCAGATTATCTTATAAATTGTCTTACTAACTGTAATATATTCAGCTTCTATAATTAATTTAATAATAGATGTCTGTCTCTGTGATCATTATAAGATTGATAACTCATTAATTAATATAATATAGTCAGTAGTTAATTTGTATTGAGAATTCATCTCTGCTCAGTTCAAATCACAGTATATCACAGATCTCAGACTTATATTATCAATCTTCTTTCTGTATAATATATCATGATTTTTTATCTTCTTGATATAATGTAGAACATGCTTTAATACTGCTCAATATATCTTGTACAGATATGAGTTAAAATATAAGAGATAGTTAACTATGAATATTAAATCTAATCAGCTGCTTGAGATTAAATACTGTAATAATTTCAATTCTTGATAATATCTTATAGCTATAAAGTTATTATTTAATTCATTATTTTTATCAGATGAAAACTTTAGTTATATACCTGTTATTATTGAAATTCTCACAGAATTCATCTTATTTATACTGAAATTTTCAAGAATCTTCTCAATATAATGACTCTGTATAATCACTAGATTATCATTTCTCTGATATTTAATCTTTATTTCAAGATATGACTTAATCTCTTTAATATTCTTTATCTTAAATCTCTTTATAATCTCTCTTAATACTCAGTTTAATTGCTGTTCTTAAGATTCTGTTATCTGATAATTATTAATATATAATATCAGATAGATCTTGTAAACAGAGTGATATAGAAATCTATTATTATAAGATAATATCTTAAATTTCAATGTAGTCAGATACTCTGTTACAAGAAAATATTATACTCTTATAGCTTACTTTATTTCATATAGACTCTGATGAAGTAATCTCATCAAGCTCTCTTTATTATACTTAACATCTGTGAGTAGTTATATATAAATCATCTCATTCTGTGATAGTATATTATTTAAAAACATAGATATATAGTCAATCAATTTAATCTTTCATTCTTTAACAGTTAATATAGTAAATAGACTATATAATATAGGCCCTGATATCACTGCAGTATACAATCTTATATAATGAATACTCTACTATTACAAGAACTATTTAATCACTCAGTGAGCTCTAAAGTGAATGATTTCTCTCTTATTATTGAATTTTCAATTATATACTCATTTATCTATAAGAATATTCATTTCTAGAGCTTTCTTAATAATAATATATATCTTCTTCTGTTTAAATATCTTAATCTTCTTTTTCATTATTTTATATTAATAGTCTCAGTCTGAGCTTTTTTTGACTTCTGTCAGTGTAGTTAATCAGTCTGTCAGAACACTTAGAACAGAATTATTCTTATTAACAGAGTCTTTAAACTCTTTATTTATAATAAGCTATGTCTCATTATCTAGAAGATAGATTGAATTAATTACACTCTTTAAGTTCTTATTAACAATCATTTTCAAAATATCTGACTTTTTCTTCACTAGATATTATAGTAAGTAGTACTGTTATTTCTCTCTGACATTCAGAATATTTAATTTATTAGATAATTCATTGAATTCTCTCACTATATTCACAGATGTATTTATATTCATATCAAGAGCTTTATTAAATATGATATCTCATACAATCTCAAGACAATGTACAACAGAATTTCACACACAATATTAGTATAATTCTTAGTATTCAATCAGCTGTTATTTCTTACTATCAGTTCTATTTATAAGCTTATTCAATACTTTTAAATTCTTCTTATAGATCTTACACTCTCATCTTCATATTCAATAAATAGAAGATTGTATCTCAGTTCATACTTTAAAAGATATAAGTGATATTTCTTTCTTACATTCAAATATCTTTATTAATATTGAGAATGTGTTAATTATTATAATTATAACTTATATTACTTCATCTCAAAGTTCTCTTTCTAATTCACTATTAAATAGTAGACTTTATATCTTTTCTATAACTATTTAATTCACATATTTCACTAGATCATTTAATTGTGATATATCAGATATAGTTATTTCATATATTATTTCTTTACTCTGACAGTAGATTTTAAGTTCTTGACTTTTAAACTCTTCTTCATTATTTCAGTGTAGAGTTTTAACTTGATGTTATATAGTTATTTTAATACTTATAATGAAATTCATTAATCTTGCAATAGATTCTTTCTTTCTTATTATAAGAATTACTTATCTATAACAGATTATACTATCTGTTATACTTAATCAGTAGCTTACACTCTCTCTAGTAAGAGTGTTATTCTTATTGAAAAGTGTTTTTTCATCTTCTATCAGATTAATGAAGAATCTTATTATCAGTTTAACAGCTCATATCATAGATATGAAGATTAAATGTGTTATTTTTATCTATATACAGATCTTACAGAATGATAAAGCTCTGTCACTTTTTATTCTCATTTCTAGTCATGAATTCACTGTCATTTTTATAATATCTGTGAGATTCAGATGTTCTAGCTTTTAATATTATTATATTATTGTAAGTTCTATAATCTTTGTATTATTTCTTTTAAATAGTGTTAATATTATATTATCTTTCATCTGTAATATATTTACAGGTTTAAAATCATCATTGAGTATAGTAAATCAGATTAAGTCTTTGTATATAATCAGTCTTTTTATCTTATAGATATTATTCTCATTTAATCTTGCTGTAAATAAGAATATACAATTGAGAGATATAATTAATATAGTATGATTATTCTTATATATCAACTGCTTATAGATATAACTCTAATATATAAGCTTACTCATACTTATAAGATTCACTTCTAACTTCAGAATATAGTGAATATTATTTAATAGTATATTTACTTCTTTCACTGAAATCTTCATATCTTCTATAACTGTAGCAGAGATTACTATTTTATCTATTATTTTCAATATCACTTTCATCTTCTAAGATTTTGTTATGATAAGATTTCTATGAGATATAATATAAGTACTTAATTCAGAGTCTAGAATTCAGATATCTCTTTCTATCTAATTACTTATATAGATCTTTTCTTTAATATAAAATACTTACTTTATAATATTATAAATAGAAGTAGTATCTGTATTTTTTACATTCTTATCTTTATTCTTATTTCTATTGATATTGAAATTCAAATTTAAAGAATGTTTCTCAGAGTATTTCTTTCAATAGTCAGTCTGAATATAATTAATCTTTTAATAATAATAGTAGATTCTTATATTATTATCTCTATATTCAGATTTAAATTCAGTGTTCTTATTCTTATTATTATCTTTCTCTTTATTCTTATCTTTCTTATTCTTATCTTGTATATTATTGATAGAATTTCTAGATATATCAGTATTTACTTTATTCATAGTAGAGAGTTGTAAAAGAATATTATAATACAGACTTATAAAATTATTCTTTAAAAGTTAAGTATTATTTTTATCAATTTAATTCATTTAATTTCTTATAAATAAGACTCAATCTTTATTAACTTCTATAAGCAGTCTGTTGAAAAACATAATATCTGAAATCTTATATTCTAGATAAATATAATCAGTTCTTATAATAATCAGATATTTAATAAAAGTATAATCTGAGTCTTTTAACTTAGTAATCATATTAATTAGTTTCTTAAATAAATAGATTCTGTAAATAGCAGATCTCTCAGAAAACTTATTCTCTATAATAGTTTATAAAGTATAAGTAGATAACTTAAATTTCTTTAATATAGTGAAATAAGTCTTAATCTGCAGAGTAATTACAGATTATATATAATTATATAATTAAAGATTATATTCTTTTCAGAAATATTATATATTTATAATAATATTTTTATCAAGATTATTATCTTTAAAAATATTATCAGTTTCAGACTATTCTATAGTTAAAAGAATTTTCTCTCTTTATATTAAATAGTTAATAAATTCAGTGAGAACTATTAATCTTTTAATAAGTCTTACTTAACTTCTGAATTCTTTAAAAACTTTTATTATAATAGATATCTTTTCTTTCTATTAAAAATATTCTATCAGATCTGCTTCTATTTTATTATTTACAAAGTTACTTCTACTAATCTTTATCTACTTAATCTTATACTGAAGTCTTGTAATTTCTAGTCTTATATAAGTCTTCTCACTTACTAAGCTATTATTATTTCAGTTATTTAAACTCTCTGTATTATCTGATATCTCACTGATATCTTTAACTAAGTCTTTATATATATTGAACTTATCAGACTATTTCTCTGTAATGATTTCATTCAGCTTAAACATCTCTGAAGTAGTTACTTTTCAGTTCATTGCAGATATTAATAAGCTCACATTTAATTCTTCTTATACTTCAAATATTTGTGAATTTCTTCTTCTATATATTAATATATAATTCTTTATTAAGTCAGACTTTTCATCTGATCTCAGATTTATCATAAGTTTAATTAATTAATAAATTATCTAGACACACTTGTAATGATGTATAAAGATGTCAATTTAGCACATTATTGCAGTTATTCATTGCTTGCAAAGGGCTTCATAACCTCTTGAAGAATAACATTGTTGTGTTGTGTTGTAATCTAACTACGCGAGTTACACTAAATAGGTTGGGGTGGCACGTGACTAGGGTAGGTGTAGTAATCACCAACAATTGTATACTCTTGGCATATATCTTGGCGGCTGACTAAATCGAGCTCAGCTTGGATGAGGAAATCAAACATCAAACACATCAAACCGACCAAACTGCTATTGCGTTGCTCTTCGCCAGATCACATTCCATTGAGCACGACAAAGATACCAACCTCCTCCCTCACCAACAACTATTTAGCTGCTCATCCCAACTACCAGTACCTCGAAGGATACATTCCGGGTTCATCACCTTGTCTTCTCATTTCTCCTGTTTCGTTGTCCGCTCTTCAACATCCAGGAAGAAGAAAACAACCTGTTGTCGCATCCCCCCCCCGTACCTGGCGTAAGCTTGCCACAATGGTATGTTGACTGGTCCCCTTCATTGCATAGCTTTAAACTATCCGTAATTTCCAATACACTAGATACTCACCTATATGCGTCTACAGGGAAATCAACAGTCAAATATGGGTGGCGGCGGCCCCGGTGATGGCCAGGATGACAAGGACAAGAAGGTACGCTTTTTCCAATAACCTCCCCAAAAGCTCTCAGCATCTTCACGCGCCTACTATCCTTACAATCGAGAGTATATATACTAACCCCGGAACAGAAGGAGAAGCCAAAGTATGAGCCTCCTCCACAGCCAACCACCAGAATCGGCCGGAAGAAGCGGAAGCAGGCCGGCCCCAACGCCTCCGCAAAACTCCCTGCCATCTACCCAACTTCCCGCTGCAAACTGAAATACCTCCGCATGCAACGCATCCACGACCACCTGCTACTTGAAGAGGAATATGTCGAGAACCAAGAACGCATCCGCAAGACAAAGGCTCAGGCGTCTCAACGCCCCGCAACCAGCGATGATCTCGAGTCCCTAGATCGGAATGCAGACGAGCGAAGCCGCGTCGATGACATGCGCGGGAGTCCCATGGGCGTCGGTAATCTGGAAGAGATGATTGACGACGACCACGCCATCGTCTCCACCGCGACTGGGCCAGAGTATTACGTTTCCATCATGTCCTTTGTCGACAAGGACCTCCTGGAACCTGGCGCGAGTATCCTACTGCATCACAAGTCCGTCTCCGTCGTTGGCGTTTTAACAGATGACGCAGACCCGTTGGTCTCCGTCATGAAACTAGATAAGGCACCTACGGAATCCTACGCGGATATTGGGGGACTAGAGTCTCAGATCCAGGAAGTTCGAGAAGCCGTCGAACTCCCTCTGCTCCATCCAGAACTGTACGAGGAAATGGGTATCAAACCGCCCAAGGGTGTCATTCTCTATGGCGGCCCGGGGACGGGGAAGACACTGCTGGCCAAAGCCGTCGCGAACCAAACAAGCGCCACATTCCTACGAATCGTCGGTAGTGAATTGATACAGAAATACCTGGGCGACGGGCCCCGATTAGTCCGCCAGATTTTCCAGGTAGCGGCCGAACACGCCCCGTCCATTGTCTTTATCGATGAGATCGATGCGATTGGAACGAAGCGATACGAGTCTACATCAGGTGGCGAGCGGGAGGTGCAACGAACCATGTTGGAGCTGCTCAATCAGCTCGACGGCTTCGATGACCGCGGCGACGTCAAGGTGATCATGGCCACGAATAAGATCGAAACCCTCGACCCTGCCCTGATCCGCCCAGGCCGTATCGATCGGAAGATCCTCTTTGAGAATCCTGATCGTAAGTTGTTTCCTCCTCTGTTTCCTCCTCTCCTACCCCAACCTTGTATTTCGCTATTTTACTAACCACTCACACACCCGCAAAACACAGAAAACACCAAGAAAAAGATCTTCACCCTGCACACCTCCAAAATGTCCCTAGGCGACGACGTCGATCTCGACGAATTCATCAACCAAAAGGACGACCTCTCCGGTGCAGATATTAAAGCCATATGCTCCGAGGCGGGTCTGATGGCGCTGCGCGAGCGGCGGATGCGTGTGCAGATGGCTGATTTCCGCTCAGCGAGGGAGAGGGTGCTGAAGACGAAGAGTGAGGGGGAGCCAGAGGGGTTGTATTTGTAGTCTTCTTTTTTTTTCAATTTTAATCAGGTTGATTTTTCTGTAGCGGTAGATGGTGAGATAGCCAGAAGGGCATGGATGTGAGGCGACGGAATGGAATGATTAACTTTGAATAAAATGATTAGTTAGCGGGGATCCCCCCCCGTTCTACTGCTTGCCTTTTATATATATATATATTTATAGTAGAGCAGAGAAGGGAGACTGTTTTAGATTTTCCTTTGATGGAAATAATAGCTCTTCTTTGCGTAGAGGGGGCTAACTATAAACTATGTGGGTATTGAGGAAGTATAGAGGAATGAGAAGATGTATGGTATGGTGCTTCTGCTGCGGGAGGGAGGGGAATTACTTTACAATTGTGAGGAAGAGTAGTTGGAATTTTTCTACAGAGGATATTGTTGATAACAAACCCCCTTTCCCCTCCTCCTCCCCCTTCCCCCCTCTTGGGCAAGTGTATATGGCCATAAGGACCTATGCAACTAAAATCATGAGCTACAACTCTGTTTGTAACTCTGTTTGTGCTGGAGATGCGACGGCCCTTGAGCAACCCTGTCTCTTCATCATGTCCTTGCTCAAGCACAGCTTCTTTTCCAAAGCCATTCTTTGTTCGGTGGATGTTGATGCTGATTAGTAATTCCCTGCCTAGTTACAGACTTCTTTGACATCTGCTAATACAATGTCAATCATATCATATCACAGATGGTGCAGAAGCCTCCTGAAGCCAGCCTTGGCCCTCCTTTCTCCTTCCAGTTTACTAGAGTTAGAGGTTTTGCGGGGAAGCTCTATCCCTCCCCATGCCATGCTAAATATTAACTTCATAACTTCAGGAACTCCAGATGTCCGTCCCTCCCCCCCCACAAATGGCCCGGCTCCTCGGCTCGCTGCCATGGGTAGCTCATCTCCAGCCAAGGTCCCGTCGCTCTTTGCGGGGGCATGCGGAGTAGGGAGCAACTCTCCCTCGGGTTCTAATCAGTGATCAGCTTCAGCGCCGCGTTTTCGTCGCATTTGGCGCATACTGCTGCTGTTGTTCAGATAGGCCCCCGCCCTCTCCGGCCGTGCTGCCATTGGGGCCAAATATCTCCTTGCCGGGAATGGATTTGTATTGGTGCTATGAGCATTATTACATGCACAATAGTTAACTAAATGGTTAGCTAGCTTCGCTGCTCGTCTCACGTCATCATAATACGCACAGCGGCACAGGGCTCTTATAGACGCCGATATTCAAATAAATATTAAATGCTGTGTGCTTTCTCTAGACTCGATTTGTTTGCACCTTGCACTATTCATGTATAAACTGTCCGTCTTCTTCTTCTTTTTTTTTTTTTTTTTTTTTTATCTTGACGTTGAGGACGGTCCGTTGTGTTAACAACTACTCCGTCAATCAAACACAACGGGGTTTTGTTTCCTTTCCACTCCGCCTCGTATACGATACCCCCCTTGGAACCTATTAGAGGAGATTTTAGAGCATTCTGCAGAATACGCAAAAGACTCTTATTCTTAGGTTATCTTTTTTCTTCCTTTCTCTCTTCTCTCGCCAATCGTGATATTTCAGACAAGCCCTACTTTCCCCCAACTTGCAATCATGGAGTATTTCAAACCAGAACGATACCTAGACTTGCCCTCCAAGGATATACTTTCGTGGATTTTCGACAGTCCGTCGTATGATCAAGATAGACCGGTGAGCCTCAATATTTTTGCAATGTCTATAGTAAATTTTAAGTTGTTGTCTGTATCGATAACAGAAAAGAAAGAAGCTAACTCCAGGCATGTATATTTCTTTCTTTCTAGGTCTACATAGATGCTAAAGATCCCTCTTGCTCGATCTCATTCAATCAAGCTAGAAAGATCATCCGGCAGCTCATTGCGGGGCTGAGGGCTGCTGGGTTCAAACAGGGCGATTGCCTCAATATACACTCCTTCAACGATGTATGTGGTTCAAATCAAATTGCACTCCTGGCAAACTGCGCTAAAGTCCCCCAAATTGAACCGGGGAGAAAAGCGGGAAATAAAAACGACGGGAATTTAAAAGATGGAGATTTTGGCACCCGAAATTCCTATATATATCAAATGTTAACGGGGTACAAATAGGTCTATTACTCCATGATCTTTCTCGCCGCTGTCGGCGCAGGTGGTGTTTTCGCAGGTACGAATCCGGGCTATACGCAATTCGAACTTGCCCATCATATCAAGACTGCGAAAGTATCGTTTTTGATTTCAGAGCCGGAAATCTTGGACAACCTCGTTGCAGCAGCAAGGGATACCAATATCCCGACCTCGAACATCTGGGTATTCAATACGCAGGGCCGACCCGTACCGCCGAGCCATAGGTCATGGACTGAGCTGCTAAAGCATGGCGAGGCCGATTGGGTTCGTTTCGATGACCCCGAAATCTGCAAGAATACCACGGCTGCTCGTCTTTTCAGCAGTGGGACGACGGGCTTGCCGAAGGCTGCAGTTATTAGTCATCAGAATTTGATCGCTCAGCATATGGTAGCGGAGGAAAATAAGAATATTACCTTTCAGGTACGTTACGTTATCATTATCCCCCTAACTTACTTTTTCCAATAGACAGCAAACAAAATGTCCCCATACACTGAATCATAAATTCATCAGAACAGAAAAGCAAAATATATGTATATCTGACACTTTGCATAGATTTCCCGAGTGGTAGCAATTCCATGTTTCCACGCTGCAGCCGTGCCGGCAGCTCATGTCAGCGCTCTGAAGGCCGGCCATGCACTGTATATGATGCGACGCTTCGAGCTGCTACCATTCCTAGAAGCATGCAAAAAATACAACGTCTCTGACATCATCACCGTTCCCCCCATGGCTGTCGCTATCGTGAAATCGCCATATGCCACAAAGTTGTACTTGAAAAATACGAAAAAGGGCACCGTCGGTGCAGCACCGTTGGACAAGGGTGTCCAGGCTGCCTTTCGGTCCATCATGGGCCCCGGCGCGAGCTACACGCAGGTGTGGGGCATGACTGAAACGACTTGCGTCGCGACAAGGTTTGCATACCCCGAAAACGACGATACGGGATCTGTGGGGAGGCCAGTGGCATCGCTTGAGATGAGGTGAGTTTTTGATCGCTCCTCACCCCTTTCCCCTTTGCCTCCCCTTTTTTTTCTTTTTCTTTTTCTTTTTTTTTTTTTTTTTTTTTTTTTTTTTTTTTTTTTTTTTTTTTCCTTTTCTTTCTTTTTCTTTTCTTTTGGCGCTCTGATTTTTCCAATTCTAAATAAATGTTTTACCTAGATTAATCGACGATGATGGCAAAAACATTTCTGCCTATGGCGTGCGGGGTGAAATCTGCGTACGCGGCCCCACAATTATCAAGGGCTATTTCGAAAACCCCGGCGCGAACGCTGAATCCTTTGACGGCGACTGGTTCAAGACTGGCGACATCGGCTACTGCGACGAAAAGACGAAGAAATGGTACATCGTCGACCGGAAAAAGGAGCTGATTAAAGTCCGCGGGTTCCAAGTTGCGCCTCCGGAGCTTGAGGCGGTGCTACTCTCGCACCCGCTGATTATGGACGCGGCGGTCATTGGCGTGTCGTTTAAGGGGGATGAGGAGGAGAAGATTGAGCACCCGCGCGCGTACGTGGTGCGCCAGCCTATCCCGGCCAGTCGGGAGTTGACGGAGAGGGAGCTGCAGGAGTTTGCGGGGGCGAAGTTGGCGAAGTATAAGTATTTAACTGGCGGGGTGAAGTTTGTTGAGGCGATTCCGAAGAATGCGAGTGGGAAGATTTTGAAAAGGTTGCTGAGGGAAGAGGCGAAGAAGGAGATTGAGCAGGGCTTGGTTTCGAAATTGTAAATTTCTCTATTCTTGAGTCGAGATTGGGTGGGGGGGTCTGTATGTTTTCTTTACCGGACGTGCGCCTGGTGGAAACACGACAAGTTGGACTATTCTCCTCTATCTAAAAATCACGTATGTGGCAAGTTCAATCATAGAATATTGCCGACTACTTGAATTTCCGGAGGAGGGGAATCAGATATTGCGGCTGAATGCCCTTCATTAAACACTAGGCTTTTCGAAGCGGGAAGTACCGTGCAAACCAACCTTCGGATGAGTGCCATGCTCCCTAGTAGAGCAAGGATGGCTTTCTGATTCTGATACTCCTCCTCCAGTATTCCGCTTTAGTCCGATGGCAAATACCAACCTTCACATTAGTATTGACGTGTTACCTCATTGTTCATAGAACGCCTCTATCACCCTTGAATACCATCCAGGATTCCCCTGCCGATATAGCCTCACTGCAGAAGCTAAATCTTGCTGTTTGAGAGCAGGCGGGATCGCAGAATGGATCAGTAGGGATAGGCTAGATATCTCGCATGGTGCCAGTGAAGGCTGTCTCCCAAACGATGACACCCAGTAAAGCGGTAACCGTGCCATGCTTACTCACTCTCTCTAGTGAGTGCGCCACGGCGTACGGAAAACCACACCATACAGAAAATATTTTCAATATCTTCATTCTTTATCTTCAAATAATCATCATTAATTATAACCATGTCTAAATCTTCTAATTACACTGAGAAGCAGTTGCAAAGAGCTGTTGACGCGTACAAAAGCAATTCAAAATTAAAAATCATATCTCTGTCACAAGAATTCAAAGTCCCATATGTCATCTTATATGGGAGGATCAACAGAAAGAAATCAAGGACTATGAGGGTTCCACTGAATTGAGCATTGAATGACAGTCAGAAAGAGGCAATTAAGATATGAATTCATCAGTTGAATATTATTAATGAGGCCGCCTGCTACAGATATGAGCAGTATGATGACAGACAATTCCTTGCTAATCTGGAGAGTGTCTGACTGCAAGCATTCAAACCTGGCACTGTGAGAGCTGGCTTTGCTGACCATGGAATGTATCCAGTTAATTGTGATATAATTCTCAATCAATTGAGACCTCTTACCATTGATGATGCCCTGGATCTCAACATATACAATGTTGATGGTGATGGTGATGTATGTAATCACTTTACCCTGCCATCTGCAGATCAACTGTCAACTGCCTCCTTGCAATTAATCTCTCCAGAGATGGTTGCAAAACTATGTCACCAAATCAATGCAGCAGTCAAGGCCTTAGAAGATGTGAAGGATACCCTTACACCTGGTTTGACAAGGCAGTTGAACAAGATCTTCAAGGGTAGCATGGTCCAGGCGGAATTGAACACACATTATGAGGGTGAACTTGCAGGTCATTATCAAGCAAATAGATATCAGGTTGTCAAATCCTCCTGCAGGCAGGTGCAAGTAGGTGAAGTCCTTACTATTAAGGATGTCAATTGCAAGATTGCAATCTGTAGAGCAGATGAGATGAAAAAGATGTTCAATAAGAATCTTCAATTAATTGAAATCAAATCTACAAAATCTACAGTCACTCAACCACAACAAGATAATTCTATAGAATCTCAATCTACAGTGGATTCTACACCTTCTAATGAGTATATAGATAATCCTTATGTTATAGATAGATGTGGTGATGGTTATTAATTAATTTTTGAAGATCAATATATTCAAAATATTTTCTGTACAGTGTGGTTTTCCGTACGCTGTGGCGCACTCACTAGAGAGAGTGAGTAAGCATGGCACAGTTAGTAACTTGTTGAAAACCATGTTGCACGTGTACATGTACATGTACATACATACATTGTGTCCAAAAGGTCACCATGGCATAAGGGGGGAATTGGACCGCCAAAGCGGACAGAAATATGTGCGGCCATGTTATTGATTTCTAGCTTGAATGCCGACGCAGAGGCCCATTGATTCATCCGCAAACTGGATTATATTGCCCGAACTCCAAAACACTTGCCATCTCGTCTGGACAAAAGTTTCCGCCCCGCAACAGAGGGAGACATCCCAAGTCCCAACACCACCAATCGCATTTTGTCGGAGACTTAAGCAATGCGAACCATATGGATCAAACCAAGGCTGAGGGCTAAGAAAAGTTTACATTCGATTCCATTCCATGTCGCGTTGAAGTGAATCCCAATCGGTGGATTCCAGCAATTTTTCGGCCCTTATCCAAAAATAAAATGTCGCCTGGCGAAAGAAAAGTAGGACTACCGGTATAACCCACCGCACGAATCACCGTCCCCTTGAACATTTGGCAGTGTCAAATGCACGGCAGGTTGTAACTGATGGTTGTAAAACACCTACGGCCACCTTTGCGCGTAGAGAGCTAGAGAGGCGGGAATGACCCCCTTCTTCTTTTTTTTTTTAGCAGTGTGGACACAAGCAGAATGAAAAGTGAGGGACTTACTCACTGCAGAACTCATCTGACAAAAGTGGTCGCAACACAGTTGTTGTAGAACACCAGGAAGGGAAACGGTCTTGCCAGCAGAACCTGGCAAACCCTCCCTCCTCCCTGTGCGGGGAGAAATGGAAAGTTCTGGGCATTGCGCTTGGATTCTAGTGTGGCTGGAAATAGAATTAATGAGGGAGCAATATTAATGAAGTGCTGCTGAGCACTCTGTGGCTGCTACGAAAGAATGCAAGTGGAATATCTGATTGGGGCGTTGATGGGTTGCCCGTGATGAAGCAGCAAAGAGCGTAGGAGGAAGGCCAGCACATACATCAAGCCGTTGTCGCCGGGTGTTGCGTTTCCTAATAGCAAACAATTAGCAGGTTTACGGTAGGGTTTGTCCGTGGCAACATACACGGTTACAGATGTTCATGTAGCACTGAAATACGAAGGGCCTTAAAAACGAAACATTGAATCGGCGTACGTACTAGTCAGCTCACCTCTAGGACTAACTAGTGCCAATGACTTTGAGGGAGATATTTTAAACTACCTAATCTGTAGGTAGGTCTCAGAAAGCTCCAATTCGCCCGTGTGCTGATAGCGACCTGGAAACAAAGAGAGAGGGAGGGAGATAAGAAACGAAGCATTCCATGCTTTAATTTTATATCGTCAAAGATGGGAGATAAATCGTACATGCGAGAAGGCGAGATTGCCATGTAAGCAAGTGAATATATGGATAAGAGCGCGGAAGATACTTCGCAAAAAATCATTGAAACATAAAAAAATAAAAATAAGAAGAAAACGACTTGAAATTTCCAGCATTGCTGCTCTCATAAACCTGCATACTAGCTGTTTCCTTTAGTTCATTTTTTCTCTTTTCTTCTCACTAGAAAATCACAACGAATTTGTACATGTACAATAAAGAGAAGGTAATGATGAGGAATATATAGAAATTTGGCGGTCGTCCAAACAATGGGTGGCAGCTTGCTGCTCGCATACACATGTCTGTCCAAAGAAGCCTCATAGAGGTAGACAGAAGCTTACCACCACCTCCACCAAATAGTGTCATAAATCAGCAGACTCAACTTAGACCCCATCACCCCAGATCCCAACCACACCCATGGAGAAACCCAGGCCAAGCGTCCACATCCTCAGCCTCTGAAACTTGCGCTCTTTCTCCATCTCAGCTTGGACAGCCTCACCATTGACATTCAAATCGTCGTCCGATTGCGGTGTCGCTACGCTCGTGGCTGGAGCACCGGCCGCGGCGGTGGGAGATGAAGCTTCCTCCTCGCCCACAATTTCAATCTCGCTTCCGTTCCCGTTGGAGTCTTCCTCCTCGCTTCTCACAGGTACGGATCCTCCGGTACTAGCGCTCGCACCAGCACGGGCAGATCCCCATGAGATAACACCAAATCCGGATCCGTTGCAACGACAAAATCCACCCAAACTTCCTGATAGCGACCTCCATGTCAGTGTTTCGCGGTTGTACCACCATTCCAGGCCTACCCCGCCAATTAGGGCGGTAAGTGCCGTCCAGATCAGGTACGGGTGTCTTCTACGCGGGGACGACAGAGTGAAGGCGGTGAAGAGAGTAATGGCGGTGATGTGGCTAAGTCTGAGGACATGCTTGCTGGTGCGCACTTGCAGTTCTTTGAGGGTTCGGGAAGCGCTGGAAGCGTCGGGAAGGGATTGGAGGGATGGAATTGCGATCGTGGACGTGGCATATGAAATGCCCTATATATTTGATGATTCGTACATGTGTCAGTCCTTAAACCCGGATTGCCAAGTCTCTATTTATTCTCGGGGGCATTTGTATTCCCCTAGCCCGATGTTCGTTGTATGGCAGTAGGGCCATTGTATGCAGTAATCGTTTAATGGGAGATCACATACGGTTAAGAGGCCCAGGGAAATGGTCCCCACAAACTTGGAAACTGTAATAGGACAAGCCATGGCGGGCGATTGATATCTATTGTCGCATACGATAGACTAAAACTGGTAGATGTGCGCTGATGAGTTTGCCCCGGAGTTCGCCACGCGACGGGCTCACGGATGCTAGGTAGATAGCGGCAGCAACAATGGCTACCCCGCCAATGGGAACTTATGCCCTATAGATAAGAATGTCCTAAGCAGCAAAAAGATGTGGATTAAAGAAAAAAAAAAATCTGTTGAAGGTGTTTTTGCCTGCGGTGTTGTTAGAGGAGAGGTTGATGTCAAGATGCTGGAACAGTCATCTTGGCCTATTTAAATAGCCAATCACAGCAGTCGGGCATTCCATACAGCCAAACCAGCAGGAATCGCATCACATTGCACTCGGAAAACCAAAATATTTCCGTTAGTTCGTTTCCTGAAGAGACTCTGACCCAATCGGATCCTTTATCAGGCATCTCTTTACTCGATATTAGCTCGCTGTCCAGAGGATGCTCCCGACAACGCCAGTTGCAGCGGAACCAACCATCTCTGGGCGCTCACAAGAGCACAAGAGCTGCTCAGGCGGCTGTGCCGAGGCTGTTTTTACCCCAGAAGTCAGCAGAATCGTCATCGCATTGAACCTAAAGATAAGATCGATACTGCGAGTAAACAGAAGCATAGTAGAGGGTTGAATATAATAATGAGATATGGAGCTCCCACCGCTAGGGTATAAGCTTTTGGTCTTTCTCCAGCCTCAGTGCATCAAACAGCTCTTTTCCCGGCAACTAGTTACTCCGTATGCTCTAGCCGGCTGTTGCGCCGAGGTCCGATAGCCCCTAGTTACAAGTTACGGGCGTATAACTACGTCTAGATTCCCCCACACCTGTATCATAACTGTACGTCAACGTTTCGGAGTCCAAGCAAACTGAAAGAGACGGTCCGAATGTCTTCCCTTCGTTCCGGTGGTTAAAGCTCGACAATTATCTTGCCCATCAAACTGTCACATCTCAGGGCTCCTCGGTTCACCCACGTGAACAGACAACCAACATTGCATTGGAACCCGCATCAAATCGCTAGATACAGCTTTCTTCTTCTCTCTAAATCTTCATCTCCAGCATGTCTCTCCCCAAGTCTGCATACGTCAGTGAGGTGTGGAAGGATGGAATCTTTGGTATGCTTCTCCTACCTCCTTATCACCATAGCATAGCTCTCTAATACAGCTACATCCCGAAGTCAAAGGCATCGAAACTAACCATCTCTCTCCGAATCGGCAGATAACAAAGTTGTATTCTGTACCGGCGGTGCCGGTACCATTTGCAGCGCCCAGGTGCGCGCAATGGTACATCTAGGCGCCAACGCATTCATTCTCGGGCGGAATGTCGAGAAAACTGAGGGAATGGCCAAGGACATTGCTACAGCACGCCCTGGAGCAAAGGTTATTGGACAAGGCGGTGTTGACGTCCGGAGCTTTGATAGCCTGAAAAGTGCCGCTGAGCGCTGTGTGAAGGAGTTGGGCGCAATCGACTTCGTTATGTACGTTTATACCCTTCTAGATTCCTTCCCCATGCAATGCAAGAGCCGGGCTAGGAAATTTTACGAGTAAACCTGAGCTTTACGTGCCCCGGTTTCTGGAGGTATGGTGATATGTATGCTAATCTAGATCATTGCCAAAAATTCAGTGCTGGCGCAGCTGGGAACTTCCTTGCCTCAATCGATCAGCTTTCAGTCAACGCCTTCAAATCCGTCATGGACATCGATGTCTTGGGGTCGTATAATACTCTCAAAGCCACCCTCCCTTACCTCCTCGAATCCGCTGAAAAACACAAGTCGGACGGAGTTACTCGTGAGTTCTAGTGTGCAATTGTGCTTGCCGCATACGCGTCACAAAATATACTAATTTTACGTTTTTACCGCCAAACACAGCCTCTCCTACGGGCACAGGCGGACGCATTATTTTCGTCAGTGCAACAATTCACTATACCGGAATCCCGCTGCAGACACATGTCGCCGTTGCCAAAGCCGGAGTAGACTCGCTGTCGAATAACGTGGCAATCGAGTATGGCCCGCGGGGCATCAATTCTAACATAATATCACCCGGACCGATCGGAGGCACAGAGGTACGTTGTCCCTGGACTGCGTTCTTGAAGTTATTTCTAATTTTCGCGTATATCGCTCTCCAACACCGATTGCACGTACCTAATCATTTTAAATAAAACGATATATACACTTACACTTACCTGCGAAATCACCAGGGTATGCAACGTCTCTCTCGCATGCAGGATGCAAAGAGCCAGATGAGTGGAATCCCGTCAGGGAGATGGGGCACCGTTAAAGAAATCGCAGATGCCACCATCTACCTCTTCTCAGATGCTGGAAACTATGTCAATGGCGCAAATGTCGTCGGTACGTAATACCAACAGACACTATTATCTCCCCCCCCTCCCCCCTCTTCTTCCCCTCCGTACGAAACAACGGGAAACCGAATTTTATTTTCCGATTATAGAAAATTGTCTAAATACTAACTGTCCTGTTTTCGGTTACAATTAGTGGACGGTTCTGCCTGGCGTTTCCAGAACCAGGCCAGCAAGGCCGGCTTCGAATATCCGGACTTCCTCCTTTCCGGCCAAGAGGTGACGGGTGTGGCAGGATTGAAGAAATCGAAGTCGAGTCTTTAAAATGCTGTATGGATGTATAAATGTTAATATGAGTCTGAATTAAATTGGATGCTAGGGATGAATTAGATATCCACATTGTTGGTCCCTTTACTAGTTATTTCTATTTCCTATATTTTTGTTGTGCCTAAGCATTCAGTACGGAGTAGTTAATATGTGTATATTTTTCGCTCACGGCACTCAGTTGGATTTGAGATGGGATTCTGTTAATCGGTGCGTGGCCGGTTTCCACCTTATCCTATATCTTTAGCCTCTTGAAGATAAAAAAGATAAAATATTGATAAAATATATTTTTTTATATTAATATTAAATGACTCGGCGAAAAATATAGCCGTCCGGCAGCTAACTAACTATCTGTGTTGGCGCTTAGTCATAAATAATGGGACAAAATAAACTAACTGGGCTAGACAGTCAGCACCAATTACATGCCCTTGTAGCTCAGTCGTAGTAGCGCATGACTTGTAGTAATGAGATCATGAGGTCCGCGGTTCAATCCCGCGCGGGGGCAGGTTATCCTTTTTTTTCTTTTTTCTTTTTTCTCTGCATCCTCTTGATATTTGGAGGGAGCTTTTTTTTTTTTCCTTCCCTTTGCTTCTTTCCATTTCTTATTTTTTGAAATGACGTAAGTCTGACAAGTCTGTTGGTCCAAAGATATAGTTATATGTCTCCTAAGGTGTACGTACACAGGTTGTGTGTACCCCTTGTCTTCACAGTTCTTTCTTACTTTGAACATATCAGCATCTGAATGCAAGCCTGTTGAAATATGCAATTATTGGAGAGTCTGCACTTGAGTTCACAAGAGGCCAAATCTTCACTTGGTTACTCTGGACTTCATACGGTCGAATCGAAAGGACCAGCGAAAAGGACGAGGTGGAAACTTGATCCCTTGCAGGTCTATTGCCCTAAGCCTTGGTATTCTCAATCAACTCACCTTTTGAGAATCCCCCGGTCCAGTTACCTCGAGAAGCTGGAAAACGGCCATTTAAAAGTTCCCGCGCTAGCGGCGGCTGAGTCGAGCGAGTGGCGTTGAACCCAAACATAACTTTTTCCGGCCCTCGCAAATCAAACAATCAGCGCGCATGGCTAAGTGGTTACGGCGTCCCGCTCGTAACGGGAAGATCGTCGGTTCGACTCCGACTGTGCGCATTTGTCGAGTTATTTAAAATTATCTAGTTATTCCTTTTAATTTTTTTGTTATGTTTCCGCTGTTCATTTTCATTTAACCTCTTGGGCTAGGAGGATTTATATATTTTTTGCCAATCGTCCTCATGTCAATGGCATATCCTAGTATTGCTTTTCGTGGGCGGCTGGCTGGAAAGTCTGTGAAAGTGAATTAATTGTGTTCATTTGACGACGTATTCTTTATTAATATTGAGGAATGTACGAGGAAACCATACATTACCTTTGTTTCCCCGGGGCTTGGGAAATAAATACGGCGGGTATGTTGATGAGAGCATGCTATATCTGTATGCTTATATACAGATATCAACTCAGGTTTCCTCGCTAAGACTAACTAACGCGAAGTTGCATCAGAACACAAAGATTATGGGTATATGCAATTGGAATTTCTGCGGGAAACTGTAGTCATCATTGAATATAAGTCACTTGTATATATATACAGGAGTTGTATCGCCAAGAATAACACAGCCCAACGCCTAGCTTTTTGGGATGAGCAGGATACGACAGTGATGTCCATCGTGCGCTCGGTTCTGTGAAGGACTGAGTGTTGTAGCAATTGAAAGTCAAAGGGAGGATTTCATTCATCGGGGTTGAGATAGGTGAATGGCAATGAAAGAAGAAGAGAAATAAAGGGAAGAAAAGAGAGTGAAAAGGGCTAGAAAACTAAGTAGCAAGGAATGATGAGTTATTAAAGATATAGAATGGATAAATGCTCATATGTTATTCGATTAGTCATTCACAGTGTACGAAGTAGATCTCTGGTCTTCGTTTGAACAGCATGGACTGTAGGGGATGTGAGTGATGGCTATTTTATCTCTATTTTATTCTGAAGTATAGCACTAGGGCATGATCTGATAGCAACACAACGCACTCACAGGTGGTGACAGGGGCACCAGTGCTCAGCCAACAGCAACGGCAAAGAGATGAGAGAGCGGGCCATGATAAAGGAGTAATGGCCTTCTATAGAAGATTTGAAACCACTTCCACCTGGTTGTCCGGATAGCATTGCGCTCTGCCCCTATCCTATCTTAACCTCAATGTTTCCTCCAAAGTCTAGCAAAGACAAGAGAGGTAAAGAAGACCGCCAGTCAGCCCAAATGAATCATCATATGAAATGTGTTCTGTCACTGCTGAAAATAGGAGGAGATAGTAACCACGCCAGCTAGTGACAGAGTGAGTGAATGAATGAATAAGTGGACAGATGAACACACCCAGCCCTCTCTTTGTGTTGAGCTTCATTCCCGTATCTTCGAGGGCCACAGATTTCGAGGATATTCTTTCATCTCTTTCTCGATTCCCCCTTTCTAAATTTATTTCATTTCTCCATAGGAGAAGAGAGGTTTGTTTTTGTTCAGAAAACAGCGCATTGGGTTTCTTTGTCTTTGATTTCTTGTACTTTGAATTGCACAATTATTTCCCCCCATCGCTGAGCGAATTTTAACCCACCACCGTCCTTTATTGCCTAGGCTGTGCCTGGCGTGTCTCATCCAAGAAGAAACACAACGTGGAGGCTTGTTTCTTGAGTTATTTCGTCGTTAGTTGGTCATCAAGTCCATTCGTTCAATCTTGCAGCCCGTACCACATTGACACTTGCTTACACCCGAGTTCGAGGCCCATTGACTCGAGCAATCAAAGAGAATAGACAGCAAAGGAAACGTACCTCGATATCACCTGAAAAATAACATCCATTGTCCTCGATTTCGCTTCTAGGAAAGGCTGGGGTGCATCCTTTTGGAGGCCCAAATCCGCCTGGGCGACTAGAGGTGTTGATATTTCCGTCGCCAGCAAAGTCACATCTTCGCAATCGGCGATCTCAATAAGAAAGTTCCTTGTTCGATTTAAACCTATCAACCTCCATATCCGGAGTTTCGGACAACTCTATCCCTAGCAAAGAGGATGAGTCCCTTTTAATCACACACCCCCTTCTCACCTCATATCCCTCGTATTGCCAGTTGACCCTAGGATGGCGAGAAAGACGACCGAGAAACCCTATGGCAACAACATCGAGCAGAACGCACACGTTCAACAAGGCCCAGTGTCTTCGGGAAACCAAACTCAGGGCCGTGCTAATTCCTCAAGGCCAAATGAGAATGCTGCCCTTAAGGACGAGAGTACCAAACGGGAAGCCACACAAGGAAAAGAGAGTAGGAATGTTCATGCGTCGAGAACTAACGAACAAACTTCCGACCAGAAGACATTTATCAAGAAAGATGCCACTCACGGAAGAGAAAACCAGCTAAAAGACACAACAAAACCAGACCTAAAGGGAAAGGGAAATGACCAAAACAATGGAATGGCTAAAGGAAACGCCCCAATCACCAGCGATCGGTATACAGTTGGAAGGACAGCGACTCCTCCACCAAATCGACCGGCCTCGTTTGGTACATACTCGGCCAGTCCAGAAAAGATGTCCGATAATGCCGCCAGGGTTAGCAAGAATGACCGACCAGCCGCGTCCAGCTCAGGGCCAAACAGCACCACTGTCGACAAAATGCAGGGTAAAGCTAAACCGCAAGATCCACGGTCCAGGGGTGAAATGACAAACTTGTCTGCAAAGGCTTGCCAAAGAGCTGCAACGGACCGCAGTACGCCAATAAGTAGCAGACCGTCATCCCCCAGCAAGTTGACTACTGAAACAAATGTTCAATCGGCTCCACGTTCCACGTTAAAGGGTGGAAGAACGAACAACGTCATGGAAGACACTACCATCGCATCTGGGCAATCCACGAAGGCGAAAAAGAAGACCCGTAGAGGCAGGAAGAAGAAGCAGCCATCTACTATGGACCAAGAGGATGCAGCAACTGATAATAGTTCAAAATCTGACGCATCGAGCCCGACTAAGTCGGATGCCCCTTCCAAGACAGCCACCGGGAACAAGTCAATGGAGATTGTAGCGGCTAGTATGAACCCAGCGACTGTTATCGGAAAAGTGGATATAGATACGAAGGAGCAATCGAGCAAAGGGAATTGGGTAAGGGGCCGTGCTCCGTCTCCAGTTAAACGAGATGGGATTGAGCGCACTAAGATCGACGATGTTTTCAATGCCAAAGCCACAGCGCCCAAGAACGAAGAGCCTGTGAATAGTGACCAAAGCCCGGCAAACGGTGGCCGTGAAGAAGAAGCTTTCGCAGGTGTCGGCAGCGGCCAGGGTCCAAGTTTCACGAAGGCTGTTAAAAAACGAAACCGGCCGCGGCCTAGCAAGGCAGAGAAGCTTCCAAACAGGCAAGCTGCTACCCAAGCTGATTCTCGAGGGCTTGAGAACAACACCCAAGATATATATGAAAGACCTGGACTAGAGGATGATACGAATGATCGTTCAATGATTAGTATCGCGGATATACCTTCGGACGACGAACTTGGAGCTGAAAAAATGGAAGAGATCTTCGGAAGAAATGACGTGCCTGATTCGAGCAAGCTGGAGTGTGTTAAGGTCATCATGATGAAGCAAAGCCAAATCATCGCGCGAAAAACTCAGCTGGTGAACAAGTATCACAGAGAAAACGAGGAGTTGCAGGAAACAGTGGGGGAGTTAGACTCCAGTATCTTGACTCAGGAGGACGACAACAGCGAGCAACAGGTACAAATCGACAAGCTAAAAGCGATGGTGGACGAATTTCAGCGACGGCTGCAAAATCAAGAGTCGTTCATTAAAATTGCCGAGCAGGACAAATCTCGACTGGAAGAAGAACTTAATTCTAGCTCAACATCACTCAAGAGCATGGAAAACGAGAGGAAGGCACTCAAAGAATCAGTTTCCAAAATGGAAAAGGATATGGTCCTGATGCAAAATGATATAGCACAGCTAATCGGAGAAAGGCACGGGTTTCTCGCGACGATCAGCAACTACGAATCAGATCGGGACATGCTGCTGTGTCAGTTACAAAATAGCCCTACGCAGGAAGAAAATGTTCGTCTGCAGGCTGAGCTCCTGGAGAAAAATGCTGAGCTCGTTGTTGCCAATCAAAACTTCAATGATTTGCAGAGGGAGTATATAGCCCTGAAAAAACGTAGGGGGAAGGAGCAGGGGAAGCGCAGGTTATCGGCATTGAGTACAGAATTGTCGCTTCTGGGGGATGAAAAGGAGGAGGACTGGGAGCCGGACATAGATCAGAGCGGCGTGGAGAGAAACCCTTTCGCCCCGCTGCCGTCTTCAGTCACGACGCCTACGCTTTTCCAATTTGGCGAACTAGCCACCTATGGGAATGGGGTGGAGAAGAACGAGACTAGGTTGAACATCCTAAAGACGTTCCTGCACCAGACAGACGAGGAAGCTAAGAATTCAGAATCTCCTATATGTCTGAATGCCGGCACTCAGACAGAAATTATACCGAGCACCTTGAGCTCCACACCAAAGAATGAGCCAGAAGTGTTGGAAGCTTCGACGCAAACACCAGCATACGTGGAACATGGCACCCACGGCTCAACCCAGACAAACGTGGTGGAAATGTTGGAGGCTTCCACGCAGACCATCGCAGGGGCCGGCGTGTATGAGCTGGGGATGCTTGAAGCTTCCACACAGACAGTGTGCGAACTTGGTGTCTCTAGAGGGAATCAGACAGCTAAACTGGACACTCTGGAGGCCTCCACACAGGCAGTGTGCGAACCTGGTATCTCTAGAGGGAATCAGACCGTTAAACTGGACAGTCTGGAAGCCTCCACACAGACAGAGGTGGGAGCGAAGGTTCATGAAGTGAAAATGGTGGAAGCTTCTACACAAACCGATATAGCGGCTGGGGTTTGCGAGACGAAAGACGTGCTGGTGCAGACGGAGCCAGTAACTGTTACTCAAGGAAGCGAACTAGCACGGAGTCTGAGACTTGCCCTCATAATGTTTGCTTGGGCCGCTATAATACTCTGGGGACATAAGGAGGATCAGCGATTGTGGCTTGATGCCAATGGTGTGTCCCGAGCCGGCCTTGTAGGTATGAGAGACAGGTCCCTGGGCCCATTTCTATGGATAGAGCAGTTGAGGTATGAGCTCATTGTCTGTTTGCAGGTAGACCGGGTCCTCCCTGGATGAGGGGTTGAATGTTGGGTTGGGTTGAGATTGCTTGTCCATGTTTTGAGGCAAGGTGCATGCTTCCTCTGCCAAATGATGTGTTTTAGGTGGAAATGGGAATTTGGGGTTTTTTCCCAATTCTATCGTAACATTGTCGCGTTTTCATTTTCATTGATTAGCCAGCTTGTCCCCCAGTTGGTAGGGTATTCTGGCGTGGAAATATGTTTCCTTGCATGCTGCACATAAACTGTGAAACGTTCTTGCTTGCTTTATTAGATGCTTCTCTATTAAAGTGTGCGGAAAATTGTTAAAATGAATATATGGACATGAATATTTGCTCAACAATCTCCAATTGGATAACATTATCGGCCGTTGAGGTTACGAAGGCGGGCCGACAATACTCCGAAGTGTTTGGCGCTGTTCCAAAAATAACCCTCGGCAACCTTTAGAGGTTGCGTCACCTGGTTTGATCCGCTCGCCTCCGCCCACGGTACTGTACTGGTACATGGCAGCAGCCTGTGAATTGCGTTGTTTTAGTTGTACCACTTAGGCCTCCTTTGTTCCTCTCCTGTTGGCTTCTTCGGCTCCCTTGCCTCATCACTCCCTTGCCTCATCATCCTTCGTTCTTCGTCCACATTTCTTTCTCTTCATCAGCCCTTCGACGAGCTGTTGAAATACTGTCTACCAAAACTTTTCTTATCAACTCATAACTTTCCTCTTGCTGATTACTATTTTCTTTTGTATCGTCTAATTCATTTTAGGGATGATGCTCCCCGCTCTTTTGGCCGCCAGCGTTTTGGCGCTGCCAGCTTCGTCCTTCTTGATCACAGGTCCCGCTTTCCGAGAGGTCAACGGCAAACCGCACCTGGTGTATGATGCCAATGTCAATAAACTCGAACTGAATGTGAAATGTATTGAGTGTCCGTTCCCCCAGTTCACCAGTGAGGAAAGCCTTCTCTGGGATGATGGGTTTGATAGCTTGATGGTATGCCTCCCTCTCCCCTTTGCTTACATATATATAGTGTTACTTAATGCAGCCCTGAAGAAGAATATAGATACTGATCCGATTCTTTACTCCAGGACCTTAACTTCACTACTGAAGGCACCCGACTGCTTGTGAACAAGGGACAGCTTTATCCCATGTTCAACCTCCCTGTTACCCTCGAAACCGTTCTACATCGTCAGTACGATGACAAGACATCTTTCCCTCTGCCCATCGGCTATGTGTTCGAACGCCTGGCCGTTCAGTCTACCAATGATAAGAGTGGTTCTGAACTACTTCATTTCAACTTCATGGTCATCGACGTTGCCGGATTTCCAGTTCCAGCGGATGCTGTCAGCCTACGTGTGCTCAAGCTACCGGATGGCACCCTCTTCATGCTCGGTGCGGATATTGAAGAAGCGGCCCCGAAGATGTCATGGCGCCAGTGCCGCAGAAGGCCCAAGTGCTTGAAGAAGCTCATCATCGCTCGCATTCGTGCAATTATAGAAGCAGCAAAGGCTAGGGCAAAGGCTGCTGCTGAGAAAATTAAGGGATGCGCTGGCATGAAGGGCGTGACCCACCCAGCTGGAAGCCATCACCATGGTTCCAAGGACCATTCATTTGCCCGGGCATTTGCTCGATCACTTCACATTGTTATTGTTCCTGCTCTTCTTGGCCTGTCAGCGGCCCTCTTTGCCTGCAGTGTTGGCTTCATTGTTGGTCATGGAATTGCAGCTTTGTGGGCTCGTTATCGCCGCTCTTCACGCAACTGCAACAATGCTCGTGTTGAGAATGGTGATGACATTGAGAAGGAGCCCTTATTCGTCCCCGAGGATGATGAGCTCCCGCCGCAGTACGAGGACAAGGACCATGGAGACATTGCTCTTCCCGCGGAAAAGGAGTAGAAGTATTCATGATCAAACTAGCCTGCGTTGACTCGCCTGCAACATACGGATGTCGATGGCTAGCGAGAGATTGAGTGGCGATATATTAAGGGTTTCTACGTTGTTTCTTTTGTTACTGATTGTCTCGTTTCGAAGGCGTTAGAACTGAAATTTCTTTACAAATGTTATCAACTGTCACTCACTGGGCATTTTTCGCCTTTCCTTTTAACTCCCTGCTCTCTTTTCAAAATTCTTTCGCAGGTATCCGTAACTTCTGGTTCCCTTTGTATTTCATCTTGTTCTTCAATATTATGTCTAAACTTTGAGGTAGGTAGTTTCTTTTACAATTTTGCCATGAATCTAGCTTTTAAACACGTTCGAGTTCCCTCAACTGCCCACAGTTTACAAGTAATTGGTGCGTAAATGATAACTGCCTGCCTGTTTCCCCTTTCTGTATATCCTGTCACATTGGATTCCAAGAGATTTGCAGTAATGACACACCTACGCTGTATATATGACCGCCCAAGAAAGTGCAGAGTTGATTAGTACTCTCTCTTCGATTTCCTCAAAGTTGTGGAACTACATTAATCTTAGTATTAACAATACACACCCCAGCAAGCACCGGCATAGAGTATGTAAGCATGAGTTAGTTGGCCTAGGATTCATTCTTTATTCGAATGAACAGCTGGACATGTAATCACAGCCCTACCGCCGGAAAGGAATAACAATGTGCCGACTCCACTTTGCTTGAGCCGCATGTTTGATCTAGACTCCACTTCAGCACTCGATGGCCCGAACGATGCGATTTGGTCTCCAGCTATACGGAGTATTCTACACATCATTGACCCCAGACTAGTCCTTGTCACTATCAAAGGACGACCAAGCTAGTGATCATTAAATCTCCTATCGCGACTGGGGACTGGAGATCGGATCTGTGGTATTTATCATGACTTCCAGGAGCAAACGTTGTCCTCTTTGACCCCTGACGAACCCCAACTCAAGTGAGGTTGCCCGCTATTGGCAACTCGACGGTTCCCCAGAATACCCTATAAAACCACCCGTCGAGTAGTACAACGGAAATAGCTACCCAAAATTTAGGAACTTGTCAGGTGTGAGGGACCATACTATCCTTGAATATCGGTTGCTCAGTCATGTTCCAACTTTCTTCGCTCGTGCAAAAGGCTCAGGCCTTCATTGACCCGTCCAATTTTCTGCTCCCTACTTCCTCTTCTGACCGAAATCCTTCCAAGGCATCTCTCTTCCGGCAGCAATTCCGCCTCCCGGACTCCCAGAATCCGCTCCAAGAAATAAGCGCTGAGCTAGTCTTACCCATCCCCTTCACAACACCCTCGCGCCCTACCCAAGGCACTAAGGATGCGGAACGACCAGGAAATCGATACGAAGGCAATCTGCATCTGAGTGAGCGATTCTTGTGCTTTTCGACTCAGCATACTAGTTTTTTGTCATCTGCTAGTTTTGGGGCTTCTTCAGCGTTCACGGGCCAAACACATGGGACGGGGCCTTCTGGAAATGGGTTTACATTGCCTCTATGCGCAATTCGGAGGGTGGAGCGTTTGAACAGTCTTGGCCATGTATTTTCACTGGCATTGACGACGTGGAATGGAGCGCTCGTAAAGAATAACGCGAAGGACACGTCGGCGACGCCACAACGGTTCACTGTACACTTGATAGGGAGCAGACACGCATGTGAACGGTTCTGCGATGGGTTAAAAAAGGGCTTGAGAGAAGGAATGAAAGATGTGGATAATCTACGGATGGTTGTTGCAGAGTGTCATTCTGAGTACTTGCTCAGTGGGCGAGCGACTAAGTCTAGTGACGCTCCCGACCAGAACGAACAGCCAAGGGAACCCCCTGACACAGGTCTGGGATTGGTGTTCAGGTATCCTGGAGATGCTCGGAAACTAAGAGATCGAAGTAAAATGAGGTTATGGGGAGAGTATTTTAGAGGTATGTGGAATGTATCTTGTATACGATTTTTGCTTGGACGGTTATTGATTTCAAGTAGAAAACGGCCGTAACGCAACCCTGATTCGTCAACCGACCTTCCACAAATTAATACGCGTTGGCCTTCCCAATCGGCTTCGAGGAGAGATATGGGAGCTGACGTCCGGGTCATTTTATGCACGCATCCGATCCCCAAAATTATATACAGAAACACTGTCAAAATTTTCTGGACGCGAGTCCATCGCTATAGACGAAATCGAAAAGGATCTGAACCGTAGTCTTCCTGAATATCCAGGATTTCAAATCGAAGAAGGAATTGGCCGGTTACGGAGAGTTTTAACCGCGTACAGTTGGATAAATGAAGAAATTGGTTATTGTCAAGCCATGAATATTGTCGTGGCGGCGTTATTAATGTAGGTTTCACCCTCCGATGCGTTTGGATCTAAGTAAAAAAACTAAGCTAACTTGTGTACAGATATATGTCTGAAACGCAAGCTTTCTTCTTGTTATCGGTACTATGTCAGCGCCTTCTACCGGGCTACTATTCTACAACGATGTACGGGACTCTGCTGGACCAGAAAGTTTTCGAATCGCTTGTAGAAAAGACAATGCCTGTTCTCTGGGAACATCTGGTTCGATCAGATGTTCAGCTCTCTGTTGTGTCTCTCCCTTGGTTTTTGTCACTATATATCAACTCCATGCCTCTCGTCTTTGCATTTCGTGTTCTAGACGTGTTTTTCTTGGAAGGACCAAAAGTCTTGTTTCAAATCGGGTTGGCCATCTTGCGGATCAACGGCGAAGAGCTTCTTGACGTGACCGATGATGGAACGTTCATTTCGGTTTTGAAGTCTTATTTTTCGAGACTCGATGAATCAGCCCATCCTCGCTCAGAAAATCCTAAACTGAGAGCTATTACACGATTCCAAGAGTTGATGGTTGTTGCTTTCAAGGAATTTTCTGCAATAACCCATAGCACCGTTACAGAAGAGAGAGATAGACACAAAGATGCGGTATTAGAAAGTATCGAGAGTTTCGCCAAGCGGACATCGATCCGGAACTTGGGTCCAGAGAGCAAGCGCCTAAGTGTGGATGACTTGGGCGCAATTTATGACCGCTTTTATGAGAGATTATATGACCATCAGGAAAGAGCACGGAAAGCTGAAGAAGAGAAAAGACGAAGGGAGAAGGAGAACATCACAGTTCGCCGCCGTAATTCAATCTTGATGTCAAACCCTGATGCTGAAATAGCCAGAGTCGGTCTTGGCCCCAGCCCTACGCTTATGGATTACGACTGTTTTCGAGAATTCCTAGCCGTCACTGCCAAATGGGCGGCTACAGACTCCCCAACCTCTGGAAGTATTTACTCCACTGAGAAAGGCGCATATTCTAATTCAAGTCTTAGAGGACGGAGGAAATCCTGGGATTCTAGCGGCGCCATACAGGCCGCCGACCACGAATTCATGAGGCGACTATTCCGCAACTGGGATGTCGATAATGTTCAGGGTCTGAGCCTTCAGAATGTCGTGAACGGGCTGGCTCGTATCAAAGGCACCAGGGATATCATGAGCACAATAAACTACTTTTTCGAGCTTTATGACGACAGCGGGACGGGCCAGGTTGATAGGGAAGGCATCCTTAGGATGTCAGAAGCGTTACTCTTCCTTTCGAGAAGGGGATTTGATGGCGCTTTGGTGTCCAGTGATGCGGCAGATGCTAACAACCCCATATCCGCTGAAAAGGGACTTGGAACTACCACAGCCTTAAGTGTCGAAGAGAAGTTCTTGGGAAGCGTTAGCGACTTTATACGACGGTGCTTTGAATATGCGGATCCAAGTCATCCAAAGAACCAGGAGAAGACAACAAGTGAGGTTGAGAGCAAGCTGGATGCGTTTGCCATAGGAGATGACGATGACGACGACGATGGACGCCTTATAGACGTCGAAACGGAGCCCGTCGACAAGAATAAAGAAAATGCACATTCTAATAACCTCCCATCCTCACCAAAATCTACCACCCATTCGCAACCTGGTACAACCACAAACCACAAACAAGCATCTGAATCCGCTAACCTCGCTCTCGACCCTGCCCACCCACTTCACATCACGATCCCAACTTTCCGCATGGTAATCCTCGCCGACGAACTTCTAGAGCAATTCTTCGAGACATTTTTCCCCCAATCCTTCCGCCTCTCCGAGACTCCTGACGTCGCCTCCCTCCGCAGCACCTCGCTCTCCTCTAACCTCACCACTTTCACCAACCTCGGCGTAGGACGCCCTGGCGCTAGCACAGCAGCAAGTGCCGGTGCTACCGTCGCTGGAGCCTCTGGCGGCATAGTTCCACCGGGTCACAAGGGCCTACGTGGAGTCCTAGACAATATAGTATCTGACGGGATGCGCATGGCGGCTGAAGTACGCAAGAAGATGGATGAAGCGCAGCGAGAGTTGGAGGAGAGTGCACATGCGGGGCGGCCGGAGGATGACGACGATGAAGAGGACGATGGGATGTATGATGATAGTAGAAGTGGGCATGGCCCGACAGTACCTGTTGGTGGAAGATCCTCTGCGCGTGATGCGGATCGCGATCTGTTGGAAGGGGCTGAGGTTGCTAGCTTAAAGGACTGAGATGATCGGGCTGGGGAAGAGGATGTAAGTGGAGGTGGCGATGGCGTTAATCATTTTCTCTAGAACCTCGATTATAATAGGGTGCTAAAGCCATTACTGGTGATATTGCGGGTAGAAGGAAGAGCCTCTTCTCCATTTTAGGTTATATTTGTCCTTATGATGAAATGCTATTAGCTGGTCGTTCCCTTTCATTAGCTTGTTTGGTTTAGATATCAACCCTGTTATTATATCTCAATTATTTGTGTTAAATATTCCCCCCCCGCTAGATTATAAGAACCTTCCCGTCAAAAGGAGCTCCATGCATATTCTTGCGAACAAACGGACGGGTCGAGCTGGAACGCTCTCCGCGTGAGTTTACCCCGTCATTTTGCAGTAGTACTTTCGCTGGATAGTCAATTCCATAACTGGACATCGAATTGGATGAGTTATATATACTCTGTAGTGTTTCAGATGGTTATTGGTTTTCATGATGCAGGCATTAAGGTGAGTTATACACCTATTTGAAGTTTTATGTAGTTAGACACGTATTTGGTTGGATTCAGGAGTTAATCTATCATCAGTAAGCGCAAGGGCCACCCGCCACTGTGGAGGACAAAAGTAACTGAAAAGTATGAAACCCACAACGTGGAGGTTAGTTACATGCGTATTGAGAAGCAATTCCGGTTATGTTGATCTCTAAATAAAATTCTTGGGAGGTGCCTACCCTACTCTACTCTAGCTAAAAGCCAGCTAAAGAAATCCTAGTCAGTCCTACGCAGTGCTTCCCCAGGGGTCCGTGGAGATGAGATGGCCGGTTGATTTTCGCTTGTATTTGCTAGTGGGGTAACCATCCAACCATCCATGGTTGGTTTAACCAACTTAGTTCAATATCTCAGTGATAGATCCGTACTTTCATGTGGAAAATACTGCAACAGCCCGGTCCTCTACATTGAGGCCTGCATTCACAAGACGTAGTCCTTAATAGCCGCTGGTAGAGATATCTTTGGGCTTGTCCTCGGATACCCTGGCAGCTGGCTAGCGGACCAGAGTGGGTTTTGTTCTGGGATAACCGCTTACGTGACTGGCCAACGCAACGGCTCAATGATAGCCCAGACGCCCGACTCAGGAGAGAGGGGGCTCTTGGGAGTTGGAGAAGATTGAGAAGTTATTTAATCAATCTTTCACAGCTTGGGGGTGGAAATAGGTCAATAAAATACCCATGAAAGATACAAGTCGTCAAGCATCGCACGCGGGATGTTGTTTTTCGGTACACTGGCCTTTTGCCATTTCCCTCCTGTAAGGCTGGAGTTCAGTCAGTTGGTTTTAGTTAGCCGACCACTAAGTTAGTGACAGCCTGGGATGAGACCAACCCCAACGCGAATAAACTCGTATGAAACACCTCATTCTTACAATAATAGACCTTGGAATCGAGGACAGGTAAATAACTGTCCAAATTCGCTCTGCCTTGCCGGTTATCTCGACGGGGTCTGCTCTCCACACCTGTATACGGAGTACTGTACATGTACTCTCTGTGAGCGCTGTGTCGTGTTGTTTGTTGTCCAGTGAGGCTCTGCTGGCGAGGTCCTTGCGCCGCACACTTTGCTTGCTGACTTAATCCCCCAGAGGACGCCTTGCCCCAATCAAACGTATGTACATACAGTACCTCGACCACAACCTCACCTCCTCGACTCCGCCTTCTGTACCCTATAACCCCGTTTGGCGGCTGCTGTCGCTACTCTTTCCCCTCCATTCTCTGTCCAACCTCTGCTAATGACTGTCACGCTGTAGCTTGTCGCTGGTTCGGGTACACGGACCGACGAGGCTTCCGGAGTCGGTTTCCATTCCCCTCATTCAACCAGCCAAAACAACCCACATGGTCGTGGATTCAATCTTTCCGTTTAGCCAGGCCCCTTATTTTATCAACAGTTGCTTCTGGCCTAGATCTTAGTCACATTGCGGGTGGGATTGCAGGTTAATCTCTCTTTACTTCCCAAAAATGGCATACCCACAGAACGGCCAGCAACATCAACATTACCATGGCCTCCCAGCGACTCCTTTGCCGCAACATCACCATCACCCGCAGCAGCAGCAACAACAACATCCACAGTCGCCGCCCCTTCAGTACCCTGCGCAGTATGCACAAACGCCTCCACTAGCTAGCCAGCAGACTGCAAACCCATTGCGACGGAACGCAAGCTTCGACGCGGGCGATGATCGGAACTACTTCGATGATGGTCGTCAACGCACGGGTGCCAACCCTAGCTATCCGGGGCAAGCAGGTCATGGTGGTGGATATGCCGGTTATTCGAGCGGAGGCGTGAACAGTAATGCGACGAATAATCTGGGATCAAGGAATTCGCAGTTCTCCGTGGGAAGTTCACGGCATTCCTTGGTCAGCCAGGCTTCATCGCAAGGGTCGTCTGCTTTGTCAGGTTATCAACATCAATATCAACCCCCTGCTTCAACTGCTGCTGCCCAACCTTCCTATAACCCCGTGCAGTTTGCGTATCCCACTCCGCCAGCTCACTCTCAACCGGGATATAATCCACAGGCGTTCGCTGCTGCGGGTACTGCCACGAGCACTGCGAATACGGCGTACAATAGCCAGGCCTACCAGCATTATAATCCTGCAGCATATCAGACGCCGCCATCAGCCACTTATCATGCCTCTCCCACTCCCTCATGGCAAGCCTCAACGCCCGGCCAGTCGTATGGCTTCTCTCCGCAGTCCCAATACCAGTTTTCTCACCCTACGACTCAGCATCCACAAGTACCGCCCCCGCCTCCTCCACGAGCAAATGAGAACACATATAATGCGTATTCAACGCCGCAATACGTGGACTCCTCCCCACGTCCAACGTACGGCTATTCTCCCAATCTCCCCCAGTCAACCTCGTCCGTATCTCGCATCAGTTCACAATCAACATACACAGCTGCACCTACATCATCCCAGGCTGTTTTTAACGTGGAGACATACGGTGTGGATGGATCTGCCTCTGGCCTTCCGGGGAGGCAGTACTCTCAGAGCTCTCACCCTCCTTCCTCGTCTCCTAACCCGCCTCCACATGGCACAATTCCGCATGAATCGTCCCCTCAGCCATCCTCCTATGCCTCTTTTGATTACAGATCACCTATAGGCCTTCAAACAAGCAACGCGGTTCCGACCCCTCCTCTTCACCAGTCACACCAAACTTCACCCAGGAGAACTGACACGCTCAATCGACATCCACAGTCGAGGCCATTACCTGGACCGCCACAGCAAGCTGCGCTATCCAGAGCAGATGGCCGGGAGGGGTTTGAACCAAATTCTGACGATCCCATGAAGCAAGCTGGAGGTCCAGTTACAGAAAACCAGCAATCGCTCTCCACTTCACCGCACGTTCGTGAATCTCCAGATACATACCATTCACACACGAACGGCCATGGACACATCACTAACGCAGGCCCCGGGTTTAATATTAACTATGATGCACATAGTGACGATGAAGACGCCGAGGCTGCTGCCGGCCTGGCAGCCCTACAAATGGCAGAAGAAGAGGACGCGTTATTCAATGCTCAACAGACCACGAATTCGTCGGCCATGAGCGGCTTCGGCCCTCCCTCTGGTCCGCCGCCTGCTATTCCAGCCCCTACAACCCAGGTGGAATCAAGTAGCGATAGTGATTACGCTCAACATGATATGGGACTGTATGGGGGAGGTTACGATGCCCATCTGCACTATGGTGATAACCCGAGCATTAGCTCAGGTACTGACCAAATGGTCACTACTTCTGGCTCATTACGAAGCTCAGATAGGTCCACTGACGACCGGGGAACACATTCAGATAGCTATGATTACCCCAACATTGATCAAGACTCCATTCATCCGTTCCCATCCCATAGTACCCCAGCACGAGTGGATGGTATCTCTACTGGAGGTCTGTCAGAAACCACCATGGAGAACAGAAGGATGAGCTTTGACCATGGGGATGAGGTCTCCATGAACCGATCAACCACAAGGCCGATATCATTCAGCGATACTACGGACAAGGGCGAACCACAGGATTTATTTTTCCACCCAGGAATGTCTTCCCGACCTCTGCCTCCTGCGCCTGTTCCTGCAGCGAGCAATCTCATCCCACACCTCATGCCTGCTGGTACCTATCGGAGCCGCGATCCCATTCCGCAACCATATAATAGTGCCTATTCACAACCTCCCTACACATCCACTCCAGATGAGTTTGTTTCACCCCCATCGGCGGTTCCACGATCGACATCTCTTTCAACTCATACGAATAGTCCTCGCCCTGATCTTATTATCAGGTCGAAAACGGATGCAGACCGGATTAAACTCAGGCAAGGTACTTATGAAACACCAACTTCGACACCTGTCACACTGGATCTGCCCACCATCCCTTCTGGAAGACGGAATAAATTTAACCCTACGAAATTGTCTACGGAGCAATTCCGAAAATGCACTGAACCTTGGGCACTTAGCGCCATAGTCGCGTGGATAAAGGAATTGAGCGAAGATGAGACTGATTTAAAGAAACAAACCGTGATTGATGCCATTGTCGCCTTATTTACTCATAAAGTCCCAACAATGAACACAATTGATGCAGAAGTTCTGGGTGACAGGGTAGTAAAAAATATGTTGAACGAAGGCGTGCTAATTAAAGATGAAGAATGGGTTAAATTTGGACCTGGAACACTATCGGGTGTTTTTTGGCAGATTAGCGGCCAAGGCTGCTACTCGTCCCGTCTACACTTGCAAGAAGGCGAGTATGTTGGTCGCTGCTATTCACATCATTGTATGCGAACCTTGAAGAAGGTCAATCTTCAAGCACAGGCTATGGAGCCGGAGAAAAAAGCTGAAGACTGGGCAACATTTTACAAAGTGGGCAAGGAAGTATTTGATACTCATTCCAAGAAGGAAATCGATCGGCAGAACATCCTTCACGAGATTGTCACAACCGAGGATTCCTATATTGGACAGTTGGACGTCTTACGAACTTTGTATCGTGATCAACTCACAGAATTTGATCCACCGGTGATTAACCCAAAACGCCTCAACAAGTTCTTAGATGAGGTCTTTGGAAAGGTCGATGCCGTCAAGAAGGTCAATGAAGACCATTTACTTGCCCAATTAAAATATCGACAAAAGGAACAAGGTCCATTTATTTTTGGGTTCAGTGACATTTTCCGTGAATGGATTCGACGAGCTAAAGCTGCTTATATTGATTACGCAGCGACCTTCCCGAATGCAAATTACCTCGTCCGGAGAGAGGCTGAAACAAACATGATGTTTAGGCAATTTTTGAACCAAGCCCGAGACAACAAGTTGTCCAACCGATTGAGCTGGGATACGTACTTGAAGGCTCCGATCACACGGATTCAACGATATGTGCTCTTGTTAAACACCGTATTAAAGAGCATGGACAAAAACTCTGAAGAAAAATCCAATTTAATGCAAGCTATAGAGGAAATAAAGACTGTTGCTGCAGAATGCGACACGAAAGTCGGAGATATGGCAAAGACCGTGAGTCTGAAGGAGTTAGGATTGAAACTTCAGTTTAGGCCTGAAGTGAAACAGGAATTCGAACTTAATCTTGAACATTTAGAGATTATTTTCCAAGGAGATCTACAGCGTCCGCGGACAAAACGGTTTAATTGGGTTGATATACGTGCTATCTTGTTCGATCGATATTTAATTCTTGCGAAAATTGTTTTCACTCGAGATGCGGCACGGAAGGAGATCTACGACGTCTCCAAGTTTCCGATACCAATGGATCTTCTAATGCTTGAGAGCACCAATGATGACCCTGTTATGAAATCTTCGGTCAGGGGAATAACAGCAGTTTCAGCACCCGCTGGTAGACTAGCTACGCCGGGGGATCGGGGTAGCCCTACACCTGGGAATCTATCCCACGTTTCTACGAACTCTTCCACCACCTCTACCAATTCATCCGCGTCCAATAAAACACTCGTTCCAGTCGCAGTGCTTGAAAACCCTAGGGATGACAAGATTTTATACCCATTTAGAATCAAACATCTTGGTCAGCCAGACGTGTACACACTCTACGCACCCACAGCACAAAATCGACAAGAATGGTGTGAAAAGATTATCGAAGCGAAAATAAAGCATGCCAAATCTCTACATGCTCAAAATGCAGAGCCTTTCAAGCTTCGTGTGCTTTCAGACTCTGCGTTTGCATATCCAGAGCATGCAGTTGCGCCCAAGACCGCCTTAATTACAGGCACGCCGTTGGATCGAGCCATACGTGAAGTCGAAGCCAGGTATGAAGGAAGTCTGTCGCGGCCATTGCCAGTCTGCAGAGCTTCTGTCAACTGCGCTACCGTCTTTCAGCAACCACATGGACGATTGATGTGTGCAGTTGGAACGGACTACGGCGTGTACATCTCTGAGTACAACAACCCTAGAGGTTGGACTAAGGTGAGTAATACGTCCCCAATGTTTAGCTAGACTTCATCGTTTTCACGGCGTTAGTTAACATTCCCATTCAAAGGCGATCCCGACAACTCGAGTAACGCAGATTGCCGTTTTCGAAGAGTTCAATTTGTTCCTGCTTATTGCGGACAAGTCTTTGATCGCTCACCACCTCGACGTGGTATGTCCACCAAGCGGGGTACCTACGCAAAGCGACTCTCAAAGACGTGCGCCTCAAAAGTTGTCCGGTAACAGAGAAGTTGGATTTTTTGTTGCTGGCCGGATGAAGGATAGGGCTCTTGTGATTTACAAGAAGCGTGATGGAATCACTTCCACTTTCAAGGTATTATCATCCAGCTTGTCTCATAGCAGCGGTATTATTATTTGTATGAATAAACTTGTTCGCTAATCACTGAAACTTTCTGTGTAGGCTCTGGAACCCATTCTACAGAAATCCTCCTCGTCACGCCCGCGATTCATGCCTACGCGCCGCGGCCATACCGAGTTTTTCCGCGACTATGACGAGTTCTATATCCCAGCAGACAGCTATAGTATCAATCTTTTCCATTCATCTCTCGCCATTTCGACATCCCGTGGCGTCGAGGTACTCACTCTGGACAAGAAGCAGCCTTGGTCTGTTCCAAACCTTCGCGCCAGCTCGCCAGAACACCAGCCAGCCCTCAACCAAATCGGCAACCGAATTAACAATCTCCGACCTTTGGGCATGTTTCGCCTCAGCGACAGAGACTTCCTCGTGGTCTTTGTTGATTGCGCTGTCTACGTCGACAAATATGGAGACGTTAACCGTGCAGTAATTATGCAATTCCTCGGCCGCGCCGTATCAGCATGTCTTTACGGAAAATTCCTCATACTTGTCAACGAAGATTTTGTCGAAGTGCGCAACGCTGTGAACGGGCGACTTAGACAAGTCATTGCCGGTCGTAATGTAACCCTCCTTGACGACGCTGGGAACGGGTCTAGCGGCTTTGGCAACCCTTCGCCAGCCAATTTTAACGAGGCGGCCGCGGTAAATCCACTGAGTGGACAGAATGGTCTAGGTCTCTCGACAGCACTTTCAACCGCGGGTCGGACTGTTAAGATTTGTATGCAGCACCCCGAACACGAACGCAGTCAGATCGTAGTGGAGCTACTAGAAAATCAAGGGTTAAAGGAATGATACCGTGTCCGACTTTCATCTCTTATTTTTTTGATTTTCCGGCTATACCTTTTATATCTCTCTTTTGACTTTCTGTTGACCCTTTTCGACTTTATTCTCGCTTTACCTGCTCTAGAGGTTCAATCTTTTTACTTCTTCATTTTGGATTTATGATGGATGATTTTATAATCTGTTTTGCTACCTTCTCTTTCATATTTCTCTAATGTTCCCCATTTTTCACAACGATGATTTTCTTTTCTTCCGTTTTTATTCCCTATTCCCCAATTGTTTTCCTTTTTTCTTTCCTTGTTTTATGCCTCCAATCCTTCATCTTTTGCATTTCTTCCAAATCTCATTGTACATTGTTTCTTCCACGACTTCAATTTCTATACATCCATTTTGGTTCTTCTCCATTATTTACTTCTCTTCTTACGCCGATTTATGTTTCTGATGGCTTTTCTTCCCTCACATTCCCGTTGACCAAGTAGTTTTGAGCATCAAGGTTATTTATTTTATGATTGATTATGTTTTACCTTTCAAAATGATGCGGGAGATTACATTTCAGCTATTGACTTTCATATATTAGGTATCTTGGCGCTAGATACACGGGTGCCCATTAACACGTTACATTCTGGAAGTATGACTTACGAATGACAACTTTTGTTTCTACTTTATTTAGCTGTGTTTCCTCATCACTTGGGAAAGTAGATTACCCACCATTGAAGACACCTGCGTTGTTCTAGAGTGCGCTAGATTCCTCCCATCCACGACACATTCGCGACGTCGACAATCTGCCGAAGCGCGACTGTGCAAATTTTTAGGTATATGAGACTGCCCGTAGGACGGCTTTGTCCTATAGTTCAACCCCAATCTCTAGGGTTGCGATGGTATCAATCCCAACCGTTTTCGCAATTTTAGATCATTGCCCGTCGTTTTGATCTACCACAACATCTTTTTAAAACACACCAACGCCATGGCAAGATGATGCCCTCATCTCTAGAGTCTAATGGTGTCACCCGCTTGCGGAGCGAAAGGTGAGGCAACAGCATAACATGAGCTTCTACCCCTTCGTTTATATGGTCTCTACATAGCTATAGACAGGCATATAGAGCCCCCCCTCCGGTGGTGACTGGATTTTAAGATAAGGGTGTCCAAAAAAACATTCATATATTCTAGGCATTCACGACCTTGCTTAACTCCCCGCTCATTTGGTGGTCATGGCTGCTGGCTCAGTTCATCACATTTATCATGTGTTAAGTTACATTGTAGCATAAAGAATCTACCGACGCTCTATAGTTACATGTATTATTAATTCACCAGTCCTCTACCCTGGTAGCCTGCGACACCTTTATATTTAATGTCCATGATCTAGCTATTGAAGGAAGTGCTCTTGTTGCTCTACTTGTGTCAATGTGTTTAGCAAATAAATAATCACCTTCGAGCATGGATTGCAGTGGCGAATTATGAGATCAATTCAAAGAACAACTATTACATTAATAACAATAAAAGATGCGATAATTCCATGGTGTGCCAGGGAAATCGGTCAGTGTAACAAGACACCACCAAAGATAGTTGACGACACGTGGGAAATTAGAGCGTTTCGAACACAACATATGCAATCTCAGGTGGGACTGTCTCAAGCATATCTACATGAATATGTAGTCTTCTCACCTGCGAGTACATCATTTCATCACACAACAAAAGAAGAAGGTCGGTGAAGGTTCAGTCCAAGTATAACAGACTCGATGAAGGAGAGGGTATATAAAGCTTCAATTCCACCGCTGAGGAAGCTTCAAGGAGCCACAACAGAACAGACCCGGTCGGCCCAAACTCATTAACATTGAATCGAAGCGGATAGAGCATTCGACGACCATTCGGAGTTGTACCTTTCATCTCTTATTTTACAAGCCCGCAAAAATGAAATACCTGTTGACCCTTCTTCCCCTCCTGGCAGCCGCGCTCAGCTCTCCGACATCCACAAAGAGCAATTTAGCTACAGTAGGTCTAGAAAATCTCCGAATTTCCCAGGTGTATGTGCGGCGCTTCCTTGCTAAACCTTGAATGATAACCTCATTTGGTTTGTTAGGTGGCCCCTTCTTTCAACCCTCGTGACGCGAAAGCTCCACGTTCGCCTTGCCGAAATATTCTGGGATGTAATGGTAATCAGGATGAAGCCTAGTCCCGACAGCGGTCTATGGAAGCTGAGGCTGATGAAGGGAAAGATGAAATGGAAAGTGGGCTGCGTTCTGTGGTGTTGTTAGACGATGAGCACGGAAATGTAAAGTGGAAAATAATCCAGAAGTTGGGCGAGTGTATTCCTGAACGACAGATCAGCCAGTCACGTTGCAAGCCTTCAATCCGATGCTCAAGTTTGCGGTGACAGTGATAAACAAAATATAATTCTCCGCCCGAAGCCGGCTGCAGCAGCATGATAGGAGGAGCAGGTGTCTAGAGGACGGAAATATCTGGCAAACAGACAACCAAAATATACCTAAAAAAATTGTTAGAAAGTACAATAAATATTTGTTAATGGAATCTCCACTCTAAACCAAAACCATCTTTTCAAATTTGAGAATATATCAAAGTATGCGTATATGAATGTGTGAACATTATACAGTGTTGCCTTCAGTGGAACGTCAATCAAAAAGCGACTCACAATAATACCAAGGGCTAAGCTTGTTCGCAATAGTCTTCACGTCAATGGAAAGTAGCTGATTAGACTAAGACAATATTCTCTAAGTATTTGGCACGACTAATCTAGAACATAGAAGCCTAGTCGAGCTCAGCAGACGCCGATTAACTTAAGGATTAGTAAAACCAGGACAATCAGAGAGAACACAGGAAAGCCATCCTCTAGGTCTAGCAAGATTTCACCAAAAGACAGACTTGACAAAATGAGCTTCATGATGATGATGATTAAAGTGCGAGAGCTAGACATGCAGAAGAAATATCTAAGTAAAAAAAGCGGGCGGGATAAATATATCAATAACATATAACGTGAGAAGTTGCGATCGATAGTTGATGTTGGAAAAGAATACTGGTGAGGGCAGGATTTTGGGATGGTAGAACTAGGAATATTGAGATAAAACCTTATGGTGATAATATCGTCATCTCAATAAAGTCGGCGGCGGGCCGCAACGATGCCGGGAGAGTATAAATCCACCCTGAAGTGTATATTCAATTTAGGTTCTTCAGGTAAAATATCCTTTCCGAAGCACCTTCAAGGTGTGATTGGCCGCGAACTTTAAAGTTCTGGTAAGTTTGGTTTAAGGTTTGATATTGAACAGGGATTAAAAAGGCTTGGCAATTATATCTTGGCGACGAACAATTCCCCGGAATGTGGCAAAAAGAAAGATGTACTCCGTATTATTCCTTGGTCGACACAATGGGACAGTGTAATTTTCAACAGAAATGTAAGGACATATCTACCCATTGGGTCCGCAAACGACATATTTTTTATGCTAGAGTGCACGTCACTGAGTTTTTGAACATCCAAACCAGCAATTGATGATCAAGCAATAAAAAGGCATTCCAACTGAAAGAATTTTAAAACCTGAAGATGTAGCTTCTCGAAGCTCACCAGTTCCGCTCAATTGAGTCACGATGTGAAGACATGGATCAAATGGAGATCACTAAATTAGTCAGGAGATATACATGTACCAATTGTTAATCAATTATTTCATTAACATTCAATAGCAATTTGACCTGTCAAGTGATTGTTACTCAAGGTCGAAAATGAAATTCAGTTCTCCCAGTTCCAAATGACAAACATCAGGAGATATTATTATTACACTTTTAGTATATGTTAGAATCCGTCCTATCAGCTTATGGGCATGTATCATGTATGGCCCTGCCATGAAATCCCGTCCTTCTCATGTTCGGTATCTCTTCCGCGTTGCAACTCCAAGAGATGAGTAGGAGCAAGAAATTTCGAATTAGCATCACATCTCGCTATCTCAATCTTTCTTTACGGAGTAGACAAGCTCGCTTTCGTTGTTCGGTTAATAGTTGACTAGCCGAGAGAGCCAGGCCATAGCATTGAACGCTCTGCCCATCCTCTCCCCTTGGTTGTAGGCCTGGGTAGAAATGTAGAATATATATTCTCCCTTTGCTAGAAGGGAGAAATTTTCATCACAGCGAGGCTTTTATGAGAGTACTTAACTGGTAGAGTTGCGGGTACCTCTATGGTCCTTGTTTCGTTAGAAATCGGAGAATTGTCGGTAGCTGGACTGTATCGTTATTTTTCCCGCTTCCATAGCCGAAGAACCTAGGCACTTTGTTCCATGTAGTCAGCCGCAATAATTCCTCAACAGTTTGAGTATCCTCCAACTTTCTTGCCAGTCGGCTCTGATGCCGCAATCGGGTACCGGTGACAGGAACTATTCGCGGCATATGATCAGTTATTATTATTATTATTATTGCGTTGCAATAATTTTTCTTGCCGGCTCACTAGGGAATTTATTTTTCTACGGCTCACAAACGGCACCAATTTATCTGTATGTACATGTACATTACATATCCGCTGCGGGAAATTCAACATCCATAACGTAGAGCTTGGAAGAGTCGACGGTTCTTTATGTTTTAAAAAGGCTCAGAGGGTTTTGCGATCCGGTGATCCGGTTCTCAGGACAAAGCTCTCCCAACTGAAGATTATTTGTTGTTCAAGCCGGGATTGCAGGCTGGCCCCCCATATTTTGAGACGAGACTACTCGCGCTAACTACTTGAAACTAACCATCGCTGCCAGAGTAGTGGGGAGGCCATTAACCGAGGAGCTGCCTCGGAACCCTGGCGTTTCTATCAGTCCTATAACTAACCTATACCTAGCCCAAGGGATACTACGCTGCATTAAGTAGTAGTAATAATGTGAGTGATGAATAAAAAGAACGCTTCACGGATGCTTAAACGTGCCGAAAACAGGATGTCTGGTTTGCCCATGGACATCATGGAAAATGCTCCGTCTAACTAGACGCCGACTCGAAATAGACGCCGCCCCTAGGTACCCCTTCCTCCCCACATGACACGTTTTTCTCCCGCCTGCGCTTCTCTTCGTCTTCTTTCTCTCTGTCTTCCTCTTCCTCTCCTTCTTCCCCTTCTTCTTCTCCAGCTTCCAACCACGACAGCCGGCATTGAGGAACCATTTCAGTCTTGCCTTCCGCTTCTTTATCTTTGTCTGCGTCTTCGGACATAACTTTGGTGGGATGGTCTTCACACCTCCAAAATGGGTTGGGCCAGCCCCGAACATCCCAGATAGCACCCCGATTTCTGAGTTCATGCTTACTGAACGCCATGGCCGCTATCCATTGCGAGACTCTTATGATCCCTTCGTTTGTGGCCTGAGCGGAAAGTCCTACTCTGCCCCGGAAGTTGTAGAGCGCGTGGATGTTCTCGCGCGCTCCTTGTGCAAGGAACTTGGCTGGCGTCCGAATGAAGGGCCAGAGAGCAACCGGGTGGCTTGTATCTTCAGTGTGAACACGGTATGTACCCGTGAAGGGCTTATTCCTGGCCAGCAAGAATACATTGTCTGCAGCTAGCTAGTTATTCTACTTCGTTAAGTTTGGCTACATTGTCAAAGTACCACGATTCAAGCTAATAACCACCCTACCTGTAGATCGACTACCTGACTCTCTGCTGGGCCATCCATCGATGCTCCGGCGTTGCTTCTCCTGCGAATGCGACCTATTCTGCCCCTGAACTCACCCACCAACTCAAGGACAGCGGATCGAAGTCCATTTTCACATGCGTCGTAACTCTTCCCATTGCTCTAGAGGCTGCATCCAATGTTGGCATCCCCAAAAGCCGCATTTATCTTCTTGATCTGCCGCCTCAGCTTTTAGGTGGTGGGAATAAGCCAGACGGATTCAAAACGGTGGACCAGCTCATTAAAGAAGGTCACTCATTACCAGAGGTGGAGAAGCTTAACTGGCAGCCAGGGCAGGGTGCAAAGCAAACTGCGTTCCTTTGCTACTCTTCAGGAACCTCCGGATTGCCGAAAGGCGTAATGATATCTCATAGAAATGTGATCGCCAATACGTTGCAAATTAAGGCGTATGAGTCGCGACATCGCGACAGCTTGAAAGCCCCTGGAGCCCGATTGGACCCCAAAGATGTGGCTCTAGGCCTTCTGCCCCAAAGCCATATATATTCGCTGGTGGTTATTTGTCATGCTGGCCCTTACCGTGGCGATAAAGTGGTCGTCCTCCCGAAATTTGAATTTAACGTATACCTCAATGCTATTGAAAAGCATCGAATCTCAACCCTCTACCTGGTACATTTTACCTTTAAAAAATTTCTCTGCCCCAGCAACCAACTATTCCCTGGCCCGGACTGCTGATATTTAGTCTCCTAGGTTCCTCCGATCATTATCCTTATGTTGCGAAATAAAGTGGAATGCGACAGGAGTGGCCTCGATTCTGTTACTACGATCTTCACTGGAGCTGCTCCACTTGGCGCTGAAACGGCAGAAGAGGTTGGAGTGTGGAAACCTTCCTGGAAGATTAAACAGGGCTATGGTAGGCTATCATTCGTGCAATCCGTTTTAACAGTTCAAGTTCGCCATTTGTAAAACGGTTGGTTCAAATGCTGATGTGGGTCTAGGCCTCACTGAGACATGCACTGTCGTATCCAGCACGAGCAACGACGATATCTTCCCCGGCTCCTCTGGGTCATTACTTCCAGGCGTCGAAGTACGCCTTGTATCTCCCGATGGCAAGGAGATAACCGGCTATGACCAGCCAGGCGAGCTCGTCGTTCGCTCTCCATCTGTCACGATCGGTTACTTGAACAATGAAAAGGCGACCAAGGAAACGTATAGGGACGGCTGGATGTATACGGGCGATGAAGCCGTTTTTCGCCTCTCGCCCCGTGGTAACGAGCACGTCTTTATTGTCGACCGCATAAAGGAACTCATTAAAGTGAAGGTGTGTTAATATCCTACCTTATATACCAAAAGCTTGATTGAATTTGCCCTAACGTCACGACAGGGTCTACAAGTCGCCCCGGCTGAGCTGGAATCACATCTCCTCTCCCATCCAGCTGTTGCCGATTGCTCCGTAATCCCCGTCCCAGACTATGCTGCAGGAGAGCTACCAAAGGCATTCGTTGTCAAATCTCCTGCTGCGGGTACTGATGATGCGGCTACCATCAGATCAATTCAGAAGTATGTCGAAGACCACAAAGCACGCCATAAATGGCTGAAGGGAGGTGTAGAGTTTATCGATGTTATACCCAAAAGCCCTAGCGGGAAGATTCTGAGGCGGTTATTGAGGGACAGGGAAAATGAGGCGAGGCGGAAGGCTGGAGTGAAATTGTAAACCTATTTTGCTTCCTGGCTTTCTTCTTTGTTTGCCCTATTGTCTATATAAGGGCTAGGTACCAGATCTTCTGGAAGGGCGCCTGGAACTATATATGCTACATGATATTATATTTAAACTGTAAAACGATTATAAACCCGCAATTTTAGATATTTTTATACTTCATTGACACAACCGAGTAAATCACTGGGAGGCATTGGATTAGCAATTCCTGTGTGTATGCAATGTAATGTGCTCCATACATCATAGAAGAATTAACCCTGATAATAGCCCCCATCCGTTTGAGCTCATGACGGCCGGATCCCTGGTTGGCACTACTAACTAAATTAGGCAATTGTACCCGCCAGCGCTGCACATGTAAGCTATGACGGATACAGTCAAGCTCGAAGGAGCAAATGCATTTCTCATCCGACTCCGCAGCCTCGTCCAGCCATGCATTTCCAACTGCAAACGTTCATTCAATGGCGAAAGGCTAGAAAATATGACCTCTATCCCCAACGCCGGGAGCCATCCTGATGCGACATATGCCAACACGAACTGCCGGAATAACATGCGGGATATCGATGATTCTGCGGAGCCAGTCCAAAAACGCCCAAGAGCACGTACTTTTCATGAAGTAATTTCTAATCGTGATACAGATAATGACGATAATAATTCAACTGCCCGTCAGTCATTACCTCAGCCAACACAGCTATCCCAAAGTCAACCTGAATTTCAACTTCAACTTCAACCTCAACTGGAATGCCAGTGTCAGACACTGCCACCCCCTCCGCCCCGGACGTTCGAAAACCTTGAGATTGCTACGACGTACATCGAGACTTGGGCCATTGCAAGCGGATATAGGATAGTCCCTCCGCGTCGCAAGCAACCCGATTCCAAGGATCACTCTATCCATCTGATTTGCGACGGGATTAGGAAATTTTACAAGGATCCCGAAAATGGCGCCCCTATACCACTAGAAAACAAAGGGGTTAGAAAAGGAACGAAATCAAAACAACCTGCTGTGAAATCGCGCAAAATAGCATGTCCCTTTCGGCTGAGTCTACTGCTGAAAATGGGGGTCTGGCATGTAGATGTATCCAACCCTTCGCATAATCATGGCCGGCTACCACTGCAGGCGATTACCACGGGGCCAGAGCGGAAGAGAGGCAGACCCATTGGCAGTCGTACTTGCCGTGGTGGTCGAGAAAAGTTTGTGCAATTAGAAGGCGGTGGAGCAATGATTTCCTTCCGGTTTGATAATGACACCGAAGCGACGAAATATGTCAAGCAGCAGGGACCGTGACTCGGGTACCAGAACGGAGCGAACGCGATACTGAGGGCACAATGTGAAGACACGTTTGGCTACAATAAGAGGACATACTTACATTTCCCGCCTTACGGACGGACGGCTAGAGAACGCGGAGAAGAAGCGCCCTGAACTACCATTCCTCCCTGGAAGGCAATAGGCTAAGCCCTAGGATGTTCAAGCACCCAACAGAAGAGATGCCGGGGAAGTAACGCTTAAAGGGGAAAGATACGCCCGCCGAATTCCCAGAAAATTGCACAGTTATGTGAGCGGGCCAGACAAGCATTGCAGAGCCGGGAAGGAATACGTTCCCTGGCATAAACGTTTGGATGAAACAAGCCAGCATTCCAACCACATAAAAGTGACGATTGGTACGAGAGGTTAGGGCCGGAGCTGGGGATTGAAGAGAAGCTGCAGACGCGGCAAGAATAATGGTTGCACGCGCTCGAAATATATCCTATCCAGCCACCATTCCTGGTGGTACTAAATATCGTTATTTCACCCCCTCGTCGACGGCCAGACTGGGCAGAAATAAACATGAGATCTGATTTCCTTTTTATCGATCAATCAATATTTTCTCTGCTTCCCATGTAATTTCGCTTCATAGTCCGCAAACGCAATCCTGGCCAAGGGCCACTTGCTAGCCGTTTCGGAATCTTAATTCATACAGGTGAATAGAAGCGGTGGCATCTAATTAAACTATCAATAACCTACACTACACGTTTCTTGGGTCATAATGGTTGCGTATAACTGAAAGATACATTGGGTGAAATGGCCATAGTTTCACATGGGGCCAGAACAACCTGTTGCCTGTAGGATAATATTCATCAATGCTGCAAGGTATAAATGATGACTAGAACCGCATCGGCATGAAGGCTCGGTTGAATCCCTTGAAGTAGCATCTCAAAAGGCGATGAGGAGTTGAGCGTGATGAGAGTGTCTGACATTCGCGACATGATTCATTAAATATATATAACGGAGACTACAAACAGATATCATGATGAATGTGCAATTTATTATATACAAGTGGTGTATGCGCAACGTCAGTTGAGCGACAATCCAGCCAATCACATGTTCGAGCGTGCCCTAATCAATCTCTGGCCCCATAGTTTGTATTTCTAAGCCAACAATAGCCAATTTTTTTTTTTTTTTGCGCGCCGATTACTGCTGGCTTCTTTCGATCATGAATATTATAGAAAGGGCGCTCTATATATACCTGGATCTATGCGATAATAGCTTGCGAACCTGGGATCGCCGCAAACCTTTAATTCCATGTCAATCGAAGCCCTATTCCCCTAATATCAGATATCAGACCTAATCAACTTTCCATACCCCTCCATTCCCCCCTCCTTTCCCGATTACAACCCCTCCAAACTTGCCCATTTTTAAACAAATTCCAAAATGTCCGCCTCTCAATTTTCACATCCCAGAGAGAACACCGACAATGAAAATGAGGATGACCTCTTCCTCGATGCTGCAGACGCCGCCGAAGAAATCCCCGCTGACGAGGACCAACCGATGGAGGACGTCTCGGAAGACGGCGATGACGGAGAAGAACTGACATTCCAAAACGACTCTATCGCCCATTTCGATCAGCATAAAGACTCTATCTTCTGCATAGCTCAACACCCCATCCACCCTAATATCATAATCACAGGCTCGGGCGACGATACTGCCTTCATATTCAACTCCGCTGCGGAGAGACCGCTGCTTCCTAGGAGCTACGAGTCGAATCCGCAACCTAAGGGCGAACGCGAGCCGTTGCCTGCCATCGCACATTTGGACGGACATACGGATTCAGTGAACGCTGTAGCTTTCACGGAGCCGCGGGGGGAGTATGTTGTAACTGCAGGGTTGGACGGGAAGCTCCGCGCATGGCGTGATACAAGTCCCGGTAAAACCGGGCTATCATGGAAATTTCTCGCAGAGGCCCAGGAGGTGGAGGAGATAAATTGGGTCGCTACGTGCCCAGTGAATGGGGCTGGTGGGGGTGAGGAAAAGAAAAATCTCATTGCCCTTGGCGCCAGTAATGGAAGCGTATGGGTATACCGCATCGACGCGCAGGACGAGGCGGAGCCAATGTCTATGGTGGCTTGTTATTTCCAGCATACGGAATCCTGTACAGCGGGTGCATGGACGCCTGATGGGATGCTCCTGGCGACGGTTGGGGAAGACGCGTGCTTTTACGTCTACGACGTCTTTGGCGCTGCTACGGCGGCGGGAGTGGCCTCCTCCTCTGGAACACAGGTAATCGTGGGTCTAACTGCTCAAGATCAACGATTTGCCGTTGAGGGTGGATTATATTCCATCGCCATAGCGCCTACGGGCGCTTTTGCTGCAGTCGGTGGCGCAGAGGGACATATCAAAGTTGTTGGGTTGCCCCGAATCCCATCATCAACTGCTGCTGGAGTGAACAAGTCGAAATCGAAATCGAAAGCTGCTGAGGGTAGTGGCGCCGGTACTCTCCTTGCATCTCTACAGGCTCAAACTGACGGCGTTGAATCATTATCATTTTCCTCCCCGCCCCTGACGCTCCTTGCAGCCGGCTCCGTCGATGGATCCATTGCCCTATTCGACACAGCCCACCGCTTTGCTGTACGACGACATATACGATCTGCCCACGAGGAGACGGCTGTTGTAAAAGTTGAATTTATCCATGACAAGGCAGTGGCTGGCCAACAAACAGTATCTGCTGCTACGAGCAATAGTAGATCATGGCTACTTACGTCGGTAGGCATGGATGGAGTAGTTCGTCGGTGGGATACGCGTGGTGGCACTGCTGCTGCGGGGTATGGCCTGGTGAAGGAATGGCGGGGCCATTTGGGCATGGCTGAGAATGAGGCGGGAGAGCAATCTGGTGGGATCTTGGGGTTTGTACAGGGCGGAGAGGATGGTAAGAGGATTGTCACAGCAGGGGATGATGGGGTCGCCTTAGTTTTTGAGGAATAAATAGGACCAGGCTTTTTTATAAGTAATTTAAACCAGGAAGTATGCAAATGTTTACTAATCTAGAGCTCCGTCATTAACATAGAAAAAAAATGAATCCGGTTGCTTTATGATTAATGGTACTGTTTGTATGTCATCCTTCGAATTTCCCGATTGTAGGGCTGGAATCGAATTCCGAGAACATGGCTATTTGCAAACCCACCGCCATCCGCATGTTGCCTACATGTCTCCTGTGAGCTATAAAGGAAGAAAGCAAATGGGCAACTTGACTAGAGGCTGGGTGGGCGATTCATGCTTTTTGTAACCCTATGCTCCGAAGGAAGGCTAAACCTTTAAGAATACGGTATCACACCAGTAGGGGAAAAATAAAATAAAATAAAATAAAAATAAAAATAAGGCCTTGTCACCGACGAAGCTCCCTCCCAAACTTCTTTTGTGCTAAATAAAATAGGTAGAAGTATGTGGTAAAAACCATTGAAAATTGACAAGGAAAATAAAACCATAGCGCCTCTTCCCAAATGTATCTATGTATGTATGTACATGTCAAACAGATTTTTTCCTTCACGGAATCTCAGATTTCTCCATCTCCGCGTACGAATTCAACCCCCAATCCTTCATAAAAGCCCATCGTGCGAGAAGTATATGCGAAAGGACTATTATGCGGGGACGGCGTACCGTCGGCAGCCTTCGAGGGATACCGTAACATTAACAACCCTTCCCGCCAGCAAACGCTGCGGCTCAAACCTCGTTCGTATAAATTGGTATTAATTCGAAAGTAGCAAAGTTGGATGGATGGCTCTAATGGTGACCTTCCTCCTGATGCTTGGGGGTGAGGAACGCCCATTCGTAGCCACAGTATGCAGCAAACGCAACGGTTGCTATTCCCAGTCCAGGAAATCCAGTTTTAAATCGGTTCCACCGTGAAAATGGACCTGTGTATCGCCATGCTTCGCTGTTTTTTTGTCGGGAAAGAGTCAGCTTTTGCGTGAAATGCGTCCTTGGATAAATATCCCTCCCGCGTCTGTTCTACCAAGAAAGTACATTGCGGATTGGCACATGGGAATTAATTGAGAGCTTACTATCGCGCCCATGGATCCTTCTTTGCCCAGGAAGATCGGGGATGTGCGGCGGCTTTGAAGGTCTTCATGTCGAAGCCGGTGGGGTTTACGCGAGCCATGTTTGGGTTGGATGTTCCAGAATCGGCAGTAGGGATTCGGAAAAGTGATCGACGGAGATCGGGGTTAATTAGGCTCAACAGTAGCAGAATATGCTTCTCAATTGATCCAAAGCCTCCTTCACAGGGAGTTCATAAGCTGTGATGCGGATGAATTGTGGGCGTTATATGCTATATGCTTGAATGTTCAGTCGGGAAAGTTGATCGAGGGACCAACCCCCGCTAGCCATATGTGGTTAGTCTGCTGAACCACTAGTTACCCGGAGCTGGTGAAAGTCTTGGCGCCCGCTTCGAACGAGAAGACAAAGCGATGAACCACGCGGAGGATTATACAGATAGCACACATAAATCCCCCAGCAAAGCCATTTCGCCGCCTCATATCTCTCCCTGCATATCTGTTTCCCTTCAGAAAAATACTCAGCAGCCTCGTCTATAGCTTCGCAGATATCAAACACCCCCACTCCACCCAACCGGGTGACTCGTGGGTGATAACCGTCCAACCAACCTCCTAGCTATCAATTTTTGTGTGGAAACTAGCCCAAGCAGGCATCTTCATGCTTTGCTCGACTTCGATTCCTCCCGTCATCGGCCGACATCGTAAAACACACTATGCCGCCGCCCGTCGGTAGATACGCGCCCTCAGGACTTGCTGGCCCATTCCCCCATCTCCCTCAGAGCCACCTCCAACAACAGCAGCATTCGCAACAGCACCACGCAACTCATGCACAGACTCCCAATACGGGGCTTCCCCCACCTTCCCTAGGCGGCCACCCTGGCTTTGGTCCTGCGAGTACAAATTCAAACATAAACCCATTCGCCATTCCTGGAGCTAATGGGATGGGCGTGGTGGGGTTCCCCGCGGGCCCTTCTACCGCTGGTATCCCTGATGGAGGAGGGACGGGTCTAGCGAGTCACGCAGCACAGATGGGGTTTGTGAGGGGTGCGCAGATGCAGCAACAGCAGCAGCAGCAACAGCAGCAGCAACAGGCGCATTTGGGTCATGACAACCGCTTATCCGTGGATGGAAAAAGTGCTGGTACAAACTCAAGGATACGAGACGTCTGGAAACACAACTTGGCACAGGAGATGCAGGTTCTAAGGTCGTTAGTGGATAAATATCCTTACATTAGCATGGTGAGTTGTATCTTTTGCTAGAGGCCCTCACGATATTCTTCATATGTATGTGTCGTAAATTCGGTCGGGCTAACATGCCTTCTTTACTTAGGATACTGAATTCCCTGGTATTGTCGCGCGGCCGATGGGTAGTTTCACTACAAAAGCCGATTATCATTACCAAACATTACGATGTAATGTTGACCTTCTGAAAATGATACAATTGGGAATAACGCTATTTTCGGAAAGTGGTGAAGTTCCTCCCGCCATACCACTAGATTCTAATGCCCAATACGCGGCAAATCTCGGTCCAGCGCCCTGCACTTGGCAATTCAACTTCCAATTCTCATTGGAAGGTGACATGTATGCGCAGGAGTCTACAAGCATGCTAGCGAAGGCCGGCATTGACTTCGCCATGCATGAAAAGAATGGCATTGATCCACATGATTTTGGTGCGCTTCTGATGACGTCTGGATTGGTTCTCATGGATGACGTACATTGGATTTCGTTCCATTCAGGCTATGATTTCGGGTATTTGATGAAGATTATGCTGTGCAAACCTTTACCTGACGACGAGAAGGAATTCCACAAACTCCTCACCATCTTCTTCCCATCCGTCTACGATATCAAATATCTCATGAAGCACGCCGGTCGCAACCAAACCGTCAACGGATCCCCACTCACCCAAAGCGCAGCTCAGATCATTGCAAATCTTGGTCAGAAGTCTGGCCTCCAGGATATTGCGGACGAACTAGGGGTGAAGCGGGTTGGTATTGCACATCAAGCTGGATCAGACTCACTAGTGACCGGCGAAATATTCTGGAAAATGCGTCAGCTGGTATTCAATGGTTCGATTGATGAAGAGAAATACTCGGGCCAGATCTGGGGCTTGAACGGGCAGATAACCGCCACGCCTTACCACGGTGCCAGTCAGGCTCAGCAAACACCCAATCTCAACGGAGCTACAGTCTACTCCAATGCAGGTACGCCAAGTACACCAAATACAGGCCACGCGGGGCTAACAAATGCGCAAACACCCGCAGCTCAAACGCAACATGCTAGCGTTGGTCCATTAACTCCAGGCGGCGGAGGAGGAGTGTTCGGTACCTTCCAATTTGGAAAGTCGTGATTTAGATAGACTACGAGAAAAGTCTTTTCCCTATATTTTCAGTAAGGATGAAAAAATGGGTAACTTCTACGGTTGGGACGGTTCAGGGACTGGGAATTCGTTTCTTTCTTTTCGCATGGTATGTGGTTTTCACATCTATATTTAGTGGCTACTGGTTGTTTTGATTGTCTGCTCTCTGTTTGGATGTGTATAGTGTGTCTGGCGTTATAGCTGGCTTGTGATTTTAGCTTTGTATTTGGGAGTTCACAATTCATTTGCGATTACCGTTTTATTCTTATTCTCTTTGACTACTCGGATTGATTAATTTCTCCTATCCTGATCATGGCATGCAGTTATCCTTTTGGAACAATATCCAATGCCCCATGAATTTCCCCCTTCCTATTCTCCCTAATGCCCAGCAGCACTTCATGAATTGAGAATTTTGGAAATGATTTTCAACCCCTGATATATTTACATTCGGACAACTCCGATATCACTCTCACCTCGTTTTCGCCTCCCTCCCCTGCCAACAACGGCTGTCCATTTCATACATACAAGCCTAACTCTCGCGGATGCGGGAATTCGAGACAAGGATGCCTTAAATAAGTAGGCTCGGGTTAAGATTCCTGAATCGAACGACTTACGCTAGGCCCAATGAGGACAATTATCCCTCTTACAGTACAGTCTTTATCAACCTCGACTCCTTAGCCCTACCAGTGACAGGGTTGGCGAGATACTGTGATTCTTTAAGCAGTCTTGGTTGTTTTATGGTAGGAGGGTGCACGGTGCTCAGAGCAGGGAGCTTGACCTAGTTAGCTATCTCTAGCATTCTCTAGTCTAGGAAAAGTGTTGACTTGATCGTTAACTCGCATTTCTTCATCTAGCTCTTCTTCGTTACACCGTGATACTCCTCCAATAAGAAACTGGCCTGCCACCGTGCCCTGCGGAACTCCCTTATCATGAAGGACCCCAACATGGATAATACGGGACTGGGCTCACCAGTTATGGCGAGCTGTCGAGAGTTCCAATTTCCCCTTATTTCTCGATTGTATATAACCTAGTATCTACCCCTCAGCCAGGAATACCCGATCTATGTCCCGATCAATTTACCACCTTCTCCTCTCTTGCTTCATCCCCAATCAAGCTCCACTTGATCATTTCATGACAATGGCTCTTGACCGTCTGAAGCAACTGGGCCACCAGGTGACTTCCTCCTCTCCTCCCCCTCACCCTTTTGACCCCCTTTCCACGTTGGAGATCGATGCAGCGGTCGCCATAATCTGCACTGAACACGATGGTTCGCTTAGATTCAACGCTGTCACGCTGTGGGAGCCGAGAAAGGTTGAAATGATGGCTTGGCTAGCTAATCCGAAAACCGCTCCTCGCCCACATCGTGCAGCGGATGTTGTTGCCATTGCACCCAGCGGAAAGGTGTATGATGGTATCGTCGACTTGACGGATAGGAAACTTTGCAATGGAAACATGTGGAAGGTGTCCAGCCGTTAATCACAATGGAGGATTTAAATGCAGTGGAACCGTTGGCGAGGAAGGATCCAAAGATTATCGAGCAATGTGGGATTATTGGTATTCCCCCGGAGGACATGCACAAGGTTTATTGTGATCGTATGTATGTATTGCTTTTTCCCAGTGGCATTCAGTATTGTGTTTCCCAAGAGAATGGAAAATCCCCTAATAACGTTGTTAGCCTTAATAAGTAAAAACTAACTGTACTTAGCATGGACAATTGGATATGATGAGAGATTTGGCAGCGACGTCTGTCTCCAGCAAGCTCTGATGTATTACCGCCCGAACGTGGATGACTGTCAGTATGCATATCCACTAGACTTCTGTCCCATCTACAGCCCTGAAACCAAAGAGTTTATCCACATCGACGTTTCTCGTGTGCTGAGACCGATCAGTAAAGCTCCATCTAATAACTACGACGTACAATCCATTGAAAGGCAAGGTGGTTACCGTGATGCCGTGAAACCCATCCACCTCACCCAGCCACAAGGCGTCTCCTTCAAAGTAGACGGTCGAGTCATTGACTGGCAAAATTGGAACCTTCATGTTGGCTTCAACTACCGTGAAGGCATTGTACTAAATAATATCACATTCAACGACAAGGGAACTATACGTCCCGTTTTCTACCGCCTCTTATTAGCAGGGATGGTAGTTCCATACGGGAACCCAGAGCACCCCCATCACCGAAAACATGCTTTCGACTTAGGAGAGTACGTTGGCGGGTACATGACCAACAGCTTATCGCTTGGGTGTGACTGCAAGGGCGTCATCCACCACATGGATGCAGATTTCGTCAACGCCGCGGACTCGAGCACTACTATCAAAAATGCCATCTGTATCCACGAGGAGGATGCCGGTATCTTATTCAAACACACAGATTTCCGAGATGATTCTGTCATCGTGACTCGCGGCCTCAAGCTCATCATCTCACACATATTCACCGCCACGAACTATGAATACTGCGTGTACTGGATCTTCCACCAGGACGGTACCATCCAACTTGACATCAAACTCACCGGCATTCTAAACACATACGCCATGAACCCAGGTGAAGACACACTCGGCTAGGGCACGGAAGTGTATCCAGGCGTCAACGCGCACAATCACCAGCATCTCTTCTGCCTGCGAATCAATGCCAACGTTGACGGCCCCAACAACACCATCTTCCAAGTCGATGCTACCCGGGGACCCGGTGAAGTTGGCAGTAATGAAAACAGGGAAACGCATTCTATCCAAAGAGAACCAAACACACAACTCCACTACAGGCCATGGCTGACTATGACGGAGCAAGTAGTCGCACATGGGATATTGCAAACACCAATAAATTGAATCCGCACAGCAAGAAGCCCGTTGGCCTCAAGCTAGTGAGCCGGGGGGTGCCCGCACTTCTACCCAGGGAGGGTGGGTTAGTATGGAACCGTGCCGGATTCGCTAGACATGCAGTCCATGTTACCAAGTGTATGTTTCTTTTTCTCCCTTCTTTGACCTCCTGCCGTCCTTTTCAACCTCACACATACACCAATTAATAAGCGACCACTAACCTCACTCTTCTCCACGTAGACGCGGACGACCAACTCTACCCGGCCCGCCGCCACGTGCCACAGACATCTGGTAGCCCCTCTCTGTCCCCCGGGCTCCCAACCTGGATCAGCGAAGCTTCCTCTGCTCCCTCATTCTCTAACACCAGCATCGAAAACACAGACGTGGTCCTCTGGCACACATTCGGAATCACGCACTTCCCGTCCCCAGAGGATTTTCCCATTATGCCTGCGGAGCCTATGTCGCTATTGCTACGGCCGAGGAATTTCTTCGCTCGCAATCCCGCGCTAGATGTTAAGCCGAGCTGGGCTCGGTCACCGAGTCAGGTTGCCGTGGGAATAGAGGGTGCATTTTGTGGCAGCGGAATGGATCCAGGAAGGAAAGGAGATGGCGTTAGTAGGGTTGTGTGATGATGAAAGAACGAAGTTATGCGGGTGACTTATGGCAAAAGTGGTTTTGATTTCACCGCTTCTTTTCCTTCCTTTATGCTTACATCTACTTCTGTGAAAATTTGTGCTTTGCAAATGCCATATGAACCGTGTGTGAATGGTATGATAATTCCAGAAATATTATCATGTTTTGATGTAAATTCCTTCAAGCTTCATGTCTGTATCATTGCCCCCTTTTTTTTTTAAACATCTCAGGATGGGGTGATGAATGTTCTGATTTCTTTGCTCTTTGCAGTATTCACAATAATACTCAATGATTAGACTATTGAACAAAAAATGGGTGTGAGAACAGCAACTGTGAAACAATCTCCTGAAAGGATCCCTAAGCGAAAGAAAGAAATGAAATGAATATTCTAAAGCACAGACAAATATCGTACATTTGACTCCAAATTAGTTAAGTTCTTTATCCTACTACATGCTCCTCTAACTTCTGCTGCGACTGCGCCTGCCTCGCAAACCCTACTCTCGGCCCCACGGTATCGAATACCACATACTGACTCTTAAACAATATATCCCCAAAAACAACCTCATGAATCGCTGCCTGCATGCTACCAAAGCACATTGGCGTATCTCCATCTCCATATAAAGGGCGTAGGATAATGTGTTCCGGAGGGATCGTCGCGCGATAATTGTTTTCAATGATGAGAGAAAATGGCGGGATAGTGGCGTTGCAAGGGAACATCCAACCGTTGAAAAACGCATTTGCGAGGCCAGATATTTTTGCGGAACCGGGAATTTGGGAATAGTAATCGTTTATGATGGGCTCGGGGAGGAGCATCAGGGTAGTTCCTGTGTCTGGATGTGTGTGAAGGCAGAGCTGTTAATTTTGTTGACTCCGGGTGCAATGCATACCAGCTTCTACGATATTATATAAAAAAGAAAGAAGGGTTTAATTTATGGATCCTAATTACCAAGAAAGGCTTTAATAGGAGTGCTGGTATTGCTAGTAGAGTCACCAATAGCATACCCCGTGGTGCTGATAGACCAGAAGCCACTGTCATAGACGGGAGTATATGTAATGTTGCCGTTGTATTTATCATCGTCGATAAAGCCAAAGTCGAACGTTCCGGGCTTGTTTTTCTTGAGGGATACGGCAAAAAGGGGTTCGGGAAGCGTATCTTTAACATTGTCAAAGAAGCCGAGTTGTTTTTCAGGCCGAACTGGAATCATAATTAGCAAGTTTAAAGTATCAATGCCATTGGAGAAAGGCTAAAATATGCTGGTAGCAAGGTTTTTTTTTTTTTTTTTTTTTTTTTAGTTAAAATTCTTACCGTTATTAACGGAAGGGAAAGCAAGTCCAAGAACGCCGTCCAAATTAGAGTCAACAATAAACGTCTCGCCGACCTTCTGGGCGGCCTGGATGGATTGTGAGGGCGAAACCACATCGTTGATAGAAACTCTATCAATATACACGTTACCGCTTGCGAATGAACCATCTCCATAATTTACCTCCCAAGAAGATCCATTCATGGGTAACTTCCCGGGCAGGGGTGTATAAAAGTCGTGTGAAGCCCTTTCTACCAAGGGTTGTTGCGATGAAAATACCCAGCTAGTGTATGTAGCGTCAGCCCTGTTTTTACTTCTCAGCCATTGCTAGAAGAGTACCTACAGATCTGCAGATCCAGTATCAAGTGCCAAGTTCATAATTTTTCCCGCAACATTCACAGGGCTGAGATATTCGTTATCGTATGGTTCTGGGGTGGCTGAGACAGTCTGATTTACAGACCTTTCGTACATGATGATATCCAGGAGATCGTTGATGATGTCCAGTACCCCTTTTGGTTTGGCATGGTTTGCATGATCTGCCCTCAGAATGGCCACCGCATATTCTTCCATTGGGGAACGAGGAGTCGGTCTGCATTTTGAAACTTGCTGGATTGAGAATCCGCTGCGTTTCTCGATAGATCCAGAGCTGGCCAGAGTAAATAGGAACGCAGCCGCGATGTTGACAATCCCCAAACACCGCATGATTTTCGTAAAACAAGCGTGGGAGAAATGGGGCTCAGGGCTTTTGGGTAGCAAGAAAATGCCCGACTCTGTCTGGACCAGAAACATCAACAATTTCCATAGAAAGAAAAGCAGCAAGAACTTGTGGATATATTATATACATCTCAGGCTTGCAGTAATTGTATGCGTCCCGCTAATGCCCCCCCGTAGCATACATACGGTCCGGCATGAGCATGCACTGTCTATATGACACAGCAAAAAGCACACAAATGGACGAAATATCGAGGCACCAGATATATGCATAACAATGCGACTGTGCCACTGCCCCGATAAAAAGTCACCTAGCTGCTGCTGCGCCAAAAAGGTTCTAGAATACATGTAGGTTCTGAATACCGTAACGCCCGGGACTGCGGGAGCCCTCCGGGATAGCCTGATCAGAAGCAACTTGGAGGGTTCAGCCCAAGGGCTAATAATCACATATTCAATTGCAAAATCCCATTGCTCATATGCAGCTTAGGAGATTGTCCTGCAGAGTCGCTCATTAACGTTTTCAGGTGTCAATAAGAATAGTAACAAAGGGTCGGTCAGCTTGGCTGGTTAATTGGTAATAGCAGCACTCGGGCGGCAAAATATATCAATACTCCTCCTTGCCAGCGCAGTAGTGCCATGTTCCTGCGCAGGAGGGATTTCTGTACCCTCATTTAAGAGAGATTTCCAGGGCCACCGTTGCTCGTTGCTCGCCTGGAATATACTGACATAGACAGGCGCGAAATCCTTGTCTGCTGCCAAGACAGAGATACCTCAGAAACAAATTATCCAGCAGCAATTAATCATGTAGAATGTGATGTTTCTGTGATATATCTGTCATTTATATTAGATCCTGAGAATTGTAAGAGTGTGTGTTGTGATTTGACAGCTCTACTGTGTGTAATTTGTGAATAGAGTTGATTTCTTCAAATTAACAGATCATTCACTTGTGATAATGAGTTGAGAACTTGAGTGAACAGTTTAAGAACTGAATCTCTTCAAGATTAGAAAATAATATAATGAATGAAAATAATGAGAATATAAAAAAGAATATAAATTTTATATTAAAATAAAGCTATTTACGTGTATACAGAAAACTTAACCTCAGCTCTCTCTACCTCTACCACCCTCTCCCCCTACCACCCCTTCCACCCCGTATCACCCCTTCCACTCCCTACTCTACTTCCTCTACCACCACCACCGCCTCTACCGCCCCGCAACCCTCTCTACCACTTCCACCCTCTACCTCTACCACTTCTTTCACTCTCTACTCTCTCTATTATCACTACCGTCTCTACAGTCTCTACCACCCTCTCTCTCTACCACTCTCTATCACCTTCTTTCACCTCATATCACTTCTTTCACTTCTTTCACCCCTTTCACTCTCTACTCTCTACTCTCTACCTTCTCTATCATCATTATCATCTTTACCATCTCTATCACTGTCTTCTTCTATTACTCTCTCTCTTTATCACTCTCTTTCACTCTGTATTACCTCTACTATCTCTTCTACTTCTTTCACCTCTTTCACTCTCTAGTCTCTTTACTGTCTCTATCACTCTTTCTCTCTATCACTCTCTTTCACCCTGTATCACCTCTATCACTATTATCAGATTTAGAGAAAAGTATAAGAAATGTAAATACTGTAGAGAATGTATGAAAAGAGTAGAATGAAAAAAAGAATAAAGATTTGAAGATTGATCTGAGCTGTATAAGTCAGAGCATTTAAAATATTTTAATAGAATGTATATAATGTCACATTACAATGTTTTTCATATGAAAAAGTTGATTTTTCTATAATAAATAGAGTATATTAATAATGAATGTATAGGCTGTAATGAATGTAGTAGAGAAGAGTATAAAGAATGTAAATATAGTAGAGAACATCTGTAAAGAAAAGAATGAAGATTAATATTATACAGACTGCAGAGTCAGCTGTTCATACTCATTTAATAAAGTGCATGTGATATTATATAAGGTTATGTTACAGGGCATTTTATATTAAGAGTCTCAGATTGATCAGCTCTTCTACCAGCAGTGTGCTGATGATAACTGAGCTCTTTTGTCTCAGTAGTCTACAGATTATGAGACTGTTAAGTGTGAGCCCTGCTGTGATCAACATGCATGAGTTCAATTCCAGAATAGACTTAAGAATATAAATTTCAAAAACAAATACTCTGAATATTTAAACAGTACTAAGAGACATTCTAGAAGTGTACTCTAGAAACTGTAATGGATAGTTGGGTTCTACCCCCACTATTGTTCTTTTCCTTCTTTTCTTTGAATTCCTTTACCCTTGCAGCGTTGTAGATCCTCCAATTATCCGGAGCACTGTCTGGATTGACCAACCAACAGTTGCCAAAGTGAGATCTCTCACATTCAGGACATGTAGGTGGATTGCCCGATCCCCGATGGTTTCGGGAGCCCCCTTGTGAACTACCACGACCACATCCAGTACGGCCACCACGGGCCGAATTCGATGTATTGTTGTTAGAATTGATAGGTGTAGTGGTCGTTGTAGCTGTTGTAGCTGTTGTAGCTGTTGTAGCGGAGTTGGCCGCAGAATCTGTATTCTGTAGATTCTTTTTATCTTTTGGAGGATCAAGCCGCGAGCGGATCTCCTCCATGAGAAGATCAACATCCAATACCACAGCCGTGGATTTGGAATCCTGTATCTCCTCTATCTTCTTTTGAACATAATCCCTCCAATTGTTGGGTAGGACTGAGTAGAAGGTATCAAATATCCACACATCTGGGGGGGAAGCATCCATCATCTCCAATTTCGTGATGGCGGACCGGAACTTATCAAAGAATGTGTGTAGATTGGTGACCTGTGTACCACCAAGTGACATGAATTCCAGAACTGCCTCACAGCATAACTGTGTTTTTGAAATAGAGTATTCCTGTTCAATCGCATTCCAGAGGGTATAAGCGATCCGATTTTCATCATATTTGGAGAAACATGGTCTGACACCTGCACTCAATGAGTTCGAGATGAATGTATAGAGCCACCGGTTTCTGGCGTCCCAGAATGGTGCCCATTCAGCATCTCTTTATAGAGGGTTCTGTGTCTGTCGTTTCTCTATCATATACCAACACTGTGCATCAATCAGTTTCGCTTTCATGAAGATGCTCCATGTAGTGTAGTTGAATGTGCCAGTTAGACTGTTTGACCTCACAGCATTCTTGACATCTTCCTTGAATTGGGAGATTGCCTTGCCAACTCGGCTATCCGGTTCATAAAGGTTGAATTCCAACCTTTCACCGAGATTAGGATCCCATGTGGCTGTACGGGCTGTTGAGGTGGTGGCAGGATGATTGTTGACATCCTGTGGTCGATCCGTAGAGGATCTCTGTTGACGGAGTTTTTCCAGTTGTAATTCGAGTTCTAGGACTCTTCGCTTCTCCTTCTCCATCTCAAATGTCATCTTGAGATGTTCCATCTGTTGGTCTGATATTGCCTCGCCCGAACGGTAGACTTCATGAGAACCAGCATCAAGCTGTTGAGTAGATCGGGGGGCCGGCCTGACCGTGTCAGGAGCTGTATTCAAACCAGCTTCGAATCGAGAGGGTGTTTCGGGGTGTTCATCAATGGAGCTTTCAAATGCTCCAGGAGGATGTCCACTGGCAGATCGTGAGTGTGAAGAATCATCATCAACTGAACCAGTGGGTAGGACGCGAGATCGCGAATGTGTGTGTGGGCGAGATCGTGTTGAATCCGCCATCTTGAAATTCGTTTATTGGATCCTTGCCAATATTGTTCTCTTTCTTTTCTTGCTTTTTTGCAATGTGGTGTGTTTTCTGCAAGCCTCTTTTTTAAGCGAGCAGTAGTATTATTGATCAACAAGATCTCAAACACATCAATACTGATAGAATAAGACGATTTTAACACCTGATGGGTGTATCGAATGAAGCAGTAGTTAAAATAATGATTATTGACAAGGAATCCCGAATTGGCAGCGATTTTTGCGCAAAACGGGTCTCATAACCTGTAAAGCTTGTGTGATTGAAAGGTTGCTAGCTTGTGGGAAGTTATATGGTGGAAGGATTAGTAAGCCAGATCACGTGACCTGACAGTAAGCTCTTGAAAGAATGAGCTCTAGAAGTGCTCAGTCGCCACCAGCGCACTGCTGGTAGAAGGGCCAATCAACCCAGAACTCTCAACATCCCCTCTCAGATCAGCTATCACAGAGTACTACATTTTACTCGGAAAAGTTGGTTTTTCTATAATATATAGAGAGATAGCTCTATCTTTTGTATGAAATTAGATATAATAGATAGTGCACGGATAATATAAGAAGCAGATCTTGATACACATAAGATTCATATGTCTTCAACATATTCATCCGTGATATTCATTCTGACACAATGTCACTAAGCAGGTGCTACTAATGAGGTGCATGTGATGTCATGTTACAGTGTTTTTTGCACGGAAAAGTTGGTTTTTCTTTAATATATAGAGAGAAAACACCAGAGGGCCTCCAACTTAAACACCCTCAAACCACTTGTGTGCCAACGCCTCGCGAGCAGTGATTCTCTTTTCCAGATCAAAATTTTTCATTGCACTTTTAAAATCATCATCAACACTCTTCCAAAGGAAAAATGATCTGTGCAGGTTGTCTTTGTTGAAACCATCCTGAATTACTTCAAAATCCCAAACCCAGGGATTATCACCAAGGTATCTCAAAAACCCATTCAGTGCATCTTCATCTGCAAAGTACGAAATTTGGCGCTCAATTACAATAGCCAAGGGATCCACACCATCGTCCAACTACTCTTCCCCAACAGGGATGGTGTCTTGGACAAGGCGGACATGATTAGCACTGCTGTGTAGCCTATTATTTATCTCTTGAAGGTCCCTGGAATTAACCATGTGAATATACTTCAATATGACCTTTCAGTTGCCAGCACTGTGGAAGTTGTGAGTAAATAATCTCAAGAAGGGGTAATCAGTGTCAACTCACACAGCAAGACAAATCTTCTGTGAGGGAGATGTCTCTTCCTGAAGCACCTGTTCAATCCTATAACTTTGGCCAGACTGGCTAACGTACTCCCTAGAGTCTGCTAGGGCAGTTGACATTGTGTTTATTCTGCAATGAAGGGTTGGTGATTGGTGTAACACCAGTTTGCATTTGGAGAGGTTCCATGTTGCAAGATTTAAATATCTGCATGAGCGAAAATGAGCCTAATGACAGCATGAGAGGCAACAAATTCGAAGAAGATGCTGTTGATATTCGAGCAATATCTGAACATGGATTATTCTTCTTTTTATCGGCGCCAACGCGCCGGTCGACAAGCCTCAGCAGGCGCTAGTCTCTTTCAGTTGAACCCACCATACGCTGCGTACAGAACAGGAGGCTCCCCTTGCTCAGTTCGCTTCATATTCAGAATCTGCATGGGACTTGCCGGGGCCCTCGTTTTCAAGTTTTGGAGAATATTTTTGAAATGAGGTTCAGGATGGTATCTGGTTTGGTTCTGAAGTACAAAAGTCTTTCAGAACGTGGTAGGCGTTTATGCTATACTGTCTCCTAGGGAGCAGAAATTTCGTCCTTTTCGTTCAATTTCAATATCCCACTTCTAAGGTAGCAACCCAAGGAGGTCTATATCTTGCCTGTCGTTACACTGCATCATCCGGCGGGGCCAAACCTCAACATCGAGATACATAGTGATCAGTGTTTGAACTCTCCGACATGCCTATCGCGTTGCTGTCGACACCGGCTCGAGCTATGAGCCAAATACTTTCTAGTGGAAGTCTTTTATACGCTTCCTATTGAGGACTCTCAAGGCGATGGTGGCACCCAAATATCATCGGTTCAGTATCGGCTAATTGTCCTCACGTTACACATCCCTACGGCGAATATGAAACGTATGGAATTTGCCGTTGAGGGGGGTCTTACCTCCTAAAGTGACACCCTCTTTCCGAAAAACCTCAATCACCAATCTCTTGGGCTCTACCGGAGAGTGTTGGCGTTGATATTAGGGAAAAAAAGAATATATTTCATGGCCGGATATACCAGCATTCAGAGACTTCCGGGCATTAGGTTTTATGTATCGAAATATGGGAAAATTCCAGGTTCTGTCGTATCCACCTGAGCCTAGCCGTCTCTAGTTTTTCCGCATGCTTAGAAGGGCTTCTCATTACAGTCGATTCTCCTCCCTGCAGTGGTCATGATTTATCGTCAGATATCACTGTTCACACATCGTTCCATCATCGCACTAAGTTTCCCTTTTCATTTTTTACAGTCAGATCAACATCCCACTATGACTCCGATGACGACCTGTCCCTTAGAGATCTGCTTTGCGACCACCGCTCTGGGAAAGCCATGGGAGAGGATAGATGGGAAAAGCTACAATCAAGAGGAAACTGGTTCTAGAGGTAATCCTATCTCGAAAGCACCGTTGTGAAATATGTATATAAACTGAAAGCCGTTATCACTGACGCTTGTATTCTTACCTCCATGGAAGAACAATTTGAAACTAGCAGCCGTCTATCCCCTAGCACATACAATGATGCGAAAGTGTATTTCATGGAATTCTGCAAGGCCCTCCTAATCATAAAAAAGTGTGTTTCGGAGGACATCGGAATTTCAGACCTGATGCAGATTTGTATGGATGAAAACTACGCGCTTTACCTTATAAAAGAGCATCTACGATTCATTGCACACTACCTAGAATGCCATAGCTCGTCGGAAGACGGGCAAGTGCCCCCGAATCGCTGGCACATATTTCTTGCTCGCGCACAGAACCTATGGAAAAGCGATGTACGAAGCTGGCCCGGAGTCAGTGGATTGTCATGGAGCGGTTATCATCACGTAATCATGGAGGTTGCGGATGAATTTCGCTTGAGACAATAACGAATTGACGAAGCGCACCCCGGAGGTCATAAGACACTTTGAGATTCTACCTCAGGGAAGTTCGGCCTAGGCGGAGGAAATCCAGGTGGGGAATAGCTGAGCGAGGAAGAACAACTACGCAAATGTGGAGGAAAGCTGGAACAAGCATTGTCTAACTACTAGTTACGGCGCCCAGAGGGACGGGGGAATGGTATGGATACACTTGTCGAGTATCCTTCTTGGGAACAAGTAGAGCCTTCTATCTCATCCACAACCTAGTTAGTTGCTTGTACTCGCTGCTTAATATCGGCTCGGAAAGTCTTGTATGTCGGATATTCTATCAGTTAGGGGCACTGCAAGAAAAATAAACAAATAAAAAAAATTAGCAGATCTGGAAAATAAGATTCTCCACTCCCATGGTAGCGCGGCTGGGTTGGGTCCTTCGTGGCTTACTAACAAGCGACCGCTTAGTTAAATATTTCAGGGCCAGTTGGTCAGAATGACAACGTTGCTAGATAAACAGCAGCAGCTCTCTATCCATCCGGACCTCGACCTGAAAAATTCTACTGCGGAAGGGATAGATTAAGAAAAGGTTAGTGGCTTGTGGCAGTCTTTGTACGTACGTTACTATAATAATTGCTCAAAAACCGTGTTCTTATCCAACAGCTCCCCCAATTCAATCCAAGTTAAGAAGATATACATAGAACTTGAACATATTTCCGTCCAGCATACTCCGCAAACTCCAGAACGAAACAAATCGCTTCGCCTATAGAAACAATGGCATCTCCCGGTGCCGATATCTTCACCCAATATCCCCTCCACCTGGACCCAACCTCAAAAGCCATCTCCGCCCCCTCCTGCAGCTCCGCCGCCCTAGACCGCGAACTCGAATCCCTAAACCAACTCCACCGCGCTCTCCTCAACCTCGACAGCCCTAATATACCCCCACCCCCAAAACCAGTGAACCCCAAACGCAGCGCACAAATCGCCAAGCTGCGCGAGACGGCCAACACAGCCTTCCGCAAATCCTCCTTCGCCGAAGCCATCAAGCTCTACACATATGCCATCGACATGGCCCTAGGCAGACCTACGTGGGAACACGTCGGGCTCGTGCGCGATGAGCTACCGCCACTCTTTACGAATCGAGCACAGGCATATATGGCTCAGCAGCAGTGGGCGGAGGGTTATGTGGATGCGAAATCGAGCGTTGAGATATCGCCGACGAATAATGGGAAGGCGTGGTGGAGAGGGGGTAGATGCTTGATTGAGATGGGAAGATGGGAGGAGGCTAAGGAGTGGATTTCTAATGGATTGGATGCTGAGGGGACTAGGAGTGAACCGGCGAAGGAGCTGAAGGGCCTCATGGTGGATGTGGAGAGAGGGTTGGAGAGGGAGAGGGCTTCGAGGGAATGAAAGAATGAAGGAATGGGCGTATGAGGCCGGGCTTTTAATTTTCGTGTGTTTTAATTTGTTTCGATAGTGAGGGCTTCGCTTGTCCAATATCTGCATTGTGGTTCGCGGCTTCCTCCATGTTTGCTATGAAGTATTTGAGCTCGGTAGCTCCTTTTTATATATATCCCTGTCGCCTCCTGTCTTTTTAACGGCGTTTTTGAGCACTCTGCATTTGAGTTCTAATATCAATACTTTGTACTAGGATGGTGCATCACTATGATTCCCTCGTGATACGTGCGCGCTTTGGCAACATCTTCTCTCATTCTTAGTCTACATAGAGCTTGTGCAAAAAAAAAAAAACCCCTATATAAATCAATCCATACTCCATACTCCTAGCAGCAGATCTAATCAACACCAACACCGCCACACCCATCGGACATTTCAGAATTAAAAATATTTTGTGATTACCCAGCATAAAATATCTTTATTTCGGCTTTACTCTAAACTGAATTTGCAAGAGCACGTGATGAGGATCCTATAATTTCCAGTGGGAGTCAGCTCCCACGTCGAAGTCACATCCCATATGGTGTAGTGGCTAACATCAGCGTCTCTCACACGCTAGCCGGGGGTTCGATTCCCCCTATGGGAGAAAATTTTATTTTTTCCACTACAAGTGGATTTATTTATTTTGGATTTATATATATATATTTCAATTTAAAACAGATCTATCGCATATAGAGTTTGTGTAGGGTAGGGCAATATGCTCCCAGAACGAACATTGCCACACAACACACGTAACGGCGCCGGTAATCAAGATAGTATGAAAAAATAGCTGCTTAATTCTCACTCCTGCAACCCCATCACCAACCCAATACTCCTTAACACAGACATATAAATAGAAAAGCACTATCCAGAGAGACAGAGCAAGCAGTCAAAGCTGTCATGGAACTAGTGAGACCCAGAAGCCGCGCCTAAGAAACAACGAACTTTTCTTTATAAAAAACACAACATAGGATAAATATCGATATCACACGCAGTAAAAGGAGGGGAGAATGAAAATAAGCACGTATGACCAGAATGAATATATTTAATTACTACCACTGATCAATTCGCCCTCCCCTACCACTCTTGGAAGAAGAAATGACAATCCGCTGGAGACAAGAGAAAAAGGAAATGCAAAGCCAGAAGTGGTACAATCAAGGGTGATCAAAAATGAGGTGCTTCGGAACAAAGGCGGAGGTTGGTATATAGTTTCACACAGTAGGAGCAGCATGGCTGTTCTGAGGAAAAGAAGCTGGGAAATAAATAGAACAAGAAAAAAAGAAAAAGAAAAAAAAAAAAAAAAAACAATGAGAGAGAGCACCAAGTAGACGCCGGATGTCGACCAATACGCAAAATGAGAGAGAGAAGTGAAATGACAAACAGAAAAGAGTTGAAGAACACCTCAGGGTGTCACTGGGAAACAATAACGAATAGGGCGGACAAAGACCAAGGGTGCAATTACCAAATACAGAAGAAGACAATGTGAAAAAAATAAATAAGAGAGAGAGCAGTGTGCAGAAAACAAAAGAAATTGTTAAAAACGCTTGCAGTATTTCGCCTTTTCCGTTCATGCTTTTCTTAATACCAGAGGCAATAATGGCACTCGAAAGTTAAAATTAGACGTCCTTGAACTACTATTGGTGTTCGTGTTTTCTATGATACTGTTTGGGTAGGGCCTGGGTTATCATTCATCCTCGCGTTTCCGCTTCATAACAGCCTTGAGCATATCAAGCCGTTCTTGAGTTATACTAATCGCATCCTCCATCTCGAGCTTTGTCATCTTTTCATTCCTCAGGCGCGCTTCGAGCTCCTTTTCGCTCATAAGTTGTTGTCTTTGCCGCTGCCTCTCAGCTCTTGAATGGTCGACAGTGTCGCCTTTGTCAGATGAGGGAAGGGGGTTTACGACCGGGTATGCGAGCCCGTCCATTCCAACTCTCTCCTCCAGCCAGTTCCATAATTCGCTTTCCTCTCGCTGCCAAAGTTCTTCATACGCAATAATTCGTTCCGGGATAGAAAGTAATGGGGAGCCGACCCCTGACGGTCCCAGGCGAGATGGAGGCGGACTGCGGAACCAAACCATTACTAATACTATGGCGATAACACCAGCAGCAACATTACCACTCCAAAAGGGCTTGAAAATGTTGACTATCGGGCCGAGAGGACCACGTAAAGGTTCCAGCATTCCCCAATCCTCAGCTTGTTGTCTCCCTGATTCTGAAGCAGCCTTTCCGCTAGCTGCAACTTCGAGTTCGACAGCATTTGCTCCCTTCCGCTTACCTTTGACTCCTTTCCCAGCACCTTTCGGAGGGGTCGTGTCGCGCGAACGAGGAGCTACACCCACTCTAAGTGCCTTGACTAGGTCGCTTCCAAAAATCGTCTGACCATCGTTTGCACCCTTCTCGATAGGACCTATTGTGATTTCGTAAGCATCGCTTGTTACTGTTAAGAAATGCGGGGAAGAGACAAACCTTTGAGCCAACTCTTGCCCGACCATTCAATGGCGCAAGTCATGTAGAACCTGGTGGCATTGTTTGGTGCCCATGTAAACAGGTACTTGGTCTTCACACAGAAAATATTCCCACTAGGCACATCAGGAGTTTGCGTCGTTAATGTAACCAAAACAGCCTTCTCCAAGTCAAGAAAGTCTAAATTCTCGGTACTGATGCATTTGGTTTGCTTGGGTCCGATGGGCGCATATAGTGGCTTTGTATACGAATACACCCGGGTTTTGTTGTCCACGGATAGCCCCTTCTTGTCATCTTCAAACTGCAGATCATTCACTTTCTGATAATCGACAAGAAACTTTGACATGAATGCACCAGATGCGGGGCCAAAAACGAGGGCATAAACAAGGCCCAGTGGTGCTGGTATTATTTCATCTTTCATCACTTTATCGTAGCGCCCAGAGGGATCCGTAAACTCCGTTGGTGGATGGGTAGCCGGGCCGGGAAACTGTGGAAGAGAAGAGTACACTGACGCAGCTCCTTTCTCTAGTACTTTTGCTTCACTCTTAGAGGTAACTTGGGGAGTCGAGGAAGGCCCCACCAGTGGAATTGTGGATGCTTTGCGGCTGATTCGTTTTATATACTCTGATTTTTCACTGCTAGTAGTACTTGCGTCAACGGCGTCCACAAAGTTTGTGCCTTCATCCTCCTCATCTTCGTCATATATCTCGTCCTCTTTGTCAGAGGGACTCTCACTCGCAGCATCACTCTCATCGGTCTTCTCCGTTTTGTCACCGGTGCCTTGTTCTATCCGGGTGCCATTAACTGAGCTCTTGAGAGTCGGGTGGTTGATTTTCCAGATATTAACCATTAAATCGTATGTGGCTTCTCGGCTCAGCAGACTTCGGAACGTATGCCGCGCATGCAGAGTTTGAATTGCGATTGCATTCGGAAAAACCATGGCCGTAGACTCCTTCTCAACGGCCATAATTTCATCGAAACTGATTACTAATGTCGTTACCCAGCCGAGGATATTACTTGAAAAGCAGATATGACCTTCAGATATGTATATACGGCCAGCCAGGATGATTTCTCTTTGGAGAGCGCAACTGTAGTCTTCGATGAGATAATCGTCTTCCGGAACACTTCTGAATAGCTGATGAAAGTCGCGATTTCGCTTTTTGCTCGCCACAGCAAAGCCCGTCAATCGCGGAGCACTGGTATTGGCACCTGGAATACCCAAGCCAAATCCAGCAGCGCCAAGCGCACCAATTGTCGCACCAGACGATCCTCGATGCCTGCGTGCAAGGCGGCTACGTACGCTACCGCTGCGCTTGATACCAGAACCGACTTCTCCTTCGAAAATACTGCCACCTGGAGGAGTTTGTTCGCCAGTACTAGCTCTTCCGAGGCCATTTAAGGGGAGACTGGAACGAACGTCGGCAGTAGGTTGCTCAGGGACTGGTTGGGACGCAGATGCGCCATCTGCCGGCTTCTCATAGGCCATGGAAACTGCACGAGCGGCACGCATATCTTCTATCCTTGCAGAGATCTCATCTCTTTGGGATGCAGTTCCTCTACGAGGACGGGAAGCAGCCTCAGCTTTCGTAAACACAACACCATCCTTTGTAGTTATCTCCCCGCCCGCCGATGCGTCAATCCCAAGATGACTGAAATTTAATTCACCCATCCCGAGCGTTTCCACAGCCAGCTCCTTCTTCTCCATTGCATCCTCATCTCTCGATGAATCCGCGGCCTCTTCGCTGCTAGGAACATCAGTACTTGATTTTTCTGGCTCCGCAGGTTCTGGTGTGGACTGTGTGCGAGCCTGGCTATTCAAACTGTTTCCAAAGTTAGAAGCGGCATTCTGGGCCGCAGAGAGCATGGAGGAAAAGAACCCTGACGCGGTCTTGGCTTCTTCCACAGTAGGCGTTAGGGGGGCTGTCATGGAGTTCGAAAGTTTACTAGGGCTGTGGGCAGCAGATGCGGAACGAACACGTCTATGAGATATCATATTCCCTGACGGACTCACAACGGCATTGGGAGGTAAGTCGTGAGACTTTGAGGCGGAGTCGCTCTCTTCCACAACATTTGTAGACGGCAGTGCTGGACTTTGTGAACGACTACCAACTGGAGTTGGTGGAGTCACCGTCGTAAGGGGGCCAGGTATAGAAGTGGCAGGAGGGCTCGTGGGGGTGGAGGCCATGCCCGGTGGTTTAGCAGGGGTGGAAAGGGAAGTATTCGAAGTTCCTATATGTTGGGGTATTGGAGAAGGCAAAGGGGGAGCCTCTTCTGATGGCTTTCGGCTATTTTTGGCTAAGGAGCTTGATCTTCTTGACCTAGATCCAAAGAGCCCCCTACCAGTTTTTGTCGCCGGCGACTTCGGAGCTTCGCGCTCAGGGCTTGGGCTCACACTTTTTTTCGTGGGTATAGGACTGAAAGCTTCTTTAAGGTTTCGACTTTTTCGGTTTGCGCTGGATGATCCAGAGTAATCTCCCATATCCCCAGTGGTGGCAGCACGGATCATATGGCGACTACTATCGGAAGACGTGTCCGACGGGCCGTTGGCGTCTAATGCAGTTTCCGTTGGATCAGAGGGAGCAGTGGTCGTGATTATTAAAGGGGAGGATGAAGGCTGGAGCGAATCCCGAGAGAGACCTAAATCAGGAGACGAATGCCTATTCAAGATGGGGTTAGTTGGCCATGTAGATAGAGGCGTCGCAGGAATAGCCAAAGCTATCTCTAAGGAAAATAAGGTGGATTGGAGGAAGAAACCCACCTTCCAGATTCCGAACCGTTACTTGGGCCACGGTCCGTAGTATCTACTGTAGAGGTACTATGATTGCCTATGGTTGGTGTATCTTCAGATTCATTGGGGATACGATGCAGTTCCGTTCCACTCCCGTTGTCCTGAGCAATAGAATTTTCCGATTCCATCTTCTTCTTGCGTCGACGACGTGACCCTGGAATCAATTTCGAGATGCCAGTAGGCGGGCCATCATAACTGTTTCCGCCTCCTCCGCCTGCCCCGCTAGTTGAAGGCCGCGGGGATTCATGATTCGAGTCGATTGAAGGGGCGGCACTCCGCCCTGACATGGAGCCATCGAATTCGCTGAGGGTGGTCTTGCTGCGATTCGACCTTGTAAAGGTCTTTTTGAACCCATTAGTAGAGGGAGCAGGGGCTGCTTCACTCGTAGCGCCGTCCATCAGCAGAAAGGAACGGTGAACGCTCCTGATGGAGTTGACTGAATCTTAAACGACGGAGACCTTCTAGTCACTGGTTTGCAACGGGAATGATTTGGGGAGAAATGTAGTTCAAGTGAAAGAGCTGAAAATCCCGGGCCATGGGATAGAGGACTGGAGGTCACAAAGAGCGGGGGACATGGGGAGGAGGGTTAGACCAACGCTGAAACAAAGCAGCGGAAGCGCAGATGGATGGTGAGAGGGTTGGTTGGTTAGGAAGAGGCGGGCGGCGTGGGTGCTCGGGGAAGTTCACGCAGCAGAAGTCTAGGAGTAGGAAAGGGGCTGACTGTGCCCATTTGGTGTCAGCATGGGTTGTTAGATCAGCAGGCAGGCTGACATGAGTATAGGAGAATTGTAGCCCGTGGAGGTTGTCAGGACGAGCGGTTGGGATGAAGTTGGTCTTCCCTGCGATTGCTGTGTTGGAATGTTCGGAGCAAGCTTGGATGCAGTTGCCGATTGGAAATACGAATACGCCAGTACGGGGGGTACCGATAAATTACGCCCTCTGCAACGCCTGATTGGCCCCCCACTTCGCACCGTGTATTTTACAGAGTACGGTACGTGCGTACTAGGTATGTACATACAAGTGATACAGTTTCAGCGATACGACGAACTACATACATCGACACATTTACAAGCGGCTCTTGTTTTGTCGGCGTGATTGTTACCCCGGCGTCAGTCAGCTCTGTTCAAGCAGCTGGGGCCGGTGACACTGCTGCTGTCTTCAAGAATTTGGCAGTTTTGACAGGTAGGAAGGGTTGGACAGAAGTGGATAGGAAGCTACGCAGCGTCGAAGGACCTTGGATCCTCCCTTGACGCTTGTGCAATTTCGTGCTGAGCTGCATGAAGCAATTCCCATACGCGGTGATCCATGGATATGGAGAGGAAAACCGTGGTGGGGGCTGATGGGGCGTCGAAGTTCTATTTCTAGATTATTTTGAAGCACATCGCCACATATGAACAATTCCCGACGGGCACAATTTCGATCGAAATGGTAGGGCGCCATCGGTAAGTGCATGGGGCAACAACCAATCTCGCTTCCCAGAAACTTGAAAGTTGATACTTGTCGTAATAATGACATATCCTGGAGAATATCAAGATCTGCACCACGGTGATATCTCTCCCCCTCCAATAATCCGAATAGCTATTGGCTGCGAAACCCGCTAATTTCGAGGTATCAAGATCGTGCTACGCCTCTTGAGACATACATGGAGAGCAGTCACTATTGCTGACAATATTAATGCTGAAGTGGGATTACGAAGTACGGCGTATCCAAAGTCGTAGCCTGATAAAAAGCGATTGGAGATTGTTGTCTCAGCCTGCGGCTGACCTTAAGCCACTGCCACGATGGAATCAGCGACGTGATAAATAAATACATAGATACATTTTCCATGGTTACTTATTTACACTGCCAATGGTATAGAATACCAGACCAACAAACAGGTCACTGTTTACTTACTTACTACGGAGTAGATGACTCGAGACTCTCGAGTAAGAAGACTCTAGTTAACTATAGTATTATTATTGTTTTTACAGACTGACCGAGTCCCTCTGCAAGCAATGCCTTGAGATCTATTTACAGAGTAATCTTGCATACACGTACCATACATGTATTCGGTGTATGTAAATAACGCGGCGCGACTCTGTCCCGCTTGGGCCTGCAATAGGTGACTAAGCCATCTGATAAGTGAAGGCTGCTCTCGTGACTTCATCGACTCCAAGCTCCAGCTCGAGAGAATCAACATTCGATATTCCGAGTCCAGGTACAAAACTCATCGCCACAGCTCTTCAAACCTCTCGAGTCCCACTGATTTCTTCGTAATACTAAGTTTTCGATTTGCTGAAGGGCGTATTGAAGAGGCCTTGTCAGTGGAGATATGGAATCGTCGCCGTTGACTTTGGTATGTGGAGTGTTCCTAACCCTACCTGGTACTGGACCTCGAAGCTAACCTGACCGCCAATACTGTGTCTAGGCGCATTCCCATGCTCGAAATGCCCTCTTCGAAACACGCAAATCTAACCCGGTAGCGGCCAGTGAGGAACATGACCTTGCTGCTGGCGAGTTTTCGACCGCAGCCCAAGGCACCCTCGACCCTGATGTATGTGGATTCTTGCCTCTGTAGCTATACACACAATCGTACATATTCTCATATGGATGGGATTCTAGGCGCTGCGGACCCTTCAGCTCCTCGAAAAACACCACAAACGACTTGCGGAAATCCTCAGGTTCCAACATGAACACCCTGTAGCCTCTTGTCCCGAATCCGTAAATTCGCCGCCGTCAACCCTTTCAACTGCCCAACATATTAAATTTATCTCTGAAGGTGTAGGTGGAGGATCGTCTTCTGTTGCAGCTCCATCCCTGGAAAATACCCACCAACCCCCTCGTTTACCCACTCAACATAGATCTCTCCAGCGCGATACAAGCTCAATAGCAAGCAATTTGGCTTCCGCACGTGGTATTCCTTCCCACCCACCCCGAGGCAGTCTTGTATCTCCAACTGTATCAGCTCAGAATGCTGGCGCGCAAATGGCCGGCGCTCCATTACGGACAAGACTTGAAGACACTAGTCTCGATACCGTAAACGCCGAATTAAAGGCTCTCCCTAGCATGTCTTCCAGACGTAAACCGTCTTGGGCTCCAACGGCAATAAGCCCTACAGATATCGTCGACCAACAAGCAGTCCCACCAGAGCCAACTGAGACACGTAGACTCGGTTTTGGATTCCCAAAGGATGAATCGTTCCAGCGATTTTATTCAACCTTTGAAGGCCTCATATCCAAACTCTCTGGACCCCTAGCTTTTGCTAGTTTACCTCTGGGCATTGATCCAGCCAGCCAGAAATCCGGAGCAGATACCAAGCTCGACCGCAGCCCTGCATCCGCAGATACTACCAGCCATTTTACAGAGCAACCAGACGTGAATAAGCTAGTATCAGGAGCCGCACTTCGGGCTCTTCGAGGCAGAGAGGGCTCAAATGGGTCAGCTGGCCACACAAACCCGGCAGAATCATTCTACGTTGTCCCTACGGCGGGTGGAACGATATCGTACGCGGGCATCCTTTCTCGAGCTGAAAAGGAAGCCCGTAGAAACAGCCTAGGCGACAGCCACGACGACGACTTCGTCGATGCGCGTGAAAACCCGCTGCCCCCGGAATCTTCTGCAACCGCCACGGCATCAAACAGGGATCGAAAAGCAACTGGGGGACGGAGGAGAGGAGGAGCAGGGGGCGCACTGGAGCGCAGCACGGCACAGGCTGCACCACACCCAAACGCAAAAACCCTAGAAGAACTGCAAATGGAGAACCAAGCGCTGAAGCACCTGTCAGACACGCTTTCCAAACGACTGCACATGTGGGAAGTCAACGCGCAGTCGTCATCATTGGCATTGCAGCAATCCCTCAAAGCGATGCAGCACCAATCCGCCAGCTCGCCTGCACGCCAGCTCTCCCCCATGTCCTCTGCTACACCTCAGGTATCCCATGCCCAGGGTACACAATCAACATCACCGCTACCTCCAGCGGAGGGTGCTGCTGCGGGACTCCAGCCATCATCACGGGCTGGGCCTGGTGCTGACGCGGCCCGGCTTATGGAGCTAGAAGAGCGCGCGCGCCGGAGTGAAAGGGAGTTGCAGCGCGTGGGCCGCGAGAACGAGAAGTTGAGGGATGTGGTGGGGCGGTATCGGGATCGGTGGGAGAAATTGAAAGAAGGGGCTCGAGTGCGGCGGGAGGGGGGGAATGGGGGCGGCGGGAATACTAATAATGGAGGTGATAAGGGGAAGCCGGTGGAGAAGAGTAAGAGTGCTGCTACAGCTGCACCTGCCAGCACGACTGCTGTTGAGGAGGGTGCAACTGCGGTTAATAGAGATGGCGCTAATAGCACTGCTGCTGGAGGAGGAGCAGCCGGAGGAGGAGGGCCGGGTGGTGGTAGTGGTGCCGGGGAAGGTGAAAGAAAACGACGAGATGAAGATGAAAGTGCGAAGGGTTTGCTTGATGACTAGCCTTTTCTTTCAATTGAATGATTGGAATCCTCCTGGCAGGTGCTTTAGTTAATTCAAAAATGTATCCATCCCATGATGATTGCTGGCCATATCTGCATAAAAGAAAAGTTCCTTTTAGACCCGCTACTACTTCTGCGATGGAGCTGGAAACATGTAGCATTTAGTAGAGAAGCATTAAAAATCAATGTGTTCTAATTTTTTTATTTTTTTACTTTATTTTTTTATTTTATTTTATTTATCTCCACAAGTAAAGAAAGAATGCTGCATATAACAACAGCATTATGTATTGGGGGGGGGGGGGGGCACATTGATTCAAAATAGGAAGAAAACAGAACCCGGAGAAAAATGCCGTTAAATTGATCGCGGAAAAGAAAAAAAAATACAGTAAGGCAGAAGAAGATACCATGCATAATGCAATGGCTCTGTAGGAACAAAAATCTGCTTTGTAAGAAGGGGTCTGAAACCTGGAGAGCAAAGGCGACATAGACAATAATCCGCCGATCGAAAGCGGAGACAAAAATGAACATTGAAATAGATGAAAACAGAGGAAGAATGGTTCCGACCATACACGGCATGCAGTGTGGACGAAAAGGTTGAAAATTAAAGTAAAGTAAACAAAGTCGCCAGAAGGAAAATATATATGCGAAGGTGACAACGAAAAAAAAAAAAAAAAAAAAAATTCACAAATCAATCCACTGTACCCAGATATGTACTATGCGCTCATATTAGAATGTATTCCTTATCTGTGGCGAGCAAGGAGAAGAAGGTAGATGAAGGGGAGATAGAAGGATTAATCAGTCTCTCGATGGCCTGGCGTCGTCGCCATCGCCAATCTCGCCGGGACCGCCAGCAGCCGAAGGCCCGGCCTTACTTTTCTGCTTATTTTTTGCATTCCCTCGGATACTGCCACTGAGCCAGCCCAACCCGCCGCTCCACGAGTCGCTAAGACTACGCGTTCGAGTGTCATCTTTATTCTTCTGCCGCGGTGACGCAGACAGTGTTGGGATTCTCTCTTGCGTGCTGGTTCGGTTCGTGGTGCTTGAACCGGGGAGTCTTGGGCTCACGCGGGCACCTCTGCGTAACACCTCGTCCTCGTCGGCACCTGTTTTGCTGGTGGCCGTTTCATACTCGGTTTCTAGCGGGGTTCCTTCTTGGTTAGACCTTGTCGCTAGGCCTTGGTCGGTAGGATATGGGATGGATGCTCTCTTTTTGCCTTTTCGTTTTGACTTCGACAGGGCGCGTTCGCGCTGACTGCGAGGAGACCCTTCTCCCCTTAGAAGCGAATCTGCAATAACAGCGCTCAAGGTGCCTGAGAATGGTTGGAGTAGTGGACCAGGCGCGAAGCGTTTTGAAAACGAGCCTCGTGATCCAGTGTTTGGTGTTCGAGAAGATGGAGGTTGGCGACCTGTTGTTGGAGGTGTTTTTGGTCTTGATCGTGCGGCTTGCGGGGGAGTATGTGGGGAGCTTTGTTGGTTACTGTCTGGGTGAGATCCAGTGAGGCCTGGTGCAGATGGGAATTGGAGGAGGACTTGGGTTGGAGGGGGGTATATGTGAGGTGGGGTTTGAGGCCCAGAGACAATCGCTGATTCGCCATGGCCTTCAAGGGTTGTTGCCCATGGATTTTCGGTAAATAATTGCTTTGGGCTGGGGGTGGGGGATGCGGATAATAAGGATGCGCCAGAAATTGATTGTGTGGAAGAGGCAGGACCGCTAGACAACGGAGCTCGTGGGGTATGTATCCCATCGTCTTCTGCGTAATCGCTCTCATCACTAAGAAGAGAACGGGGATGAGAGTCGGCAGCTTGAACAGCCGGACCGGCAGTCCCATCCAATATTGGCGCTGCGTGGCTTTGATCCCTTTCACGTTGCGAATCAATGCTGTCGCGATAACGTTCTCCATCGAAAAGACCGATTGCCTCCTCGTCGCCATCGGACTCGGATTCGGATTCCGAACCATCTCCACGATTTCTACCGCTCGTGATAAGATAAACTCCTAGGAAGGTGAGTGCACAGCCTCCAATAAATTTCTCTGCCCGTGCAAGGGTGGTGGACTCGAAATCACGGTAGAGGACAGCGCTTCCGAGAATCACTGAAATAGTAAACAATACAAACTGAGTAGGGATAACTTGGGTAGAATCGAATCTTTGTAAGGCTCGATTGATGTATCGGATCTGCATGACGGCACTGAAAACAAGTACGGCCACTAGGGCGTATGTGATAGGGAACGTGATGACATGCCATAAAGTGAATGATAGTAACGACGCAACGCCCTTTGTCGATAGAGCAGTATATCCACCTGGTAATATGATAAGCTGGAGATTCATCGTTATATGGGGTCTGACGCAGGTACATATATACTCACCAAACAATCCAACCAAACCCAGATCAATTAGAATAGACTGCCTCCCATACTTCTGGCTAGCCCACATCAAACCAAAGATAAGAGCGATCGTGAGGCCAAGGTATAATTCGAACTCCCACCTCGTTATCATGCCCCAAATCTCGCCGGGGCCTATTTTTGTCTCCGAGGTTTTAGCGCTGAGCACAATTGTAACTGCACCAGCGATAGAAACCAGTACACCAAGTAGATCTCGTCGACGAAAAGTCTCCTTCAGCATGAATGGAGCAATGAGACAATTCGAAATCAATGCCACGACTCCTAGAGGTGAAACGATAGACGCAGGTGCAAATCCATAAGCAAGGAAATTACCAGCTTCTCCGACGGTCATAAGAATGATGCCCGTCCACCAGTACGGAGATCGAAGATACGATTTTCGTTCATTGGAAATTTGACTCTTCTCCAGGGGCGTTAACGTCCGGTCTGACATGAAGGACTGTTGGAGCCTGTCAGAGTCCGGGTTGCTATCATCGAGGAAGTTATCCCTCTCCCTCTCCCCCTCATCCTCGTCTGTGTATGGATGAAATCCAAATCTTGAAATTTCCTCAGACCTAGTAGATCTTCCATTTGTTTCCGCCCGAGCGGTGCCTGCACGTTCATGCTCATTCGCGGCCTCGTCCTCATCTTCGTTTGCAACGGCGACAAAATTACTAGACGATAACCGTCCTGACGGCACTGTGGTCCTGGAAGCACCTCTCTTCCAACCATTCCGTTGACGGTTGCGTTCGTATTCCCGTTCAATCCGTATGTGTGCGTATCGTTGGATATTCAGAGCAAAGGAAATAAAAACGTTCCCAACGATGGCGGTAACAATGCCTATCGTAGACGACCACTCGCTCATTGGACTGTCACCACCGTCCCCATCGCCTCCAGTATCTCCGCCGTCTTTCCCAGTATTTCCGTCTCCTAGCAAACCGATCGTGAGGGGTGATAAAGGTGTGGAGACGACCGAGTCAAGGAGAAAGCCGAGGGCAAACACAACTAGAACCCTAATCTCCATCATTGCACCCTCTTTCCGGTATCGACCACCAGGATTTACGATAGAGGAGAGCTCTAAGAGGAGAGAGATATCTACGTAGATATCCTCCGGCTTGCCCAGCCTCTGTTCAATCGGAAGTCAGTTGCTCCTCTTGGTTTTTGCCGTGATCGCTTACCCGCCTTCCCCAGGCGAAACTCTGCATTGGCTGTCCGTCCTCGCAGTGATGGCTTGGCTGAAGAGCGATCGGTGCTGTTGATCACCACAACAATCTCCACCCGGATGTCAGTCAGCCGGTGCGGGTGAGGTGGCGCCGATACTGTGGTGATATTTGGGTGCTATTGCGCACTTTCATTGACGGAGTGGAAGGATCATAGCCATCATATACAAGGTACAAAACATTGCTAGAGCTTGAGCGAGGGTGTTCGATGAAGGGAGTGATATCCGGCAGGTGTGGAGAAAGGAGAGGATGGTGCGTCGCGAGGTATTGATAATTTGCTTGAACGCCACTAAGGAGGGATATCTCGGTGGTCTACTACCCGTTCTACCAAAGATGGACAAACAATATTTTCCTTGGATTGGATGGCGGGGCTTCGATAGATGGTGAGCCTTGTTTCAAGCTTGCATTGAGCCCGGGAGCTGTCAGAAAGTTGGAGGCTTGATGCGGCTGTAGTTAACCAACTCCTGGTAAAAATGGCTTGGCTTGCTTGTGACAGCAAACCCTGTCTAGGTATTTAAGCCACAGAGGGTCCCAACGACACATCGAAACGAGACGATTCTCCCTGGACTTAACAAAAATAATATTTTTTTTTATATTTTTCATTGATGCGGATATCTCTTGATTCCAAATTAATCCATAAAATGATGTACATGTACAGACGGAAACCGTCTACTGACAGGTCGAATCCGACACACCAAACTTGTACATACGTTTATTATCATTAAACAATTTGCATCAAACGCCTGTCGCCATCAATATCCGTATGCTCTAAAACGAAAGAAGTAAAAAAGGATACCGTATATAAAGAAATAGAGCCAAAGTTGTCAAATTCTAATCCCGCTTCACCCGTTTCCGCTCCGGCTTCTCCCCTTCGGCTTCCTCTTCACTCAACTCTGCAAAGATAGGGTTGGGTTGGGTTTGCTTCCATACTTTTGTAAATACAGGCTCTTTCTCCGCCTGTTCTGCATATTTAAGTAGTGCCGCCCGTGGGTCCTCATCTCTCATAGAGCTAAGCGGGATGTTTTCCTTGATATGCTTCTCGTCCGGCTGGCTCTGCGCAAAGGGAGTTTTGTTGGGTAGGTGAGGTCTACGTGGGTCTCGCGGTCGGCCCGAGGCAGTGAGTCCGATTGTTGGATGTCGGCTGGAGAAAGAAGCACCTGAAACGATTTGGCCCGTAGTGCTATCTGCGGATAGACCAAGGGATAAATCTGTAGTAAAGTTTGGATCGTCGTCGACGTGCCTCCGTTTCGGCGCTTTGGACATGACAAGGACGGCACCGTTCCGAGACATTGATGGGTTATATAGCACATGCGTTTCCCCGTTTGCAGAGCCCGCAATTATCTGGTTCAGTTTCTCGTGCCAAAGCACAGCAATAATGGGAGACCCTGGCGTGACTGACGTGGAAAGCTCGGGCTTTAAGGTCGCAGGATTCAGGATATGGAGGTCTCCAGTTTCGCTGCCGGTGATGACATTCGCTCCGCTGGGAGAAAACATGATATTTGCGTTCTGAGAATACTTGGACCCAGAAGTATGGGGTACGGTTGTGATGGGGGTTTTGAATTTTCTCGTATCCCATAGCTTGATAGTATCATCCCCTCCCCGGGTGACAACTAGTCTGCCATCGGGGCTAATATCAAGACCGCTTGTCCAAGTATCTTTAGTATGTGCTCCTTGAATTTGAGCGCTTGGTCTCAGAAATGGACCGTCGCCTCCCCACATCACCAGGCTCCCATCGAGAGCACTCGCAACGAGAATATTTTTGCCTCCTTGGGCGGGAGTACCCCAAGCCACCGCAGTCATCCGTGTCCTGCCCGCACACCCAGCCGCCCTTGACTGGTGAACAATAACGTCTTTTTGTGACCTCCCCACATTCACGTCCCATATCCTTAATGTGCTATCAGTTCCCGCCGTAACACATAAATTATAGTCCGTAGGGCTCCATGTGCCGCTTGTGATCTCAGAGATGTGGCCTTTAGTATTGCGCATATCCCGAAGGTACATATCCCCCTTAACAAACTCCGTAATCATGTCGCCATCGCGGTCGAATATTTTCGCTTGAGGCGTTGCGGATATGACTAGAACCTGGCTTGGGTACAAAGGGTTGAATCGTACGGCGTGGACAGGGTGGATTTCCGATGCTGCGGACTGCTTTTTTGCTGACGGTTCGACTGATTTGAATGCACGGAGAGTGGTCGGTGTCATCGAGGCAAAATCATGTAGTTTTATCGTGCAGTCTGTGGAGCCAGTTATCATTCGCGACCCGGAGGGATCAAGGGTTACTGTCGTCACCGCGCGCTCATGTGTCTTGAAAGTAAGTTCGTGGGATGTTGGAAATTCATCTTCATCCGAATCGTCCGAGTCGTCTGAATCTGAATCTGACTTTTCATTTGACATTGAATCAGCGTTTGAAATCATAGGGGTTGTTCCCTGTTCTTTTTCTTCGACTTCAACATCATCGGCTTCCCGAGGTTTATCCTCGAATTTGGATGGCGATTTTGATTTCGCTTCACCTCGTTTTGTCCGTTCAATCTGCGCTTCTACATTAGTTGACTTATCTTGCTTCCCGAAGCCACTAGGGAAAAACTTTTTAAAAGTTTCTTCGTCGAATCCGTCCATAGTAAGTGAACACACTTGTGCATCGGCGAATCTGAATGAGAAGAGCAGAGCTGATGCGAGAGCTTGGCAGCTCTTCAAGTGACGTTAGACTTAAAAAACTAAACTTTAAAAGATACTAGCGGTTGCGCCATTCAGTAGCGCGGTTAAATATGGCGCTTAATCTATTTACGCGCCGAGCGAACCTTAAGCTGTACGCTGACCACAGTAAGGTTGTCTTGGCACTGACACACCATTTACACCGCTGTAGTACTATATGTAAAAGGAGGGAGGAAAATGGGAGCCGTTGATAAGGCAATGTAATGTTTGGTACTGAGATATATTTCAAGACTATAGATACTCGTTTTGTCTCTACACCTTCTGAGAGCTTCAGAGTTAAATTCAAAGGTTTCTACTTCGCCACAGTCAGGAGAAAATCAGCTGAGTTGAGTGTTAGATGGAGAGAGAGGAAGCGAAGTGACGATGAAAAAAAAAGAGAACTCTTATTGAGCTCATTTCACAGCTTCCAAGTTGTTGGGCCAAACGCCTCACTCTCACGCATTGTCTTTGGCGTCGCTTTATGCATATAATCCTAATCCGAAAAGAGCAGAAGGAAAACATGTTAGCTTGATCACAAACGAATTCCAAAATGAAGTTGTCACTTACCAGTGTCTCATGTGGCACTCGATTTTCCTACCAGCCCGGGAATTCCACTTTTGGAAAAGTGAGGGCGAAGAAGATAACGATAGTTGCAAGTACTAGCCCCGTATACAGAGCGGCGGACGTTATGTAGTTATAGTTCTGCCACCATCCCGGTCAACGACGACGGATCCAGTAAGTCTGTGTGTAAACCAAAGCATGGGAGACAAAAAGACAAGGCAGAGGGAGACGCGGTTATAACGGCTTTGGTGAGAAGAGCCGTTGCGTGGGAGGTGGAAAAGTATACTGGAGCGTTCAAGAGACGGGCCGGAGATCGGGCGAACATGCGAAAGAGCACGTAGAAGAGAACCGGGAAAAGTGCACCGAGTAACCAGAACCACTGTATTGACTCGTATAAAGAGCCAGGTCCAAACATTCGGTCGGGACCACTAATACCTGAGATAATGGGAGATTTGAGTACAGGTTGCGTTTCGGGAAAGGAATATATATATATAAACATATCCCAGACAATAGCAGACGAGAAGAAAGTTTTCCCATTATGGCAGGTAAAGTTTGCCGATTGGGCACTTTGCAACCGGGGTTGGCATTGTCATTACACATATAGATGCACACAAACTAGGAATGAGCTTACGGCGTGCAAACTTCGTCGATATTCCCAAGAGTCCAATTCATGGCCGATCGCAATTTGAACAAATGCGTTCCACATAACAGCAAATACCTGACAAGTCAAGGTTGTTCTTGGACGGATTTTCATATAATGTACTAGCTGAGGAGTGTATGGTTTCCACGGACTCTTCACGAAGGGCGCCATAGATTTCCGCCATTGGCCATTAAGAACGAACTTTTAGATCCATAGAAAAGGTTTGCCTGTGGCGGAATTAGTCAACATCTAGGACGAATAGAGCCACGAGGCAATTGTTGCTTACGCTTGACTGAGAGTGTTTGTGGCAAATACTTTGAAGACCATAACTCCAATAGCTTTTCCGGGGATCAGGTAGCCTCCTATGAAAGGAGACATAACATTAAGCGCTGAGACGGGTTAGCAGTCGAATGGGGATCTCGTGGCTTGGGCGGGGACTCAACAAAGTCTAACGTTTGTTATCGCCATCAACATGCAAGTTTGGATCTGTTCGATTTAGTAGAAGTTTGCTAAGTTAACAAGGGGCTTAGGAGCACATACAACAAATACCAATTCGAGACGACTGAAACGAAGAAAGCCCACCCTATGACAGCCACATCATTCAGAAACCTGACTTGGACGCAATCGCGGATGTATAGGATGGCCAGTTGGCTTACAAGGCAGTTGTGAAGCATATTCTTCGCCGGTAGCTAGACTTGGAATAGAGCTCCATACCACCATTCAGGACATTCCGGGTAGTTCCGCATCAACTTCATGTGTATATTAGATTCCTGATTTTTCGCAGCCTTCAGTCTGTAAATGATTTCCTTCCGATGGAAAAGAATAATGTGCACAACAACAGCGGTGAGGGTGGCAAAGGAGAGTCCATAGTTCAGGGCATATGTGGGGACCAGAAACAGAGGCGAATACTCCTTGTACTTGGCTACGTCGTCGAATGTAAAATCTGGCCCGACAATACGGGAGGCATTGTAGAAATTTTGGGTATTGTCAAAGGTGGAGGATGTGCTGATTGGCAGATATTCGGCGTACCTATAATTAATGAGGTTCGTGATAACCATGCGTTGATATCTGCTTACTTACAGCGCCCCTGAAATGGTGATACCGATATATGTAGCTATTACCAAGTCTATTAAAGTGTTCACATGCGAATGAGTTGGCGATAGCATAGGGCTGAGAAGGTAACTCGATATGTAGCTAATGTAACGGTTTAATGGTCGCTCCCACCAATATGTGAGGGAGAAAATAACTCACGTCCAATCGAAGGTCAATGGGATCAATGACAACCCTGTAAATTCACCAAATTGCTGATTGACAACAACATTATTTGGTTTGATCCTTGAACTACGTTTAGAAAAATTTTTAAAACTATAACTGACTCACACGTTAAGAAGGAAAATACTGCGAGACCCTCTCAGATGATTCCAGGAAACCTTTTTTCCCGCACAAAGAGCATTAGTTTATATAGGTGCAATTGATTGCAAAGGGCTCGGGGAGTGTTTAACTAACCAATAATATACAAAAGACGCCAGGCCCAAGTACATGAACAAGCGATGACGTGAAATACTCCACCCGTTTGTCATGGAAGGGTCTAGCCCTCTCTTGTCATGGAGGGCATATAGAAGGCTTCTACAGGAAAATACCGTTGGCCACATCATGGAAGATGGCCTAGGAAAAATCGAGTTAGCGGGCTTCTAGTATATAATGGCAAATACCAATACTTATCAGACACAGAATCGGCGAAAAAGACCCGCTAACCAAATTCCAATGAGCTGGCTACTTAGGGTAAATAGTAGCTGGAATCCCCAACCATTATCGACGTTGAAATATTTTGTTCAAGTATGAGATTAGCGTTGTGGAGGACTAGGAGAAAAGTGTATGCATCAACAAGGGTGTTCTGACCGTTTCCTTTCAATGCAAGAAGCGCATCGGTACTATAGGCATAAGTAATTAAGTAATGGAAACACTGTTGACATTCATTCCGCTAGTCCTCATGTTCGGTTTGCGGCCATAGTTACACGAGAAAGGTTCGTCGTAATACTTACTTGGTTATAAGCTATGACAAAGGTTTCATTAACAAAGTTCCCCGTTTTGCTTAAAGAACATTTGTGGGGCGGAATATCATACAGTAACAACTGTGTCCACCTTAATTGTGAAAGGTCCCGGGTTAAAAATTCAACGAAGCGCAAAGTGTTGAACACTCTACGGGGAACGACATTAGCCCAAAAACAACCCATGGGGTACACCAGCCTGATTGTGAGCACTATCGTGAGTACCAGTATGTTGAAAACAAAGATTAACTTACAACTGAACAACAATGGACGGAAACCTTATGGCGGGACTCCTGTATATCGCTCGAGGGTTGAGGAGGATAGGTTACCTCATGCTCAAGAACATGTTCAAGCCGCCACCAAGTGTAGTGAAGATGAATCCCAGTATCCATGCGCGGACCGTCTTAGCAACCAACTCCTCGTCCATGTTTTGAACAGCTGCACGAACTTCAAGATACGGGGAATCTTCAATGAGTTCTTGCTCGAGTGCAGTGGCCTTTCAGTATCGCCTGCTTCGGTAGCATGGCGAAGGGCGTCAATATGCTCTTGGGGCAAATTTGGATCAAATTGATGAGTTGTTTGAACTTCTGTATATCCTCAATGACAGTCGAAGTAACATGCGCCCCTAGCTCAGTAGAAATTCCACCATCGTGATCTAGCTATTGGCCTCTCATGCGAGCGCGCATTGCTTGAAATCCCTTTGAAGCTTGAACCATTTCGCAACAGTCACAAATAACAAAGCCTAAGAAAGATAAATTTGTTCTTTGTGAATATGCCATCGCTGGGTGATCAGTTCTATAAAACATCAACGTTGAAATGAGAACCCTTGGAAGTGGTGCATTTTAGCTCACCAGAAAGCTATCAACAATCTAAGGTACAGGGGGCATGGTACTCCTGTAGGGTAGCATTGTCCAGAAGGGAAGACCACATCGGTTAACGGAAGTATCTGTTCAGCGGATAGCTGACAGTTGCCCAGCAAGGAACGCGATCTCTCTAGATGTGCGAAAGAAGGAGGGTAGCTATGCCTCCTATTTTTAGGGGTAGATGACCAAAGGCGGGGGTTGTCTGAGAGGCGCCGCCGAAACCGGAGCGCCAGTAGGGGACTCCTCGGGGACGTTGCATTGCTTGTACGAAACATACATCCAGGTCTTCTCCCCGCACACACACTCGGGTGCTTATTCTCCAACGCCTCACTCACGCCGTTGTGTATGACAGGCTGCCGGGATGAAGGCACCCAGCAAAATGCAAAAACTGGGCGTGTCCGTTAATATCCTGTGCTTTCATCTTCAAGGAAGATGATATTGTCAATCCCATGAGCCAAAACGGAAGAGGTAGACTTTTTGGTGGTTTTTGGAGCATGCTCCGCATCCATGTAGAGTGCTAGCTGTTCAGCAGCTCAGATAAAGGTCCGGCCGCGCAATGGGGTATCTATCTTTCGGTCAGAAAGCCGCCTGCGTTGGTGGTACTGATACAAAGAGAAAATATTGAGGAAACTTGCCAGATACATCCGATTGTCACTTCCTTCCATAGCACATACATAGCAAGTTTCCTTTGTTTGACCAGCGGTCAACTGTCAACACAGCGAGCAATTAAGGAGAGACGTTGTATTGACGGGGCGCCAAGCCGACCGAGCAGGCGGCTAGGCAGGCGCTTGGCTGATGCGGTGGAGTTACAAAGCCACAACGACGTCGATCTATCAAGCTTAGCACTCCATACTCCGCAAATGCTAACGAACGCTTCAATCTTGTGGCACAATAACCGACGAGCTGGAGGCTGGGCAACCCTGAAATGGTTTATTTTTGCCTGGTTTACGGGCCAGAGATGAAAGTTTGTCGGCTCGATTTCTGAGAGGGGCTGCTGGCCTCGGGCAAAAAGGCTTGGATGAGACGGTCGAGAGGTATTCGGATGCTAAACAGCCATGTAAGGCCGGCTTATTTCGAGCTGCGGCTCACTGGTGGTGGCTTGACCGGACGGAAAGTGAGTGTTAAGGTCGAGAATACCCTCAAGCCTGCTCGACTGGCGCGAAAGGTGTGGTTGTGGCTCTGACGACTCTTGCGATGTCGGCATGACAGCAAGCAAACAGTCCGGTAAACACATCCGATGGTGCCATTTGCCTCATGTTCTGCTGCATATAAAACACCTGCCGCACCCTTGCCATTGGTAGGGCAGGTTTCGTACCTGTTCTTTTGCTGCACAGCACGTACACGACAATCAGCCCCCAGCCATCCTCGCTTGTCTTTGCCCTATTACCATACGCTGTCGAATTGAGGAGTTCATCACCGCGGTGACATCAGACCATACTGTTTCTGTTTCTGAGAAGATGCAACAGCGTATTGAACGGGTCGCGGAAGACCTAAACTGTCTCAAAAAGTTCTACAACATTCCCTTTTCTCCCGAGAGAGTGAGCCGGCTTCAGGCATACTACAATGAGCAGCTCAGCGATCTTAGCAAAGAAGGCTTTGATAGCCATTCTCAGGACGGTAATATTGACTACTTGCTTTTGCAAAACTACCTGAAGCGGAACATGAAACAGCTCGACACCTTGATGCGTAAAGGAGCGAGAAGATGCAACCTCTTCTCCCATTCGCCTCCATGATAATCAATCTTTGTCAAGGTAGGTAGAAAATGAACCCAATAAACGGGTAGGGAGCCGCTGGTGACCTAGACTACGCCACCAAAGTCATCTCCGAATTAAAATAGCGCGTAGAAACCGGGAAGGTAACAATTGACAAACCAAGTGCTTCCCGTGCCGCAAAAGCGGCAGACCAGCTCCGCAATCACTTACAGGAGTGGTTTGGTTTCTTCAATGCCTACGATCCGTTGTTTACCTGGTGGGTGAACCATATGGTAAGATCGCCAAGGCACTAGAAGAGCTCACAACTTTTATTGGCGAGAAACTCATGGGCACCACCCCTGGCGACGAAGAGGACGCTATTGTTGGAAAGCCCATCGGCCGCGATGGCCTGCTTGTCGACCTTGGTGTGAGGCTGAAATGATAAAAGTAGCCACTGAGCTGGGCTATAGCGGCAACTGGCACCAGGCTCTCGAGTTTGTGAAGACCCTCCAGGTAGAGCCGGGCCAACAGACCACTTGTGCGATCTCGCACTCGAAGCAATCGATTACGTGACAAAGCAGCATGACCTCGTTACTGTTCCACCCCTCGCGGCGGGGACGTGGAGAATGTTCATGATGTCGCTAGCATAGCACAAGCAAGTCCCTTTTTTCCTTTGCGGAGAGAAAATCATGGTGTCATACCCTACAGCGGATATGGCCCATGAATCCAAATTAATGAGCATACGCGGGTACAACATCCATTTCGCCCGCGCAACGGTCTTCCACGAGTTGATCGCTGGCCATTATTTGCAAACGTATATGCGTGCGCATCATCTTCTCCTTAAAGTTCCAACTGAGATTGATGACTGCACAGGAGTGCGCTGATCAGCTTGTGAAACGGGTGGGCCACGAGCTGGCAACAGCGGAAGGTGAGTTAAGGAGATCATTTGATGGAGACTATACGCCGTTATACCAAGCGGGCTATATGTTGGGAGCGTTGTAACTCTATGCATTGAGGAAGGAAGTGGTGGATGGGATGATGATGCCTGAAAAGGAATTTCATGCTCGTATATTGAAGGAGAACCACATACCGATTGAGTTGTTTAGGGCGCTTTAAAGGACTTGCCAGTAGGGAGAGATTTCAGGACAAAATGGCGTTTCTATGAAAAATAACTGGTTGGTGTGTTCTGAGTGTTGGGGCGGGTGATCTTCCGGATGGGGATGTATATTACCGCATTCTACAAGTGCTTAAAAACCCACGCGTCGTGTGTTTCCTGAAGCGGGAAGACAGCCCTGAAGTGAGGTGAGGGAAACGTTATATGATTGCAAATATATTGAAGCTGCCTAATATTAACATGTAGCGTAACGTTCCGTTCAGACAAACATTTTCTGCAAACCAGTGAGCTACGTTTGACACACGCCCCACTGATGGGAGCAATAAAGCTTTTCGCACTTGAGGCGACTCGCTTCTCGGGATCATACTCGTTGATCTGGAGGAGTTAAATTGCCAAGGTGCTAGAACCATGCGCCCCTCCGAAATGGCGGACGGCTTCATGCCCTGCTGTTATCGAATTTCCAGCATAGGTCGTTCTACCCGCAAATCGAATCATTGTCCGATGAGTCACTGAAAAAATATACCAATCCGTTTCGCGATATGCCTAGTCTAGCCCAGGGTCTTTTATCGGATATAGTATTTTGCGAAGAACCTTTGTTATACAAAATGAAACATCCATATGGTTCCGAGTCAAGTTATCGCAACATTCGGGCCTCGAACCAAGAGCTCCGGCCACGTTACGGCCTCATGACCGTTATGCGGGAGGTTGCGTGCGGTGCGTCTATCCCAGTGGGCGCGATACAACATGTGGAGCCGTTAAGACCTCGATAATGCGTAACCTATTCGCTGTGAATTATGAATCTCCGGATACATATGTGCCACGATTAACGGCCTTACCGCTCTTTTGCTGCGCCTGCCGCCGCATCACAAGGCAAACGGTTCAAATTGCGCGTTGTTATGGGGAGGGAGGGTTATATGAGCATGGTCGCCGACTGATGTCCGCTTCTATGTGTAATAAGATCGATAAAGACTTGGAGAATAGGGCGGTAAACATGCCCAATAATGTTGGTGCATGCGTGCGGTCTTTCGGTCGTTTCTAGTGCGAAAGTCCTGCAGAAGAACAAAGGTGCCCAATTCGCCATCTCATGTTGCTACCCGTGGGATCGGCGTGGATCCGAAGATGGAGCCTTTTACCCGCTTCACTATTCGACACGCTAGAATTCTCCTGTCTTCCATGCATGTTTCGATTATTGACACCGTTTAATTATGGTAGAACGTCCTTGGATATGCACGCCTTTACCAAAGTTTGGCCGAACAAAGGTTTTCGTTTTCTCTCTCTCTCTCTCTATCCCTTTATTTTTTTTATCTTTATTGTTCTTATTCTTGTTTACCTTCCTCCGGGTTTCATACTTGTAAACGTGCTTTGGTTGATCGTTTTGTTTTTGTTTTATTTTTATTTCTTTTGCCTTGGACTACCCGATATCAATATGTTTCGTTGGCAGTACGACTCCGTACAGTGCAATTAATTTAGATCGTATGCAGGGTCTAACTGCAATGAAGCGTGCAAAATGATCGTATCCCAACGAAGGGCAGCTGCTTCTCTAAGCTTGCGTTAACTTCATGATTTCCTGCTAGACTGTGTTGTTTGCAATAGTGATTTGCTGTCAATCAACCTTCGTTCTTCGTTCCTCCTGCTGGTGGCTTTCTATCTTCTGCACAATATACCTGCCCAGACACTGTCCAGGGTAGGTACTGTACATAAGTATATATAGGCCCACACCTCGTCTTTCTCTAGAATGTTTCTTCTCGTTAACAACCTTAATACTTCATCTTGACAAATTTCTTTCCACTCCGCCCCTCTATAGCATACTAGAATTTGCAAATTCAACTTCTTATCTCTCTTGCTTCCCTTTTTCAGTCAAACTTCCCTCCGTTAACATGGCTCCCGCAAGGATTGACAACGTCACGTTTGATGTGACACGCGACGGCGGTGCCCTCGACAAGACATCAGATGATATCGATATTGTCAATGTCTTGAAAGCAGAACTCGAGGGATCCATCCCTTATGATCAGCCCAAATTTGGAGCAGACAAGGACAAGTCCAAGTTCCGGCAATACGAGACTGCCTGCGAACGGGTCAAGGCTTTCTATCGAGAGCAGCACGAGAAGCAAACGGTTGCATACAATCTGAAAGCCCGTAACGAGTTCCGGTCCAGAGTCAGAGCTGAGATGACAATTTGGGAAGCAATTGAGAAACTCGATACCTTGATCGACGAGTCAGATCCGGACACCTCCCTCTCCCAAATCGGCCATCTTCTCCAATCCGCTGAAGCCATCAGGCGCGACGGAAAGCCAAGATGGATGCAACTCACTGGCTTGATTCATGACCTAGGGAAGCTTCTCTTCTTCTTTGGCGCAGAAGGCCAATGGGACGTGGTAGGAGATACATTCCCAGTTGGATGCGCCTTTGACGAGCGAATTATCTATCCCGAGACATTTGCAAACAATCCTGATCTTGGGCACCAAATATACGGGACCAAGTTCGGCATATATTACCCCAACTGCGGCCTTGATAATGTCATGCTTTCCTGGGGCCATGACGAGTATCTGTACAATGTCGTCAAGACCCAGTCGACCCTCCCCAAGGAGGCACTGGCCATGATTCGCTATCATTCGTTTTATCCCTGGCACACGGCTGGTGCATATAGGCACCTGATGAACGACGACGACGAGCGCATGCTTGAGGCGGTCAAGGCTTTCAACCCGTATGATCTATACAGCAAGACTGATGACGTTCCGAATATCGAAGAACTAAAGGTATGTCAATTATCCGTCTCTTTTTTCAGGTCCATCAATAGAATAATGTGATCAATTAGAAAAGTACTAACTTTGCACCAATCCTGCAGCCTTACTACCTCGAGCTCATCGAAGAATTTTTCCCGCAACACGTTGTGAAATGGTGAAAGAACCTTGGAAGTTGACACTGTTGAGTGCGCTAATGCATGAGACTACCCTAGGTTAGGCTCCTCCTGCAGACAGGGCAGGGCCATACATCAAATTATGCATGCAGTTATTAATTCTATTGGTTCTTTTACCCTGATTTTTTCACCCTTCTACCCAAACACGAATTTCCCATTTAATAATATTGTTTTTTTTTATTTTTATTTTTTTATTTTTTAATTCCGTTTGTCATGCGTGATTCTATCCAGCGCGTCGGGTTAGATATTTTACTTTTTTTACTTTTTACTTTTCCCCCCCCTTTTTTCCCCGATCCCCGTGTGTAGTTAGCCTTAAATGGCTTGATGTCCAGGTTGCCCTGGATTTAATAATAATGCTCCCCCTCCGTTTTATCCGTTATCCGTTTTCTTTTTCTTTTTCTTTTCTTTTTTTTTTTTTTTTTTTCTTTTCTTTTTTGTTCATTCAGGGCATCCCATCCTACATTTTCCACGACTGACATTGCGCAACAACTATTCCGAGAGTGTGGTTGATTGTGTGACAAGCCACGCCCGATATCATTTTCTCGTCCTTGGTCCTTGTCACTATTTAATATTGCATACTTTGAGTGGTTGTCCAGTCTGAACGTGACTGATTCCCGCGTTAACTTTCCTTTATCTCTTGTCTTCTTTCTTTTTTCCCCCGTTTCTTTTGCTTTTTCGTATCCATTTATTACTCGGACATAACAGACCTTACTTATTTAATTATATTAACAAAAGTTGTAGTGTTAGTTACTTTACTATATCAAGAGTCCATTCCTTGGAATTTAAAAGAACGCTAACGACATGCGTTTACCAGAGCCTTCAGTGAATACATTGCATATTTTTGCCCACTTATTCTTTGTTTGTTTTTAGTATACTAGCCTTATTTGATTTCCATTCAATAGCCTCACAAGCCAATCGTGATCAAGGTGCTGTTCCTCAAGATATAGTTTGAACAATCCAGGTTAACACACATTTACATGGATATTGGTTGTTTTATTCCCTGCCCCTGCGCCAAAATACAAAATAAAAGATGCACCTGCAGCGTATTGCATTTTTTCTGAAGATCCACCCCCGACAACAACAATCATTGTTCTTCTGTATTTAAACCCTTAATTGCTCTTCCTGAGTTTCTCGTTACTGAAATATTCGGGCTTTTACCTTTAACCTCCCTAGCCTACTGCACTTCTTTCGGTGTTTAGGGACAACAATTGACTCGCCTAAACCCTAAACAATACTGATTCCAAGCCTGCGGTTTTTGGTGGAAAAGTAAAGCCCGGAAAGATCTAAACTTTGTTGTAGAATATCTTTGAAGCCAAAGTATTCCCCCTATAGGTCCATGTATGTATGTATGTACCTTGGTAAGTAGATACTAAGTATGTCGCAGATCCCCTTAACGCCTTCGCTGTTGCTCCAAACGTTTAAGTTTTTATATAAAATATTTTTGAACAAAGGGAATTATGTGATTTTTCATTGAATTGCTTTGGCGATACTCAGAGTGTTTGCTTGTGTGCTCAGTTTTATCCAATGTCCATAGTGAAGGAGTGGTATACGCAGCCTTCCTTTTAATTGTTCATTTTCGGAACTGGTAAGGTGACCCAAGCCAGATGCTCCCTGGGCTAGAATCAATTCTCTGTCGAACTATGAGCCTCTACTATATTATACACGATGCTTGGGGCATAGATCGGGCCCTCGGCGCTGTGCGAAATAATTCTATAGAATATTACTAGGAAATATACCTATGAGTAGTTAATAGTCACCGGGAGGTCCACTATTCATCGTCAACCCAAAAGGAGGACGCGGTGCGCAGGTTACAAGAAATTGAGAAAAAGTTGGAGTTTAAACCAAGTTTTAAGCTTAATTGGACCCGCTTTAAGCCCCGCGGGGCCGATTAATTCTAACTAACCCAATTAGGTGTAACTACGTAACCGCCAAACCTCCAACATGCAAGAGAAGAAAGGGAAGCAAAGAGAAAATGATACAACCACTGCGCGGGGATTTCAGCAATTCAGATACAGTAGGATAAGAGGATCGGAACATGCTCCCGGAAAACCAGAACTACATCTGCTCGTTTTGATAGCGGGCGAACAATTGAAAGAGAATACATGAAATCTGCTACAAGGATCTTTGGTTATCTACTCACTCCCTCTTGAGAATAAATAGCATATTGTTCATTCTCTTAGAGAGATGTGACAGGACCCAGCATGAGAAGCTTCCTCAAAGCTCTCCAAGAAATCAGTGAGCGACATTTGAGCTGGCCACTCCATGAATACTTCACAACAGTTTTGCTTTGCCGTGTTAAAAGATGAAAAGGACACATTGCTATGAGGGTTATCATAGTTTAACAATGAAAGCTCCGTCGCCCCGTGGCGGGCGTTTCTTGATATCGATCATTTATGAGCGAGTCCCGGCAGCCGATCCTTATTTCACTTTCAATACAACCAGAGAGCGCCTGGAGATTTATAAACAATCTTGCAGGGACATTGATGAAGACACCTACTCTAGGACGGGTTAGATGCAGAGATCCCGCCACTTTGCTAGGGGTGGCTGATAGTTTTGTCTGTCCTTGCCGATTCGATGACTTTCAACCCTCTCGTCACGAAAATAGGGCTAAAAACGAAGTTTTTCCTTTCTTTCCTTCAGCTACACAGCTGGTGTTTTCTCTATTGCTCAGCGGGTTAGGATGGATATGGTCTGGTTCGCTGTTGAGAACATAGTTGACGCGTCCTGTAAAAGGGATTTATCGAGTGCCCGTGCTTTATGAGCTTGCATTTCGTAGCGCCAAAGGGACTCATACACCATCACTGGCAGCGAGCACTAGGAATACGATGCCTATCAGGTGGTGATGAGGGGGCGATGCGGCGCTGCATACTCCGGAGAAGGAAACACTACTGTGGTGAGGGTAGCCATGGTGCTGACCCCAAAACCGGGGACAGACATATGTTAGCAAAGCGGTTGATAGAATGCAATTGCAGCGGACTGGGGATATCCTGTCGGAGAGGAGGAAAGATTTACAACTCGCTCGCTCCAGGTGGATGGAAACTTGACTTCTGCAGAATGCCACAAATTCCTATCTCGTTTTCTTTGTGGCTGCTAGACGACCTGTTCTTCTATTGTTCTTCATAATAAACCTAGGCTTACATACGAACATGAGGGTATTTTTAGACCGAATCACTAAAAATGAAATATTTAAATAGGACGGAGCATGCACTTATAAGTGTTCAACAAAGACTTCCACCGATGAGGATTAGGTACCAAAGTTTTCATTATATTTACATTCGTGGTGTTCTATTAATTTAACAAGGAATTAAACATTTTTGGAAATATGATAGGGAATCTCGAAACCCGCTAGGTCGACAAAAGGAGATAGATAGATATGCAATGGACATCATGCCCAAGGGGGAAAAAAAGGAAAAAAAAATAAAACAAGAAAAAAAGAGAAAAAAAGAGAAGAAAAAAAGACTGGTATGCAAACGCCGAACAAAATTAAATGGACCGTTGCTAACATAAACCCCATGTGCCCCCTTAGGAGTGACTTATTAGGTCAGTCGAGTGTACTCGACTTGCTACTATCGTCTGCTCCCGATAAGTTCCATTTGAGTGGAGTCCCCATCTTGGGATATATGGCCTTTTAGCTCCTCGCCGTGAGTAGTAGTTTCTGTGCCAAAGCACCGACCTGGATGGAATGCGTTAAGAACCAACACAGCAAGAGCAACCATAACACCTTCGAGGCCAATAAATAGGGGTTCATCTTTGAGCAGCGGTCCATCCCAACCACCCGAAAGCTCTGCAATTCGATAGACACATCGGGTAAAGATGAACAGAGTAGCCAGCGAGAGGGCAGTAAGGAAGCCACGGAAGGCAAATGACGAACGGAGCATAGCATGCTTGGGGTCTAGAGCTTCGACGCCAATTGATTGCATGCGGAGCACGGTTCGGATAGCGAAATCCATAGCGAGTAGGATGAAAACGCCTAGAATGACGACCTGCCAGACAACACCGGCAATCATAAGGTTCGTACCGACATCTGCCGCAGAAGTTCCGTGGTCGGCGGAGCTAGCAAGCCCTCCTCCAGCGCCTTGAAGCGCCAGCGCGAGGATGTCGCATGGAATGAAAATCCGTGGATACCAAACTGCGGGGATCCGGGAATTTTCGCGGCCGAATGTTGTGACGATTCTTGAGAGGCAGAAATAAATACCGGCGGCGAGGAAGGCCGGTCCAATTGTCAGGCAGCAGATTTGGACCATAAATGGATTCTAGGGTTGGGGGAATGTTAACAAACATGGGCAACATCCCTCTAGAGATATTTATATTGAATCATTCACGTACCTGTGCCCATGGATTGTCGTACATCAATATCCGACCGATGTATCCGATAAGCTCGCACAGAGTACCAAGGGCCATTGCAATGGAAAATCCTAGAAACCGCCTCGAAGTGAAGGCTTGTACGACATATGCAAGAAATGAGACGCCGAAAATTACAGCAAAAGCAATGTTTGCCGAACGTGTCGGGCGGTAGCCATAGTATGAATTTTCAATATCACATATCTCGAAAGTGCATGAGTCTCCAGTCATATAGTCTTGACGGCGGACAAGCGCCGACAGAAGGGAGGCAGACATTGATTGATGATCGAGAGGGAGGAAATGTAGGTTAAGAACAAAATATGTCGAGAAAATAAATAAGTTCCCGAACTATGAAAGAGAAAGACTGGAGGATGATTGTTTGTAGTGAAAAGATACTTCCCATCTCAAGGGAGAGTCATGATATTTATCTATTTGATATCAAAGGCACAGTTTGCTCCCCTGGTCTAAATAGTTAAGGCAATAGGTGGGAAGATGAGACCTGTCATGGCCTTGGGCATCTGCCACAAATACAAGGTATCAAATCCGATTCTCATTTCTCCGAAGTTGAGCATAGCAGCAAAAGACTTGGGCCTTTGACATCTGTGCTTGTCAAGGTGGATGGGCCAATTGGAAGCTCACATCAGCGTCTAGGGGAAACGTCATGGGGAACTACTTTAACATCGGACTTATTATTTTGTGTTTTCTGTGATTGAGGTAACTTACTCCGTACTCGCACGTAAGACGGCTCGAGGAAGAAGCTCCAAAACAAAACAGAGAATCTGCGCTGCCTAATTAAGCCACCAAGAAACGTCGTCAGCATCAATCAGGCCTGTCCGTAGGGTAGGGTTTTCATTCGTCTGAGATGGGCTACCGGCCGATCTAAGAACCCGCAGCCTATTCCTGTTGTGGTAAAAACTGGGAGAGGGCTGAAGGGCCAAGGAGTTAAAGTTGATTTACGCTGCGTAGCGCCTGGCTTCGGTCCCCCGATCCGAAAACGACACAGCGTGTATTTATTATTTAACTGGTCGTTAGCTAATGATTGGAACTAGTTAAATTAACGAGCAAAGCAGCAAGCGGTGCGTGCCAGGAGAGAGCGCCAAGTATGTCGGAAATATTGCAGCCTGTTCGACATTCCCCGCCGGCATCCTTTTGAGCACGACGGACATAACTCTAATCGGACGAGGCGCATGCGTGATTCTACAGCGATTCTAGCTCGCTGAGCCACTGGTCCGTTCTGGCTTGTCCAACAGCACTGTTCCTGATCCTTACCGGCGTTGTCATGACTCTTGTGGTCTAGATTTCAAGACCGAATGATACGCACGTAGTTACTCGTTGAAATTGTGATGTGCCGATTTTCTAGGTCTTGCTGGTTAATGAACACTTGTTCGGCGGCGGGAATTGCTACTATAGCATTGTAAATACTCAACTCGGTAGTTACATGTTCATGCTAACCTCCGAGCGAGCCATCCCTCTGAGAAAGAGGATGCCTTTCAATCAGAGCATTTGGGATAGCGTTCAGGGATGAAGCAAATTAGCTCGCCTGCAGATGATTGTGAGTCCATTGACTCTCCACGCCTGACTAATTATGAATGGTGAAATTTGTATCGACGTATTCTTATAAAAATGGGCATCGTATTCGGACGTGCCCTTCCCTTGCACTCAAAATAAAGCCAGTGACGACGGCTCAACTCCCCCTTTGGCCGATCAGAGATCAAGACAAGGTCCAGGGTTCCTTACTAATAATTAGAACCCAGCCAAATTCGTCCAAAATCTAAACTAAACAGCCACCTAATAAATTGTTATCAACACCATGTCGTCCATCCCTAACGAACCTTTTTCTCTCCATGGAGGGTGTCATTGCAAGGCGATTCGTTATACTGTCTCATTCCCCAAGTTCGACGAACGGCCGGTTCTGAACCCAAATCACCCACCGGAACAACCTGACGTTAAAGCCCCCCTGATATGCTTTGACCACTGTAGCGACTGTAGAAGCGCTTCAGGGGTGCCCGTGCAGATTTGGAACATATGCCCGCAAAAGTTCATAGCCTTTTCATTACTGCGCCGGTGCGATGATGCAAGCGGTTCATCTGGCCCCTGCAGCGATTCCAGCAACGCAAGGATTGATATCACCGGTGACCAGCTTGTTCACCCGAGCGAAACAGCGAAGGAAACTTATTTGACTTATTACGCTTCTTCCAAGTCAGTATGGCGCACATTCTGCTCCAGATGCGGGACCAACGTGTCCTTTGTAGCCTTTGAGGAGGTGGGGTCGGAGACTCTCATGGATCTGGGGACGGGGACTTTGGACCACGAAAGCCTTCAGCTAGTTGGGATGCCACAGCGTCACATTTGGTGGGACTCTGGGGTCGACTGGGTGAAAAGGCTGATGGCAGAGGGGGAGGCGGGTTCTTCGCAAAATGCGCTGCCCAAGCATTCAGGGGGGGATATTTACGAGATAATCCAAGAGAAGTGAAACCGAATTGAGAAAAGCGAACACTATCACGAATAACGAATACCGCTTGAATTCGACCCAACGAGAACAACGAGCCGTCCCTAACGGCTTGTTGTATTCTTCCCTTCGTCGCCGCGCCGCCGCGGTATTGTTATTCCCAGCATCTTAACATATGTGAATAATAATACTAGATGCTGTATGCCATTTTAATTCCTTCAAGATGTGATGCTACAACCTTTTAGGACTCGCTCTCAAAATGCACAGCATACAGAGGGTCATAGAATTTCATGGATAAACCCTTCACCGCAAGGACAGCTCAACAATAGCCCCATGATAGCAAGCGTCTGCAATACATGCACACCCTTTCAAAAATTTTCCACTTAGATATTCGTCTGATAGGAGGTATTTAGGCGTTGATAAGCTAATGCAAAAGCCTCCTCGTTCACAGATACCTGACACTCCGGGCTTCAATAGCAGGGGCATAATTATATCTATACAATTGCTCCAGGGCTTACAGTTATTGGTTCCGTAATCGTTTTCGGTGCAAAGCAGTGAGGATTACCATTCACACTCCTTTCAATCTTACTGAGTCCCCTTTTTTGCCTTTTCCCCCCTTGAATTGTCACCGTTTATCAACTCCGGCGCGGCCTATTCCAGCTCCATGTTATTCTGTTATCTAACACAGATCGGATTGTCTACCCTGGCTACAAGCCACAACCTCTAACTATCCGCGTTCCACCTGTTTTCTTATTCGGACTCAGACGTATCCTTCCCCTACCCCGGCACTTTGTAGTATTCTCCTATTTACTGAAGAGCTGCCAGCACCTGCAAATCCAGGGGGTTAACTGCTAATTGTGAGGGAGAACCTAAAAGTGAGCTCTTGCAGCTGAGATTTGAAGGTGTTCTTGAATTCCACTACTTGGTCAATTCCTTCGTATCATCAATGACTAAGTTCATCTAGGAAAATATCTGCGCGGTTTGCCAGCCTTGATTGTCGTTAGAGGCAAAGTGCAACAATGATAGCAACTACATACCGAAAACCCGTTTCCTTGCCGGAGACCTTCTGTTGAGTGCTGTGTGAGGAGAGGCAGAAATTCCCACCAATATACCTAGGTATGAGATATTCCACAGCCCATGGATTTGGTTGTTTGTGATTCGTAGAACCATCTCACCAGCCAGAGCTAAATGTGACATAACCGTGATATCATATCGATTTAGTTTCCAAGTTCATTCGAAAGGCAACCTTCAATGATTGGCAGGTCCTTATATAAACATATATCAACCAAAACGGACACCTCTTTCGTCTTCTGAGCAGTTAATCATTTTCATATCTTGAGAACAAATCTACTAAAACCCTACTTTTGACAATTGAGAACCCTGCCTTATCCTCGTTGTATATAGAAGACATCATGTCAGCACCGCGCGGCTCAGAATCCATCAACAATCCCAAGGGTGAATTTCATCCGTCAGCTCCGCGTTCTCCCCCGATGGAGACACATGGTGTAAGTGGTGAATATTTTGGATTCTTAGAGAGATGCCCGCTTCACAAGAATTTTGCGCGCTGAAAATATACTTATGATTTGAATCAAATCTAGCATAAACCGGGAACAAAGGTGTCTCCCGCAGACTACGCGCCTGAATTTCACGCACAGACTCTACCTGCTGGTAGTGCTCCCGAGGATCGAACATTTGTTTCGCACACTGGCGGCCAGCCGCCGGAAGAACGTACCTCGGCCGTTGATGCACTTGGGGGTGCAGACTCGCGGGAGCTGAATAGGGGTCTTGGCCAACCCGTCTGGGGAGAGACTTCAGCGCAACTGCATCATGATGGCCAGGCCCATCGGAAACACCACGGTTCCGGGTTGGAAGGAGTGGGTGCATCGAGTAGGGAGTACGTGGAGGAGGAGAAGGAGATGCAGCAGAGGCGGGATTTTGAGTAGGAGGAACTCAAAGAGAGGGGAATCGATGTGAATAGGGAGTTGATTGTGAGCGTGAATACTGGAATGATCGCGTCTAAAAGATGAAGGCCTGTGGCTTGATCTTTGCAGATTACTGAATCTGATGATGAAAGATGATTTTAAAGCTTGGCTATGTTAACTATAACCCTACTTTTCTACTAGCCTAAAAATGAACTCATTATTTGGGATCCTAAATGAATGAATAAGTGTTAAAACAAGTGAATATGGATCATGAAGGGAAATATAATAGTATAGGAGGTAAGAGGCTGCGTCAAATTCGGAGTTAAGTGATAAAAAGAGGATGAAAAAGAACCGAACTCCCGTAAGTTGCATTCCCACGCTCTGGTCACCTTTGATATCTCATTCACAATGTCAATACACATCAAACCTGAATTTCCACATCACCTGAATATATTTTTGACCTGGCTTAGATGTTCAAGTGTCCGGCCTCTTCAAATAGCATATTACATCAAACTTGCATTGCATAAAGCGCTGCATGCAATTTCAGCCCATTCTGTTCAAAGCTGTCTGCCTACCTTTGTCTTCATATCAACTCTGAAAAAAAACCCCACTTAATATGTTTCAAAAGATCCCCAAACAAACCAATACTGCACCATCTACTCCTGTGAATGTTTCAGCGGCATACGCCCAGTCGCCGTATCCTGATCTCCAGATCTGCTCTCGGTTTCCATTCTCAATGTATCTTCTGACCCCCCTTGTCCAAGAAAGTCCTCCCCCTTGGTTAAACTATGATCAAGCACTCAGGTGTAAGTCTTCTTTTGTATTTAAAACGAAAGCCATTAATTTGAGGTAGTTGGGAGTTAAGAACTCACTGTCCGCGGTCATCATATCGTCCTCCTTCTTCGGGTGGAATTATGCGATGATCGCTCCCACTTGCCGTGGATCCAGGGCCGTATTTCACTTGAGAGCCGGGGAATTTGTATTCTACGCTGGCATCGACGCCAGATTCTGCGGCTAGATTGTTAGAGTTAGCGGATGATTGTTCTCTCTCTTTCGTTTTTTCCCTCTCCTGCCCTAATATCAATGCATCAAGAGCGGATAAGATACCTTGGACTTACTTGTGTCACTAACGCCCTCTTTGGCCCTCCCCGTCTTTGCTTGGTAGGTGTTCAGATCTCTTTCGGCTTGATATGCTTCTTGCGACATTTTTTTCGTTGTTGAAGGCAGATGGTATTCTATATTGTGTGGTACAGTAAGGATATGATAGCGACTGTTGAGATGAGTTTTGAAAGGGATATCGTTTGATTCCATAGCCCTAATTGCTATGCTTTTGCATACATGCCTGTTCTGCCTGCCATATCTTATGATATCATAAGTTACTTGCTGTCCAAGTTCCTACGGGCAGCATTCATTGCATTTGTGAATTATCCACCTAGCGCCACGAGCAATTGCAAACTCTATAATCCCTATAGTGCAATTCCTTCGCAGCAGTTTGTTGTGAAGCCACCAGGTCTGATGTCAGAATAGCTCCAGTTCAACTACTTCTCAATGACGTCATCGATCGAGAAGCTTATATAGCTACAGCTAAACTATCAAACCTCGTCAAAGGCAATAACCATCATGAACCGTTCGCCATAGTTGCATTGATCGAAAATCCGCATTTCCTTCCCAATGACCGATTAAACCCAGTTATATATATACATAGCTTATCAGGCTGAACGGGAAAAATATACACCCAGAACAATAATGCCCGATTCGCTCGCAGCCTTCCGCGGCACGACCCGCCGGGAGCTTGCCGATCTGGCGCGGGAACACTTGAAACATAATCTCCAGCAATCGGACCGTGATACACTGAATTCCGCCGCGTCAAAGCTTGCCACGCACACTACCCTTGGGTCGATCATCGGTATCGGACTGGGAATGTACCTTGGGCTACGCGTCCGGCGAGTGAGGATGGATATGTTTACTGCATTCCGGGTTGCAGAGAAGCCCACGCATGTGCAGTTTGCAAACGGCCGGCTAGGTAGGCGTGCGGAAAAATATGATCTTACATATGGGGTTTGTTAGGCGGAGTTTTTACTAACGTTTTCCCTTCGTGCCTGTTGTTAAACAGAGCCGGTTCCTGATCTGAGCCCTATGCTCCGACCCACAACGCTGGGTGACATGGCGATGTTCGCATTGTTTTCTGCTGGGGGCTTGTTTGTGGGTGGTGAATCGGGGCTTATCACTGGCGTTTATTCCGCCCGGAAGACAATAGGGAAGGACCCTGAGTCAAAGAAGAGGATCCAGCGAGCGTTTGCGAAACTGAGGGCAGATATTCTTCGGCGGCAGGCGGATAGGCTTGACGGCGACCAGTCAGTGACCGAGAAGGTGTCGGAGTTATTCTAGCAAGTATGATGGTGCTCTTGGGTGCTTTGGGCTACTCGAGTCTTGCTCAAATTTCGCATGTAATGATTTTTCTTGTCGCGATTCAATCAAATAGGCAGTAGTAAACTTCTTATCCACGCACGTGGCTTCATCAGCCCTAACAATGGATCTGATTATCTCATCCTTCATTTTAATTACCAACCATCTATATAAATACTTCTTCAATCGTTATAAAACTAATATATTTAGATTCTTTATCTCTCTAGCTTTATTTTATGATATCACAGAAACTTCACTATGTGAAATAATATATATTTATTGAGATATTATAATTTGAAGATATAGAGACTGTCTTGCCTCTCTATATTCACAAGATTGTAGAGATTTCTAGAGTCACTACCACCGGCCTGCCTGATCATATGAAGAATTTTTGATATTAATAATATTAATACTTGAAGGTGTATAAGATTTTCAATATAAGAGAAGAGATGCAGATGATTCTATCTTAATATTTCAGAAACATCATAGCGTTTATTTTTAACTGATCTTTTTTGAGCTGACACTATACTCATCACTGAGATATGAAAATAAAAATTATTTTATCAAAAGATCATTGATTTATCTTGCTCTTCTGGTAGCACTGAAAATATTGAATTGATAAACATCAACAGAGTTACTAACAAATTGGAACTTTTTTTCTTAGACACTATTGATCCTGATTTCCTATTTAATACTAGTGTGTACTATTTGGGACTAATGTATGCCATATAGGGGTTAGCAGGGCTTGGCAATATCTATCTTTTAGTGATGACATAAGATCTGGGCCCCAGATAGATGATCGCCATCAGCGAGCGCTTCCTGGTGATGCGGTGGCTAGAGCTAACCGGCCGAAGTACTCGTGGTCCATATTGCATGTTTTTGCGATGCAGTCATGTCCCTGGAAGTCCTAAGTCAGCGTCATGATTCTATGTTTTCTTTTTCTTAACTCTCCGCAGGCGGTTGAAGCTGACCCTGAAGAAATTTGTATAAAAGTCTCGACCGCAAACAAATTGATAAGAGATGTTTCTCTCATACAAGCTCACCAGCAGTGAACCAACCTTCGTTCACACCGTAAATAATATAATTTTACCCACCACCTATTAGGTACTTGCGGAAGTTGTTAGCAAGGCAATTGTGTTTCCTTATTGAGGGGCTGTTTCATAGTTCGCAGTTCTCTCCTCCATTCTTCTGGGCATGAACAGTTAGTTGTATTTCATTCGCTCGACTCTCTTCTCATCTCATACCTTTTTCCGCTCTACTTATCCTTTGCGAGATCCCCAATGCGAAGTACAGATTTGTTCAACTTATTAACTTCCTGGACTGCCGAGCCGCTCCCATCGCAACTTACCGTGAAACCTTCGCCCGAAGTTTCGCCTTACGTAAAGCGTTTGCTTCCTTATTTGTGTCGAGGTTCTTCGAACAAACCATCTTTCCACCTCTATCATCTGTTCCGGTCCCAATCGGCAAGAAACAAATGGTACAATGTCGAACTGGAAATGGGAAAAGACAAAAGTGTATCCGAAGCGCGGGTTTGATAAGCCCTACAAAACCATTGACCAGCCCGGTCCGCCGGTTAATCGTCTCTCGAACAAGCTCGGTGCGGAGGCATTCTGGCCCACGACTCTAGATAAGGAAAGTGATAAGGCGGCTCGAATATTGCGAAGTTTTTGTAAGGATGGGTTCTACGCGGAGATTAACAAAGAGAGTGAGGAGGCAAATGGAACGGATTCGCGTGCGAGCTCAGAAGATCGGGCTAACGAATATAAGAATACTGATCAGGACAACAAGAAGGAGGTAATTGACAAGCCAAAAGGGAAACAAAGGGTTGTTAAAAAGATACCTCCTGCTGTTATCAAGCAGGCTAAGGGCTTGGCAATATTTACTGCGATGAGAACTGGCCTTTGGTTCAGTGGATCTGGAGGTGGTGGAATTCTTGTCGCCAGGATAAAGGAAACGGGAGAGTGGAGTCCTCCTTCAGGAATCATGATGCATACTGTTGGGCTTGGGTTTCTGGCTGGTGTGGATATCTACGATTGTGTGGTTGTCATAAATACTTACGAGGCGCTAGAGGCTTTCAAAGCGGTACGACGTACGCTGGGTGGGGAGCTCAGTCCAGTTGCTGGTCCGTTTGGTATAGGAGGTGCAGTGGAATCTGAGGTACACAAGCGACGGGCTCCGGTGTGGACCTATCTGAAGAGTCGGGGTGTGTATGCGGGAGTTCAAATGGATGAGACGATCGTAATCGAGAGGACCGATGAAAACGAGCGTTTCTATGGTGAACGAATCCGCGTGGCTGACATTTTGGCGGGCAAAGCAAAGAATCCACCGGCCTCGATAGGAACATTAATAGAGACGATAAAGGCGGCTCAAGGTGATGCAGATGTGGATGAGACAATGCTTCCTCCTCCGGGAGAAGCTCCCGGAGATGCTGATATCGAAACCGATCTGTTTGGTGTCCCCCCACCTGACGACCCGGATCCGTTTGGGGTTAAAGCACTAGAAAGGGAGGGCGTTATAATTCGAGAAGCCGGAACGAACCGCATACCCAGTGACGACATGTTTGAATTCCGGCCCAGCCCAACGAGCCCGCTATATAACCGTTTGTCGCGATTCAGTATGGAGAGTTCTCAAAGGGCGAGTTGGCGGACCAGCGTCCAGAGCACTGCAAGCGCTGACAGAGCCACCCAGACAGATGATTTCATCGACGACCAACCCCCAACCGTCCCAATATCGACGAGTCGGTCTTCTTCAGATAATCTCCATATCTCGGACAGGGATAACTCCACTAGAACCCAATGCACAACGCCTTTGCAAGAAAACACCACCTCCATAACGCGAGGATCCCTCGTTATCCAGGATCAATCTCTCCCTGGGGACGCGAGCCAAGCTCGCCCTACCAGCCCGACTTTCACCCGTGCTCGCCTCGTTACCATTGCCAAACCCATACCTCCCCCGTTGCCGCCTCGGAATACTGCCCGTATCTCGCTAGTCAGCGGGTCTAGTTCTAGGACATCAGAAAGAGAAGCAGAATCCCAAATTGAAAGATATGAGGATGTTGATAAAGATGAAGTACATGGCAACAGCAATGATGATGGCAAAGGTACGAAACCTAGCTCCGTTGGAGAGGGAGCATCAAGTGTAGACGGTGACTCCTTGAATAAATGTGATTCGATTCAAGATACATTTAAGAAACCTGCAATTACCAAAGAAATAAAATGCGCAGAGCAAGAAGAATCGTCCACCAAGGAAGGTATTCAGTTGGAAGACGTATTACAAGAAAGCACATTCGCAGAGGAAGACTCGGATAAAAATTTGACAGAGATGCAGACTAAAGAAGAGGACACAGTCGAGGATGCATCCCTAAAAGGTGCGGAGCCCATAGTAGAGGAACGATCTGGTGGGGGAACCGAATCCACAGACGAAGCTGAATTTGGTACACCTACAGAGCAGCCGCAACAAGAGGGGTCTTTGGATGAGGACAAGGAGGAATTCCATTCAATTTCGACGTCTCCTACTCCTCCAAAAACGAGAAAGAAGCCCCGGAATAGAAAAAAGCGCTAGGCTTAGTAGAAATGAAGAGTTGCTGGGGATATGATGAAACGGTTTGGTGGTTTGAGCGCTGTCTTTTTGCTTTGGAGAAGTAGCAGTCGGCACATCTCTATTCGGCAGAGCTTTCACCTTCCTCGTACTGTTCTCATTTAGAGCCAGATTGTTTGTGTATATGTATGTACATATATATGTATTTATGTTTCCTGAGCGTCTTCTCTTCTCAGAGTAGTCCTGAGTTCAGCGATATAGGTTTACTGTGTAAGTATGCTTTTTCTCTCTCCAGTTGTAAGGACGCCATCAAAGCTGTTGAATCGAAGGCATGATTGGAGTCAAAAAGTCTTTCTGGTGGTCACAGAGGCCCGAAGGCTTCCCCGGTTTTCCAGCGTCATCTTGTTCAAGGAACATAGTGAGATATGATAAGCCTAAGAAGAAAATTTCAGGCCACAGCGCCGGATGACGGACCAATTTCAGGATAACTGGTGAGGGAATGGATTTTACTTTCCACGACGTAGAGAAGATTGAATATAGAAACCATAGTTTAGAACTATTTGATGTCGTGGTGGGTTTTTCCTTAGGCAGACATCGAGCTCTGCCCGGCGCGATATCACGTGGATCCACATTGGCCCTGAAGATCACGTGAAGCTCAACCAATCGCGGCGCGTTGTTGCCTTGTCGTTTCAGCCTCTAGATAGTAACGTAACTGGAAAAACATCTCGACTCTGGTCGGTCGTGTTTGCAACAACAGCAGAACATTTAATATTAATATTATTATTGATTCTCGATAGTCCTGCCTTGGCGCCACCCACTGCTGTGCTGAAACCGGAACCGTGGAAGCTTCCTCTCCTGCTTGGTTGGAGCCAGTTGATGTGCGGGCGCCACAGTAGCTTTGTCCCTGTGTGAGACCTCGGAGTGTGCGGCCACCAGCGCCGATAGAGCTCAGGGGGGCTTTGTTTGCTGCAGCCAATCACTGCGGTGCTGCCGCCTGTGCTAGCGTCCAAACATGACAGCCAGCACCAGCTCAAAAAAAAGGAAGAGACTGCCCAAAGGTATTCCTCAAGGGTTGTTTAAAAGGGCCATCGGGCGACCCTGTGGAAGACAACCATTCATTCTTTAAAATAACCCCTTCCTACGACTCTGTTGGATTTTGTTTCAATTGCTGCCCATCTTGTTTCCCTATATTGTCTCGTAAGCCTCATGAAAATGGCGACCACTTTCAAAGACCACATCATAGCCCTCAGTGGCACATTCCCAATGCATAAACAAGGTGTGTTATTTGAAAACGGAGCAACAAAATGAAATAAATCAATGCAGAAATAGAGAAAACGGAAAGAAACGATCGTGACCTGGTCTTTTGCACTTGAACATGCTAACCTGTCGCCTATAGCCGTTCTTATAGACAAAATTGAGTCTGGCGGTGGCACCTATAGTGCAAAGGTCATTGATACATGTACACATCTTGTGACCACTCAAAAGGACGTAGATGACAATAAGCTAAAGTGTAAGGAAAATTGAACCCCTTTCTTATTTACTTTCCAATCCTTCAGTTGTCGTTCTACGTCTAGGAAGATTTAGCCTATACGCGGTAATTGGTACATTGCATGTTGCTAACGATACATCAGGTAAACAAGCTGCTGCGCTCAAAAGTATAAAAATTGTGTCCTGGAACTGGCTTCTAGATTCAGCAGCAGATGGCAAACCAGCTTCAGAATCTTCCTATCTCTTGACAACCCCAGCACCGACGCCAGCCACCAATGGCAGGCCTCTGAGATCATCCAGAACCAAACAGCAGTCTAATGGTTCCACGACCAATGGTATCCAGGACGATGATAAGAATGATGTGCCAGCCACCAATGGCAGGCCTCTGAGATTATCCAGAACCAAACAGCAGTCTAATGGTTCCACCACTGTTAGCCAGGACGATGATGAGAATGATGTGCCAGCCGCAAACGCAGCACCTTCCAAAGGCAAGAAATCAGCAGCCAGCTCAAAGGCCAAACGTCCTATACCGGCGGATGATGATGATGAGGAGGAGGAGGATAATGCCACCAGACCCAAGTCCCAGGACGAACCCCCAGCGAAGAAGAAAAAGGATTCCAAGCAGGCATCTCCAACGTTAAAGGTTCCAGTTGATGAATTTTCACCATACTGCTGTAAGTACCATTCTAATCCAGGACGTGCACCCATGCTTCATGAAATAGGTAGACTGACGTTCCACTTAGCAACTCATGAGGTATTTATTGAAAAGAATGGAGTCATTTATGACGCAGCATTGAACCAAACCAATGCCAGGAACAACAACAACAAATTTTATCTCATTCAGCTGCTAGTAAACGAAACTTCTGGGAAATATACGACGTGGACGCGGTGGGGTCGAGTTGGCGAAATTGGACAAAAAGCTGAGTTCCCCGGACTGACTCTAGACCAAGCGCATGATGTGTTTGCCAAGAAATTCAGCAGCAAGACTGGCCTTTCCTGGAGTAACCGACTCAGTAGCCCAAGAGCTGGAAAATATACCTATCTTGAAAGGAATTATGAGGACGATTCAGAAGACAACGGCAAAAGTGAAAAGAAAGCTAAGAAGGAAGTCGAGGAAGATGTGAAGATGCCTGAATGCACATTGTCGCAGCCCGTTCAGGAGTTTGTTAGTCTTATCTTTAACCAGAGGCACATGCTCTCAACCATGGCTAGCATGTCATACGACGCAAATAAACTACCATTAGGAAAGTTAAGCAAACGGATTCTCATGGCGGGGTTTGAGGTTCTGAAGAATCTTTCAGAATTAGTTGCAAACCCATCACTTGCCATGCAAAACTATGGTCAGCCGTATGGGCAGCTCACGGAGGATCTGAGTAACCAATATTTTACCCTCATTCCTCACGATTTCGGACGTCGTCGACCTCCTGTTATCGGCACTCTTGACCTTATCAAGCGTGAAGTCGAACTTCTCGAAACTTTGACCGATATGGAGATCGCCAACGAGATCCTGAAGGGTGCCAAGATGTCCAAAACTGGTCTTCATCCTCTCGATGTTCAATTTGCAGGCCTTGGGCTGGAGGAAATGACACCACGTGCGTACTCGAAGACCGTTTCTTACTTCCCTTCCAGGGTCACAGTGCTAACAATTCGTTTGATCATTCAGTGGAGTCAGCTACAACCGAATACAAGGAATTAGAAAACTACCTCGTGAAGTCTCATGGCAAGAGTCACTATATCAGCTACAATGTAAAGTCTCCCTCTTAAGTCCCAATCCCCAGAGAGGATGAATCCCCCCTTCAAAAAAAAAAAATATCCCGAAACTAACAAATTATTAGCTGAAACATATTTTCCGCGTCGAACGCCGTGGTGAAAAGCAGCGCTTCGAAAGCTCTCCATTCGCAAACTTACCAAACAGCAACCGTCGTCTCCTCTGGCACGGTTCCCGCAGCACTAACTACGGAGGCATCCTCAGCCAAGGTCTAAGAATCGCACCGCCCGAAGCCCCAGTAACAGGCTACATGTTCGGCAAGGGGGTTTACTTCGCCGACATCTCCAGCAAATCTGCCAACTACTGCTGCGCGCACAGCAGCGACAGAATCGGTGTGCTGATGTTGTGCGATGTCGAGTTGGGCAACCCGATGCTAGAACTTGTCAACAGCGACTACGATGCGGGCGAGAACGCGAAGAAGCAGGGATGCCTGTCGACGCTGGGCAAAGGCCTGACGGTACCGCGGGGATGGAAAGATGCGGGTTGTGTGAGCGAGAATCTGAAGGGGGTTCTTATGCCGGATCTTTCCTCACCGCCGAAGACGCTGGATCTTACGGATGCTTGGTTGCTGTATAACGAGTATATCGTTTACGATGTAGCCCAGATTCAGGTTAAGTACTTGCTATACGTGCACATGTCTTGAGGATCGATCTTTGTATGAGATTGACGTATTTACTGGCGAGGAGGGATATGAGGGCTGTCCACGGGAGACAGGGGAATGGTGGAGGGTGGGAGTCTAGAGACGATCAAGGAATGCCAAGTGCGACATTCAACGTCAGGGGTTGTAGGAGTATATGCTTTGTTTGAAACCGTTACTACCTTTTCTCGCTTTTTAATTTCTCAAACTCTCTTGTCCCTTGATAACTTCGATGTATTTCTGCAAGCCAATGTCACTGAACCCTTTATAGTTTTTACTGCTGACATTTTAAAACATAGATACACATTCCTTAGATACGGAGTAAGAAGGTAGAGATGTGTCATCTGCTACCATCGAGGACACTCAAGTGGCGAGCTAATCATCTGGCGCTCCTCCACCTAACTAATTCTTTCACCTGCTTTCCCTGATGTGCTGTACAATTGTAGTGTTATCAATTCCGATTGAGCCATTTACGATAAACTCCTCATCCGCTGAAAAAGAAGGGGAAGGGGAGGGGGGATTGCATCAGCCATTCTCAGTCCTCAGATACTCAGTTAATGAAACAAGATGTTTGATTTTAACTAAGTTTTCAAAAGCTAGCAAAACAAACATCAACGCAGATCACGCCCATGCCATCACTCCTGCTATCATGAAACTGCTCTTAAAACCGTATTAAACCATCTTTCCCAACTGCCCAATTACTAACTTGGTCTCTCATTTGCACTCACAATAACGCCCTGCTTCAGAGAGAAAGGGGAAAAAATGTAGGAACCATATGCGGATAAAATAAATTGCAAAAGACGTTTGAAAGAAGAAAGGAGATAGACAAATAAAAAGGAAAGAAAATAAAGCAAAGAAGCGACAGCATGAGAATTAACGTCAAAAACAAAAAGCAAAAAGTAAAAAAAAAAAGCAAAGAGGAAGGGAATGTGCTTTGTTAATTACTCAAACAAAATTCCCAAATCCATACCCAGTATTCCCAACCATGCCTTTTTCCATACACCAATTCGCCGTAATCTTGGCCTGCGCCTTTTTTATTTATCCATCTCTCTTAACAGTCCAGGAAGACAAAAACAAAAAAGAAAAGAAAAGAAAAGAAAGAAATCAGTTTCCAGGTATCTCGAGTCACCACCATACGCCTGGAACAGGGTCCGGTGGCCACCTCAACCAATTAACTCGAAATAAGAAACAACAAGGAGGAGGAAATACAAATGCACAAATAGATTGAAAATAAAAAATGCCAATCATAATTTTCCCAAACCGGGGTTTTACTCCAACATAACACCATATGCGTGAAAAAAAGTGAAGGCAGGAAAACAGAAAAAAAGTGGGGAGAAAAGGAGAAATTTTAAAGGCAATGCAGGAAATTGGTGATGATTACCAAGCCTGAATTACTCCAATAGATGAACCCTATGAGACCGGAGTAGAGCAAAAAAGAGTAGTGATCCAGGAATAAAAGGCAATTCTGTCAATGTACTCGCGAGGAAGGGAAAGAAAAGAGAAGGGGGGAAAGGATCGCGCGCCTGCAACGCACTACAAGCGGGGCTATACAGGCAATAAGCAAGAAATGAATGAATGAATACCACGATCAATGGGGAAGAAAGCACGCAAAACTATGCAAAGAAACATGCTTTAGAAAAGGCTGTGTAATCATAGGCGAAGGAGGTCGGCATGTTCTCGGTTGCTCATCAAGCGCCTGTAGCGTAACTTTCTCTCTCCAGGTCCGAGCACACATCTTTCGTCGTCATCCAAATCCGCTTCGGGAAGCCATTCGTTAGGCAAATCGGGGTAGTAAGTATCAAGGCGCTCCTCTATATGTCGCTTCCTCGTTCGCCCGATGCCAAACTCCTGACCCCACTGGCATCGATCGAATTCCATCAATCCGCCAAATGCATAATCCATATTAGCGACCCAGATCCGGCCGCCATCAGGAGTGTAGTCAGCTCCGCCAATTTCGCCAAAGAAATCATGTACTTGACGAGTTTGGTATGTTTGCGCGTTGACTATTGCGATGCGGTCGGCTGGTTCGCACATGAGAAGAGTGCGTGGGCCACCTCCGACAGGAGAATATCGCAACGACCGGTACCCCGCTACATCAGACTCAATGAATTGAAGTATTCGCCACATACGAGCATCCCAGATGTTGACTGTTCCATCCTGATTACTAGTTGCAACGTGAAGCATATCAGGTGACCAAGCGCATGCGAATCCAAAATCTTGATGGCCGGATAGTGGTTGAACCGGTTTCCCACATTCGCTATCGATTATCCACGCCTCCCTCGCATCGCCGACTATAACACGCAATCGGCCATCTAGTGATGTGTCGGTGCAGTTAATTGCCCGAGCAAACTTGTGGCGCTGGACAACTTTGTTGGTCTCACAGTCGAGGACTCGAAGATATTGATCATTCGACGCGATAATTGCCTGAGGGCTACGACTCGTTCGATGCTTAGCAATATCGATATGATTTGTGATTCCGTTCTGGCTTTTAGTGATATAACCATCCACAGTACTGTGATCAGTCACGTCGCCTCTCATCGCATATTCGCCACAGAACCCCCCAACTATAGTTACGCCGTGCTTGGCTTTCATAATCGAAATTCTCACTGGCTCAAAGAAAGTCGCGGACTTGGAAGTATGAGAGAGATCAATTAGGCAATTCTTTTGTTTGTGAAACGGGGTTACAGAGTAAATCTTTGACCGATGGGCATATTGCACCGTATTCGACGATGTCACGGACATAAGATTACGCAGCTGAAAATGCGACATTGACGCTTTATATTTGGTATACATGGTTTTTGCCTTGAAGAATTCCTCTGTCTGTGGTAGCCGCTTCGAATACTAAATCATAGCTTAGTCATTTTTCCCAAACAAGAGCGAAGCGATATTGAAATTTACCCCATGTGGATCGAACACCAAATTCCGGTAACCCTTGTACCAGCTATCGCGAAGGATCCTGGCATCCGACCTCCGGACATTCATCTTTTTCTGCCAAGGAATTTTCTGAATATCGTAGGCCTTGAATTGGTGGTTTTCGGGGCGCGTTATCCTTTGGGGTCGTGGCCAATACGAGGCGTTCGCAGCTGCATCCGATATTGGAACATGAGGTCGATCCTTCAGTGCAAGCTGCTGGGGCGGTATTTTGGATCGAATAAGCCATTGCTTAATGAACATATCGATTGAAAGGTTCTTTTCGAAAGCTGGAAATTCAAGACCGTCAGCAAGTGTGTATGTATGGCCTTCGCATGGAGCGAGAGGCGCAGCAAGAAGCACGCTGGCAATATGGGAATTGAAATATTTTAAAACCAATGATGGAGGGACAAAGTATATTGACTGTTCGGAAGGGCCATGTATGTAAGTGTACTGATCCTCAGTTAAAAGGCCACCAGGGGGTGTAACTGCAGTCATTCTCTGATTGGGTGGAGTGACTTGAGGACAGGCTGAAATCCTTGGCCAGGGAAGAGATTGACAGAACACAAAGTGTGGAGAATCTTGGGTATGATCATGAGACTTCAAGAAGGTGTCCGTCATCTCAAGGCCAGAAAGGAAAGTGATTGTAGTGTCATTGACGAAAAGCGCGTTATGGGTACCACGAAATAAGAAAATTCCTTTAGAGGGGGTTGCAAGAATGGAAAATTGAGAAAAGAAATTTGACACGGCTTGCAACATGATGCTGTCAGCATTGGGGTAAAGTTCTCGTGGCTGGTTGACAGAGGGTCCAGATGAATATTCAAAAGATTTCGTGTGATCAAATGCACGATGGATGATTCGTTGGGCCTTTCCAAGAGCCTGTAGATTTACCGGAAGAAACAATGTAGAAGGCGGGCTAATAAAATGTAAATTCATACTTTCTGGTTGTGTAAACGCTCCTAAATCGAGGTTATCGTCATCATCCACCTCAGGATTAAAGGTAAAATTTGAGCCGTTAATATTGTCGAAGGTCGTAAACGATAGAGGTTGAGAATGTCCACCGGTAGCAAAGGTTGGAAGCTGGTCTTGATGAGATCCGCTATCGTGTAAATCGTTGCCAAGGGGAGACCGTGTGTTGTTGTATTCAGTAGGATCACACCAGGATAATTCATCGTCGGTTATGTAAAATTTCTCGGTATCGTTTTCCGAACAAGAGTCATCGTACACACTTCCTGTGCTGCCCAAAGCAGAAGACACCCCGGGCAATCTGTCATCGGAGAAACGGGATAGTTCAGACTCCTCAATGAGGTTACTGCGGAAAGCCGGGTTCTCCTCGTCGTCATAATAACCGTAATCATAATGCAAGTCTTGGTCGCCGCTGAGGGAATCCATTTCATCATCATCAGTGCTTTCTAAAGCGTGAGGAAAGTCTTCTGGGTATATTGGGCCGGTACTCCCGTTGGTGAGATGAGTAATGGAAGCAGAGACCATCGAGTCGCCTTCCTCTGTGAAGAAGGATGCCGTGCCAATTTGCAAACTGAAAATCGGTTGACCCGCAGCATTAGTAACGCTAGAAACAGGAAATATATCATCTGCAGTCTCATTTTCGATGCCAGCAGGCGGAGAAAATGAATCTAATAGAGGGGGTGTTTGGCTAGAAGTAGAAAGCTGATCCGGCTGAGAACCTGAAGTTTGGGAATCAGAAGTGGCTTGTTGGGGCCCTTGCTGGGGGGCAAAAGGAGAGGACAACGCTTGATCTAAGCTATAGGAAACTTCGTGAGTGTCGTGGTCCGTCGGTCTGAGAGGGGAATTCAAGCTATGAGGTAGGCTAGATAAGGAAACAGGGCCGTCCAAACTTCCGGAGTCACCATCTGGTGAGAAAGCTGCCATTTCACCTTGGACTTCACCCGGCAACGAACCCCGATCCGGGTTAGAATGAGCTTCCTGTTGATCCATACTTGTTGATCGGTTGGATGGGTTCTCTTGTTTGTTGCCGTCCGGCAGAGATGGGTCAGTCATCACAGCAGTAGCCTAGACCAGAGGAGAGTTTGTTTGATCATAAACTGTGTCACTTTTGTTGAATATTATGATTGTTCAACTGAAACTGAAGAATCACTGCAAAGAGTTTCACCAGAGAGATTTAATTCTCATTATGTGTGTGTGTGCGCGAGTGTGTGTGCATATGTATATGTATATGTGTGTGTGCGTGTGTGTGTGTATGTATGTCTCAGTAGAGATATAAATGAATCAAATATCTGTAGAAAAATAAATCAGTATCTCATATAACAAGTTTACTCTGAAAGTGTATCATATCTCTGCACTTCTTTTCAATTGTATCATAGAAATAAACTCACAGAACTCAGTTTGCAAGTTGCAGTTTTCAGTATCAGTTAAGACAGAATATAGAGATGCACTCTAGAACACAAGTATATGTTAACAAATTAATGAATCAAATTGACTGTGACAACTGATAATTTGTCAAATGAAGCAAATAAACAAGAAAAAGATCTCATATGCAGACTTGAAAAGAATGTGTAAGCAGCAGATGCAAAAACTTGATACTGAATGAATAATTAATGAAAGATGAAAAAGAAAAAAACACACAACAGAAGTAGAAAAATCAGGAAATTGAAGAATCATAGAGAAAATCAAAGAATATCAGATGTTTCATACCATGATTCTGTTTTGCTGCAAAAGATTGATGAAGACACACATAAAGAACTCTATAAAAGTGTTGTATAGTCATATCACAGATATTCAAAGTGATGAATCTTCACACAGAGCTAAACAGTTCTGTCAAATAAAAGAAATAACATAAGAAGGAAACAAACAGTGCATTATTCAGCATGGAACAGATATATTTCAAGAGTAGATACCTGCAAGAATGAGCTTCAGAGAAAAGAGCATGGATGTGAGTGAACAGCTTCTCTAGCATGTCTCTTGCAAGTAATCTTGACATTACAAGCAGTGGTTTCAGAAAAGACAGTTGCAGAAACCCAATATTCTAAAGCAAATCAAGCAGAAGCAATCCATAGAGAAAGATATAACAATGTAGATACTGAAACTGCCACTGATCTGCAGGGAAGAGAGGAGAGAGTGCACATCATTTTGCAAGCAGGATGCTAGAATATACTCACTCACATAGTTCTAGTTCACAGAAGAGGAAAAGCGGGGGTGAACAGCAGAAGAGCTTAAGGGACGTTCTCCAAAAAGAGAAAAGAAGAGAAGAGGAGAGGAGAGGGGAGGAGAAGGCAAGAAATGAACAGCGCGCAGAGGCGTGTTGGGGATGGGGAGTTGTTGTTTACGTGTGTGTTGTTGTTGGCGGAGAGAAGAAGCAGAGAAGAAGTAGACAAGAAGTAGTTAGACGGTGTCGAGGTTGAAGTTGCCCGTTAACTTTACCTCCAGTCAGTGACCGTCGAATTAGTAAGTCTATTTAGTTAAGTTCAGTGTTAGTTAAGTTACCCGCGTGGAATCCCGAAGGCACGGGGCACGGTCGGGGCTCGGGGAAATGTGCTGCATTCGGTTTAGCCCCGGTTGGGCCTGGAACCTAGTTTTGCGATTGGATCACATTGGGCAAATGCTGCTTATATCAAAGTTAACTACTTATGTCTCTTCTATACTACTCTAACTTGGTCTTTGCTCGTTTTAACCTTGAGAAAAAGAGGGAGAAAAAACATAAAAAATAAATAGAGGCAGATCAGTGTTTGGCGAGTCATGTCAAATGCTGCACCTGGCCCAACCCTCGGTACCTCCTGCAGGAAAGCCGGTCGTTGGCGCCCAATGACCCAAACAAAGCCTTTCTCCCGCCAATTCACGGGTCGAGGCAGAAGAGGCTTGCTACTTGGGGACCTCCATGCCACTGACAAAACACCTCTGATCCCTGATCGTCCCATGCGTTGGAGGTGACGTACCACAGGATCCATGGTTATTTTGGGAGATTTCCCTTTGACGCGTTTTGATCGAAGGGTGTCCCGACATGTGCTGCCGCCTGTCGGATTCGCAGACGCCAACGGGTGTTTCCGTCGATCTCGGGGAAAATATGCAAGGAGAAGGTAATTGTTACGTAGCTTCGCTGTCGATAAGTTGCGCTGACGTGCTTTTTCTGCAAAGGTCATTTATCCCTACGACTTAAAATGGATGCCGTTTTTGCACCACACTTAACACCTGGCTTGTTAAATCAACATCAAAACCATCTCCGCCAAGCCATGAGCATTTGGGCCACTTATCACCTCCCAGCAGAATGGGCTCAAATCGGAGATTCCCATCAAAACCGAGCAAACCCCGACAAACAATTTAAAAGGCCGAGCCCTGCAAGCTTTCCGAGTTCCCGGAAATCCCCTGTAAGGCTGTAACCAAACTTGGCTCTAGTTATCTGGTAACTAAGGCAGCATGAGAGGGAGGGCATTCGAGAAATTTACGGAAGGTAACTATTATCATTTCAGCTCAGGGCACGCTGTGGCCCTGTGGGGAAACGGCAAAGCGCAAATCGCTAGTCCGCTAGTTCGTATCCGTACTAGGCGTCGGCATGCAAGACATCCCATTCGCGCGCGAACCAGGTGTGAGATCTGTCATTTTTTTTTTTGCTTTTTTGTTGATCCCAGCGCTTTGGACCTGTCAACTTTCCCTGAGCCAGCCATCTCTTGGCAGTCCTTGACCCAGGGAATGTCACGCGGCAGATTTCGTTGCCGAAAGGAAATTTTATATTGTTCATGAATCAGAAGAGCCGATTTGTGAATTCCAGGTGGGGATGGAAGAATACTGTACGACAAGCTGGGTTTGGATTTTAGCAAAAGACGCTCGATTACGAAAGGGGGTCTATGCGTCTGCCACTCCACCCTGCGAACTCCATGCGAAGAGCTGTTAAACGGTTGCAGATTACTGCTAAACTAGGCCGAAGATAGCTCTCAAAACCCTCTACAATGGGGTGTTCTCAAATGCCGATTATCTCAAAAATGAGAATGTCCCATAGCGCGCTGGTCAAAAAAGGGTTACCTAAAAATGGCGAAAGGGACCTGGCATTTGATAAGGCTGTCATTTACCGGAATAACTAATAGATGTCCCGGAAGGTTACTGCACAAAATTCCCCCACATATCCAACGTCTCAACCCTGCAAGGCGCTTTATCCGGCCCAACTCCCATCTATGGCTCCCCAGTTCTGTCACGCCTGCGGCTCTATTTTAGACATATCTGCCGAACCAAGCATTCCATGCGATGTGTGTGGAAAAACAAATCCGAGAGAGCATTCCTCGCACTGAAATGCGAGAGCCAGCAGCTAATAAGGACTGTCCAAAACCCAAGACAAGTTAATGGACCGCCCGATAAGATCCACATCAAATAATTTTCCGTCAAAACTTCGTATCAAGCTGAGATCTCATACACGGGTGAATTGACGGTCAAAGACCGCGAATCGAACCGCCGAATTCAAGTGGATTGCCAGAAATGCGATTTAATGAAGGTTACTTGGAGTGAGATGCAGTTGCGAAGCGCGGATGAAGGAAGCACTATCTTCTATCGTTGCCCGAAATGTGGGAATAGGTACGCAGGATCCAATGAAGCAGAATCGACGCTCAAATCTACTTGGAATCCCGCCGGTGCTCTCCATTTTCTAGCAGACATTCGACTATCATCTCTCGCATACATACACATACATTAAAACAGAATGACCTCTGCTCTCTTCCTTCAATCGAAAAAAGGATGACGCCAAGATTGCTTAAGACGAGATGCAGATCGATCCTAGGGCAGACAGTTAAGAGAGTTGTTTATGCGGTTGCAAGTGACACTGAGGCTGGAAAGGCAAAGGGCAGCCCGACAGTTCTGAAAGAGCGTTTGGTACCAGGGCCGAGAAGCGCTGGCCCCCCGGGAAAGGAATCCTGCAGAAAAGAACCATCGCATTCTATCTTGGTATTGAGGGGCTTACCATCATGGGCATTGTACCTAAGGCTGGGTCATACGCCTGGAGAGGGAAGTGCGCGAATCTGACATGCAACCATTGTATGCGATGTCATGGATTGTGCCGGGCGGAAGTGCTACCTGCGCATCTAGGTGTGCTTATTGACTGCGAGGCGCAACCGGTTGTCAGACGTGATCAATGACAAATCCTAACTTCGTACAAAGCGAAAGGCAATTCCAAGAAAGTCTTGTCCTATCAAAATTACAATCCTGTCGCTTCGCGTTTAATCGAAACGAATTCTATTCATACGCATGGGTAGGCTGCGCCGCAGGGCGTTGCTCTAGCTAGGAGATCAATTGCAACAACAATAGTTTCTTCTGCTCATCCTTCAATGGAAGGGGTGATCCCCGTGCATCCCAGATCTGCTTTTTGGCCCATACGAGTGAAGATATAAAAGCGCCCCCGTTTCCGTAGGTACTCCACAAGATCCTCAACATACATAGATGCTTTGGGCCTCTTTTCGACCTGATATTCCCAGAACTAGTTCCTTCCGCACGCCCTCTTGAGAAACAAGTTATAGTGTGTATACAATCTTCCGCTTCGATACTTTTGTCAACGAATCGTTCTATCCCATTCAAATCCCGGCTCTTCTCCACGAAGCCTATCGACCACCACGTTCACATTGAGCTTGCTCGAACCGAACCCCTGTTCAAAGTCACGAAAAACTTCTGCTACTAGCTATGTTAATGGCACCTGAACTCGTCAATCTTGTTCTGGACTAATGCTTGTTTTGAATTCGCTCGCTCTAGTCCTCCAATATGTGTGTCGACCATATTATGGTGTGGTCCCGCGATGCGGAAACCTTTGGCAAAGTTACTGATTTACGTCACGGCAGCCCTTGCGACGAGTGTCAGGAGTAAGTTATTAAAGCTCGGCAGGCGGAGACTATGCGGGGGTGGGTACGGCGATTGGGACCAACTCTAGAAAGGGTAGACAGTGTTTCATGTACCAGGTCTATAGCCTGCTGATGAATAGCTAAGAATTTGAAGGTATGAATTGTGTGGCCTGATTAGGCAATAAGATCTTCGTGCTTCATTCAATCATATGGCATAGTCAGTCCAGTACAAAGTAAATAGAGAAGATTGATTTCGTGTTTAAGTTAGATTCTGGCTTACGAAATGGATGCACTAGTTAGTACGCTGTAGTCTTAGGCGAGCACGCCCAAGTTATACAAAGGTAATCATATATTTATAAAAATTAGAACCCCTATTGTTGATCTGCCACTTTCCCCAGGATTGGACTTCCAAACTCTGCTGAACTCTAACAACTCTATGCAAGAGTCCTGCATTGAATCAATACAAGCTTTCCCATCCCGCGCCTCTATCTAACAACTTTTTGTTCAGCTTTTGGCTTGGCTTGGATTTTTCTCCATATCATTGGGGGATGGGAAGAAGGCCTTCTCAGCCTCCACCAGGGGAATCGGCTGGATGCGTCCATGTGCACCACAGCCATCTGCACGTCCAACTGCAGGATGTTCCTGCAATGGAACGCTTATTGTCGCCTTGTAAACACGTTAAAAAGGGTTTTATACCAACCATCATTCCTTATCCAACTCTCGTTTGGTATCGTTTTTGTACTGTATATCTCCAGAAAGTTTGTCGGGCACCGCGGAATTGAATTCGACGGTTGTACCCAGGCTGACGTGCTATATGAGTCTGGCCTGCCTGCAAAAGCTTGAAAGAGGGGCTGAGATCTTGTCACCAGTAGCTTGAAGCCACAGTTCGTGGTCATTGGGGAACGATTGCGCCCATGGGCTGTTGTATGTAGTAAAAATTCACTATTCATGGGCGAAGAGGTTGAAGTCCCCTTAATATTGAGACTATGCATACCATGCATCCAGTACTGCAAGAGCGGACTATCCTGGAATTTGGATGGAGGGATCTATTTTTATAAATAGTAGCATCGGAGATTGGATAGTAAGCCAAGTAACCCATGCAGATGAAAACCTTCCCCTCTGATATGGGCAAGCAAGAATTTGCGTAATTAAATATTTTTCTATTTTATCAAGCATTTACCCTCATCTCAATTCCACCTATTATGTTGGGCGCGGTCAAATGGATTGATTTACGCTTGAGTAACGGCGTTAGTCAGATTTAAATATCAATTTCTGACTAAACGGCATAAATAGTGAAAAGATCATCATCCATCAGCGGGGAAATTTATGAATCCCACACAACGAACGATATATCGATCAGGAACAGCAACTTGCCTTGGATGGGAAATATTCGAAGCACTGACGCAAAAACTCCGCCGACAACATATTGAACATACATTTCTACGAGCTCCTGTGAGCTGCCCTGATAAAGGCTTAATTATTGCCGTGAAACAGCAGCAGTTGAAGAACCGGGCAACGAGATGGAGACATATGTTGGAGATGAAGAACGAGAAGGGTCTGTAGATGCAAATATGGAGAGCGAACCCTTTCTCACACCAACCCCCAGTAGTACACCCTGGGTTGCTCCCAAAGGTTTTGTATGGATCGAAGTTGGTACGAATCCCTCGATTCCACGCAAAACGATCACCATCGCTAACCCGCACATCAACAGCAATTTTTGCAAATGTCTTCCTATCGGGCTTTGATGGGACCATTACAGCTTCAACCTATGCTGTAATCAGCTCAGAGTTCAACGCTGCTAACAATGCCTCCTGGCTGACGACCTCCTATCTGATCACAAGTACTGCGTTCCAGCCCCTCTACGGCCGCTTCTCTGACATTTTTGGTCGGAGATCTTGCTTCTTCACATCTACCATTGCCTTTATGCTCGGTTGTTTGGGCTGTGCTCTAGCCCCAGACATCGTGTTTCTAAATCTGATGCGTGCGGTGACTGGACTGGGAGGAGGTGGGCTGATGACTATGGGTACGTAGAGCAAGCTAAAATTTCCGTTCACTTTACGCCCCTGTGTATTCATTCTTGCCTCACACATGGAACAAAATAATGCCTCTCTAGCGACGATAATAAACTCAGACATGATCCCATTCAAAGACCGAGGAATGTATCAAGCAGTCCAAAATGTCCTGCACGGGTTTGGATCAATCTGCGGTGCCTCGTTGGGCGGGTCGATTGCAGACACAATCGGATGGCGATGGTGTTTCCTACTCCAAGTGCCAGTGTCAATTCTTGCTCTCATAGTCGGTCATCTGGTAGTTAAAAACCAAACGCACTATGATAACTCGGATTATGAGACGTCGCCCAAAGCAACACTGTCCGCGATTTGGAACCGTGTCGATCTGTCAGGTGCCTTCTTGTTAATTATAGGATTGAGTATCCAACTTGTGGGACTCAACTTGGGCGGCAACGAGCTACCCTGGAGCAGTCCCTGGGTTATTTTATCCCTCGTTGCCAGTGTCCTTATCCTAGGACTCTTTTTATACGTTGAAGCAACCACATCGGCTATGCCGGTGATTCCACTACATATGCTACGAGGAAAGCTAGCGGTGTCGGCGCAAATTAGTAACATTTGCGTGGGATTGGCGGCCTATGCGGTATGTCAAGCTCCCATGTCCTCTCTATAGCCAACAAAAAAAGAATCAACTAGGCCTAACATTAAACGCAGTTCCTTTTCATGTTACCACTGTTTTTCCAAGTCGTACTGAAGGATTCCGCCTCAACCGCCGGTGCACGACTGATAATACCCTCCCTCGCCGCCCCTGCGGGCGGTGTTATATCCGGTTTCGTCATGTCGCGCTGGGGTCAGCTAGCCAATCTTGTTCGCCTTGGTGCATTGCTCATGTTCATTGGAAACGCTCTCGTCATGCTACTTGGATTCGACTCTGCCAAATGGAAGTATACCACATATATAATTCCCGCCAGTCTTGGGCAAGGGATTGTATATCCGGCTATACTGTTCACCGTTCTCGCCGCTTTCGGCCATTCTGGTATGTCTACCAGAGAATATTTCATATTTGTTGTCCATATCGCTCTTTTTCTTAAGTTCTAATGCTGATGAAACCCATCACTAGACCACGCCGTCTCGGCTTCAACAGTCTACCTGATCCGTTCCCTAGGAACCGTTTGGGGCGTCGCAATCACGTCAGCAATAACACAGAACACACTAAAGAGAAGGCTCCCTGAAGCCCTGATCGGAATACCAAACAAATGGAAAGTAATACTCTTTTCTTTTAGTTCTTCTCTATTTCTCAAACCAACCACCCTACTCCTCTCCTCGTTCTCCCAACCCCACCCTCCGGTATCATCTTTCGTTCAGCAAACCTAGCTAGAAGCACCGCAGCTGACCAAACCATCCCCACTTCCCCCCCTCTTCCAAAAACCTTTATTCTAGATCATCGAAGAAATCAGACACTCCGTTCTGACAATTGGCAAACTACCCGCAGACGCCCAGATGGCCGCACGCCAGGTCTACCATGACGGCATAAACCTTTCGTTTGCAGTCTCCGCTGGCTTCGGTTTCATCGCGACGGTTTCCGCACTCTTTGCGAGCGGAAAGGGATTGTCGCGGGCGAGCAGCGGCGACACGAGGATGGCCGCGTCCGGTTCTTAGAGGGGCTGGGGTTCGAAAGGAATTGGGGGGGATTCAAGGAGGTTACCGCGGTTACCGCACTGAGAAATGAGTTCGTTGGCTATTTTCTCGCTCACTGCACCGTGGGTAGAATAAGGTAAGTGATATTTTTCTTCTTGGAAATGCGATGCGACTTTGCTAGAATTGGAGGTTGGAGGTGAAGAGAATGGAAGCTGGTTAAGGGCGTGCTACACAGGTGGATTTACTGATGGCAAGATTTCCTGGAATGAGATGCAAGGTCAAATGTGGGCCGTTAGCTGTTGTAAAAATAAAAAATGACGGCACCACTTCTCCATTCACCTGATAGTAAGAGAACAAAAGGTAGAAAAAAAATAAATAAATTGGAGCTGCAAAGAGAACACAAGGCTGTTTAAAGAAAGAGAGAAAGAAAACAAATCATCTACAAAGTACATTACATGGCCCTAGCTGTGAATGGAGACAAGCAGAGATATAAGAACTCTCAAGGAAATGTTGTTGTCATATTAGCAAGCCACTGAAAAATTACAAAATATTGAAAGGAGAGTGATACGATGAACAAAGTAACGTCGAGTTCTAGCAAGCAGAGTAAAACCAATAGTTTTGCTGAGAAGGCAGCATGGAAAGTCGGAAGAATACAGAAAATTAAGGTGAAGTGCAAAAAGAGCGTTTGTTGGGTTATATAGAAGCTGTATGTAGGTATTAGATAAGAAAAATACAGGTATTATGATATCATATGGCTGATTGATTTAAGATGGGGAAAATAGAAAAAAGTAAAACAAAATACATGGCGAACAAAAAAAGATACAAGGAAACGCAGAGCAAAGCATGAGTGGGAGAGGGACAGGGGAGAATTTAAAATTAAAATAAAAGAGGAACATAAATAACGCCCTAAATTGCAATGAATATCATGGCTCATGCAACGGCAAGAAAGGGGGAGGGTTGAATATGAAGGCAATGCTGTGGTGGAAGAAAATCGAAGACAAGACAAGAGACATGTTAGAATGTGTTTGACATGACCTCTCGGAATATTGAAGAGGCGGAAATCCACCGGGAATGAAATTAGTATATCTTTTCTATTCTAGTAGTCATAGGGTTCGTAGACGGATTGGTGCGGTGGATAACCAGATACATTGGTCTGCGATTGCGACCATGTGGCACCCATAAGTTTGAGACGGCGTTCTAAAGCAAGGAGGGTGGAATGTTAGTTCACCAGCTGCTCTCAGACACGAGTTCCATCTGTAAAAACAAAAGAAAAGCAAGAAGTAGGAAAATACATACCCCTCTCGAAATCACCCCATCGCTTCATTGTAATCTTACTACTGTCAAACTCTCCCTCGTACTCGATTCCAGCCTTCTTCGTCTTCTCCCCCGCTGTCTTACGAGTATCACCCCAGCTAAAGTCATCGAATTTCCAGTAGGAGTATGTAGGCAGGACAAAGTTCCATATGGGCAACGAGAGCAGGTAAATGAACATCCACACGACGTAGGAGAGACGGTGGGCGGTCACAACGATCAAGACAGCCGGCAGGCCTAGAATAAGTGCCAAGAGGATAAGAGGAATGATTTGGACAGGCTTCCTGATAATAGAAATGATAACGACGTAAAAAGTGAAAGCGATCGCGGCGGGCAGGACCAGTGTTCCCACTAGTTCCATGAATACCACGAACTGCATGCTGAAGCAGAAGGTACCACAGAGATCGCGTACAAGGATAAGTTCCATGAGGTTATGTACGGTACTGTTGATCCACCGGCGGCGCTGGGATAGAAGAACGCTGAATTTATCCGGAACCGTCGTTTTGCAGACTGCTTGAGGCACGAAAACTTGTTTTCGTTTGGGGAAAGTTTTCAACATAAGCGTCGACAGGTATCGGTCCTCACCAAGTAAGAGAAGATTCTTCTTATGGAGAGTGTCGACAACATTCTCCGAGTAATGCTCTACTACGTCAGGGTTTGCAAGAATGGGCACCCAGTAATTCTGCGCTCCCTTGGGAGCTTTGATTCGATACATGCAGAAGCAACCTGGCAAGCAAGTGACACCACCGAAGACAGACTCGAACGACTTGGAAAGGTGATGGGAAATGAAATACTCGAAGACTTGTATCATCGTAACCCAACTCTCCGTTTTATTGGCGATCTTTGTCTCACCACAAAGGCCCATGATTTCTGGGTCTTGGACCATGGCCGAGATCATGTGCGTCAAGCTGTCTGGGAATACTTTTGTGTCTGCATCAACCATGAGAACGACCTCGTAGAAATCCGGAGATATGCCCGTAATCTTCCATAATCCATTGAACATCTCAAACTCGAGCTCCGTCATTCGTTCATCGAACATGACCTTTTGGAGGAACGACATCAAAATAATTTGGCTGTCACGTTTGCCTCTGTTGCCCGGCTTGCTATTCTGGGCCTCGTCGGGTGTTCCGCACTTCACAACAACCATCATTGGCACCCGCTGCTGTTTGTCGCGAGGTACAACGGATTGTTCGCCGTAGTCATAAAATCCAGTATAAATCTTGGCCATATTGTGTCTCTTTGCTCCGCTGGCAACAGCAACATAGGAGAAAGCCTGGACATCCTCGGGAAACACAGTAAAATCTTTCATCATGCTAAGAGTGATGTCAGGGGTAGTGACAGTCTCGCCTGCTCCTTTAATCAAGCCGTCGCAAATGACAACAATCGTCTTGTGGCTGTTGGGGTAATCGGTCATGGCGATAGAATCTAGTGTCGTGCGTAGGCCCTCCGCGCCTTCAGAGTAGGCTGTCACTAAACAAATTGCGTGGGCCAGAGGATACCCGAAGGGCTGCCATTCCGGTGGAGGTTGGGGAACAACCGATTCGTGAATAAACCCTGTCAGACCTGGTGGATCAGCCTCGCTAACTGCTATAGAGTATCGTCGATCTTGTGCACCAAGCATTAGACTGGTGCGACTACCAACGATACTCTGGCTGTACGGGTCGGCGCTTAGAGTTCCCCGGCTGGTGTTTTGACCCGTCTTGTACATTGGGCTCGCAAGCCCCGCATTCTGGCTAACCATGGTAGTGGGTGCAGCGCGCTGTTTTGACGCTCCGCGATCCATTGCATAAGGGCTAGTGAACCTAGACGTTGTCGGGAAAATGGCACTGCTGAGTCTGCTTCCACGTCTGCTGCCGCGATCAGGCCAAGAAGGTTCTGTTAAACGCGGGCCAGGCTGATAAATGTCGTCGGACCAATCTTCGATTTGCTTCTTCCGCATTGTCGAACTAGGGTTTACAGAGGTCTTCGCAGCGAAACGGCTGGCCAAGAACCACTGGAATGCCAAAGCAAGGACAAATTTCGCCCCAACGACAGCTAGAATAAACGCCAACGAGATATACAGAACTACCTTGGAAGCGATGCAGCCAACGGAATCCGTGTCGATGGACCCAACCTTGATGATTTCGGTCAAACATTTAGCTAGTCGTTTGTCAGGGGCAGATTGGAACATATGCGTCACGTCAACTCCTCTAACCGCCAGATTTGTCTTGAGCTCGTCGAATTGTCGGGGAACGGAAACTTGGCTTCTATCAAACCAATCCAGTAGATTCAAATCAAGAACACTTCCGGAATATACCATCAGGTTTCGAGATTGGTTCTTCAACTCCTCCCACGTGAAATATACATCTGCCGGAGCCCTTAAGCCGTGATAGAAGGTATTTCTCGCACGGCCAGAAGTATGGCATGCGTAACCAAGGTACGGTGGTTCGGTAAAATTGGGCCGGGAGGAGCCATCCTGTTTAAAAGGAACACATGGAAAGTACCAGGCCAGTTCCCCTTCGCTGTTCGTGGGCACATTTGAGTTCGGTGTCGCGGTAATAAGGCCTTTGCATGCGCCATTTACGTTTTGGAACAAAAAGCTGGCATCCAAACCACCATATGAAACAGGTGGATAAGCGACGTTCGTTCTATCGGGGATACCAAGAGCTTCCGGATGCTTGGTGTCCAGCATACTATATGCTTTTCCGTGGAAGATGATATTTCCGATATCGACCTCGTTTATTTTAAGCCGCACGGGCGGACTGCCGCAAACGACCTGAGTGAAACCGAAGTGAAGAAATCCAACGAAGGTACAAATAAGCAGGATGATACTGATAAGACCCATTTTCTCTCGCCAAGCACGTCGTTGGGCCTTCGCGGGCATCCCAAAACATTTGAGGACGAAATCAGGACACCAAAAAGTCACCATGCCGCAATATACGTTCCACAAACTTGGAGGTTTTATTGTATCTAGCTCTTCCTGGCGCCTCTTTTCTGCCTCCTTGGCAGCTTTGGATTCCTTTCGCGATAGTTTTCTATGCGTATGTTTCCCTATATCCCGTTGTGATGGATGGCGTCCTCGTAATTTCGCCGAGCGCTCTCCATTATCAGGATAGTCGGCGCCCGAATTATTCCGGTCTCCCCTAGTTAGGCTCTTTATATCTGTGCTTCCTGAGCTCATTGTGTCTGCCTCTCCATTATCATGAACTGGCTCGTTGCCAGTTGTGGAAGGAAATGTAGCCATATTTTGCGCATGTTGGCGGTAGTGATAGTTCGGGTGGTGACGATCCATGCGGGTCCGTTCCGGTCGAATCAAACTCCTTTTCCGATTCAAATTCTTTGAATTCCCTGTGCCAGGTTCATCATTTCCTGAGTTTACCCGAGGAGACGCATGAGGGTTAGCATAGTAGCCGTTATTGCTCTGTGAATTAGGCGGGGGTGTCAGGGGGCTATCTGCATATGCACCGGATTCGAGGTCAGGACGACGCCGTTGTTGGGATGAGTCTCGAAATCCAGGTGGCTGGACATCTCGTCTTGAAGATGAATCGTTTGGTCGCTGAGGTCGCTGAGGAAGCGACATGTTGGCGAGTGAAAGATTCTGTAGGGGATAAGAGAACAAAGCTATCGATTAGCTGCGATTTCCGGATCGATAGGTTTATAGATTTCAACAATCTCCGTCATTGTAAAGATATAACTAGCCAATTTCCACATACCAGTGAGCAATACCAAGGGCGTTACTCCTGATTTAAAAGGACCGAACTCGTTATACCACCGCTCCAACACCTATGCTACCCACCACGGACGCACGCAGACAAAAGTTTGACAAGATCAGTCGATAGCGAAGGTGTTGTCCAACCAGCCCTCGAACGGAGATTTCTAAGAATCGCAGAGGCGTTTAGCCAACCGATATTAACTTGGACTGGCAGAGATACTCGGTTTAGCTCGGGGCGAAAACGGGAGGGGTTTACGAGGCAATGGCCCCTGCTAGGACGTTTGTTTCTAATGGCCTGCGGCTGAAAAACGGACAGGAGCAGTGAGGAAGGGGCTTTGCGTGGAGGAGAAAAGGAATAAAAAACAACAGCAGGCGTGTATGGATATTATTATTATGGGAACGAATGGACAACACAGAGTGAGGGAGAGAGAGATGGGAGACAAAACATATATCTAAAAAAGGGAATAAAAAAGGGTCTTGAAATAATGGATTTCAGGGTATCGCACCCAGTGGGAATATATTCGACGCACAAAACGAGTGGAATCGCCCCAGCATCGAACGTCGCAGAAGATGAGGTTTTCGATGCTGACAAGGCTTCAGGAACAGAACAGCGACTGGCGGCCAGGGACAGGCGACGTTGGGATGGGATGGGAAAAGCGAGCGTTGGCTGAGCTGGAGGAGGTTTGAGGCTTTGTCCGCATTGGGCAAGGTTTTGAGGAAAGGCTATGTATGGAAACAGCGTATTGCTGTGACCAGCTGTGACAGATTGTGACAACCATGACAGTGTATGACATCGGGGGGACATCTAGCGACAGGAGCAATGTCTCAGTCGTGACCTGTATTGTACATGTACATATATGTACAGTACACGTAACGGTTTGTTCGAGCAATACGGTACGTCTATTTTTAGCGTCCCATCCCATACGACAAATGACCGGAGGCAAGTTTAAAGCCGAGCGGAGAATTTCAGCACATAGCTGAGTACCCTTTTTAGAGGCGATATTTTACTGTGCATAGTCTATACGTGCATTTCCATCTTTGAATATATATAATTATTGCTACTACTAAATCCAAGTTGCTTTCAGCCTCCAAGTTTGTCAAAGGTTGGTTGTAAGGGTACATATACGACGACATGACGACTGTAGTTTTCAAGGTTCGACTGCGCACAAACAACCCGTAACAATACAATACTAAGCAATGTTTTCTTCGTGTTTTCAATACCGAGGTACGTAGGTACGCACTTTCAAAAAAAAATAAAAAATACCGACGGGTGTATCCTCAATACCAACCTCCTGATAAAATACGACCTACAGGGCCTAGATCCTGCCTACTGCACTGCACTAGCTTTATTATTATTTACACGCCTGAACGAGCAAGTATTGTTTACCACGGTATAAATTTGGACGCCGCCACCGCCGCGACGAGCCATCCCACGGCAACTAGGACCGCTCGCTCGCTGTCCATACTGGAACCTGGTATTTTAGATTCCTCTCCAATTTCCATATCCTAATCCTCAGGAGTTGTCGGCGTCTATCTGTGATCATTATTTGCTGCCAGCCGCTGACTCCCTGCATAGGTTTACCTGCCTTTCCGATAAAACAAGCTCACCTTACCCAAAGTCTGGAGATACTGTAACCTCAGGACCAAAGAGCACACACCATGGCATGTGTGGCTGCGGCTTGGCGGGCAGGTTTGCAGCTTACCCAGATTACATTTCAAGATCTCTCTTCTTCCGGCGGGGTGTTCCAACAATAAACAAGAACAAAAACTTATTATGATTGAGTCTCCCGCCATTCTTCTGGAACGCGACACCCTTGAAATAATAATAAGGAATGTCCGTAATGATAAATCAAGAGCCAGCGCCCCGCTCACAGTACATGCATTTTACCTGCAACATAATCAGGGTCATATAAGCCATCCAATTACTTTTCAGGAAGTGTGCAATCTGTAGAGATTGACATGCTAAGTGCTGCAGGCTCTACATATACGTGTTCCTACATCCAACATTGTCCGTTTATTTGAGAATTCACTGCTGTTTTGTTTTTTTTTGTCCTTTTTTTTTTCCATGGTTCTAAACCCAAATTAAGAAACACAGTTGCCGCCCGTTGCTACCTATATATGTAAGACGATAATAATTGTGGTAAGTCAATTCCCCTGAGCTAAAGTCTTTGTTCTCTCCATTTGCCCTTTCGCTTCACTCACCAATATATGGTTGAAACACCCTCTCTCTCAACAGTCTGAGTGAGCTTATTGGAGAGAGAAGAAAGAGAGAGAGATCTATAGAATGAATGCAGAAAACTAAACTAAGCTTTTGTAATAGCTTTCTCAAGAACATACATTTGATGCTTAGGTATTGTTGACATGCGAATCGGCCACTTTTAACTACCAGTACTGAGTATAGGCTGGGCTGGCAATTGAGCTCTTTTGCCTAGTATTCTCCAGGCTATGTTATCTCACCATGAATGCTTCATTAATACCCTCAGTACTCTCAAGAGATTTCTTGAATATGATGCTAGACTTTCATATTTTGTTTTCATCTGGTCTAACTCTCTTCATCCTTCATACACTCTCTCTTTAAGTGCTCTCTATAAGAATAGAGACTGATAGCTTGTGGAAAGTTGGTTAACTATTTATAGTATTTTTAATTAAATTGTCAACATCGCTGTGCCAACTTAGTAGTAATTCAACTCTGTAGAGATTTGGCAGCTGGAAATTAACAGGCACTTACTCTGTACTTATGAGAGAGAATGATCCTTTCTTCCCTGCAATCTTCAGCGGAGGCGGGGTGAGTGGCTCGTTCAAAAAAGAATTCCTAGTCTGTGGCGGGTTCTAGGGAGTACAAGACACCACAGAACGTAACCCAAGCCCCTCTAAATTTTGCTAAACTGATTGGCGTCTTTTTTTATTTTTATTTTTATAGTTATGTTATCCTCTTATCCGTGCTCGGCTCGAGTTTTCACCTCTAAAAATATACTCAACGACGCTACTCACGCATCACTGGCCCTTTCTATTATTATTATTACATCTTCACCATTTCCAGGGCAGGCTTAGGAGCGGGTTATGAATCCGGGACTATGGGGTTGATTCGGGATAAGGGGCCCTGGTGAAGAAGAGGCTTTGGAGAAATGTGTTTCACGCATGACATGTGGTAGTGGAGCGTGAACCACTCGCAGGGTGAGACCACACTTATTAAAAAGAAATAATGTCATGATTCGACTTCCACGCCGAAAGGATTTTTCTCTGCAAAATCGTGGCCGACAAGAATTGATTTTGCCCGACCCACCATCCAGTCGTCATATGGAGTCTTTGGAGTCTCTACAGTCTACCAGGCTGTTCTCCGGACAGTTTAACGTGGTTCTTCCGATTATCCGGGAAAAACTCTGGGCTGCCTCAAGCGCGAGGAACTTCACACCAAGGCTTCATTCACTATATCCGATCGAGGTTTGAGTGGTGCAGATGTATTCGTAATATAATTATGTGACCAGGATGCAATGCAAGGCAGGTCATCGTCCAAAATCCCTTAGTAAAAATCAGGCCCATAAAAAAGGGGACTTTTGAACCAGGATTCAAGTCTTTTTTTTGTTTTGGATCATCCATGGTTCACGATACATCATATCGAGGGACGTTGCTTTGGTTTTCCTGTTTTGCCTTTGAAACCAAAGTAATCAATAATAAATTAATAATCAGCGCTTTCGGGTTCCCACGAGGGTTACAAGGGAGACTGTTCGGGCGCGTTGTATTTGAACCCCTCCAGCCATTCCTCAGCCACAGGAGAAAAAAAGAAAATACTTCCAAGAAATTCTTATTTTAGCGCCTGGGCAGGATTTGGGTCTGCTTTTGAGCGTGAGGCTGGGTTGGGTGGATGTCCCGTTTAGCGAGGGCAAGAGGAAGCAAGCTGGGTCCCCCGAAAGCCGCCACAGACGCCGCCACGATGAGGACAGGAAAAATTCTGACCGGAATTAAAGGAGTTAGTTAGTTGGCCAATTAAGTGCAGCGGCGATGAGCTTTTTCGTGTCGCGCATAGGTGTGCATTAAGTACGGAGTAGTTACTCAGTAGATGACTGAGAAAAAAAGAATCCGACACAGAGATAGACATTCATATGTCAAACCACAACCTCACAACAACTGACGTTATTACACTTGTCTCTGGGCTGGGATCTGAGATATCCGGATAATAAGAACAGTAGAAACGTGTTCTGTGTAGAGTTCAAAGTTCAAACCTGGTAAAATAATCCTGTTTTGTTATCACCAAAACTGAACCGCTGGCGGCCTGCCTGCGGAGTAAGGTACGTACCAAGCTACCCGTCATATCGCTCTGTACCCGGGGGAATGGCAGGTTTGGCTGGTTGAAATTCGCGGGGCAGGTCGCTGCGGTTAAGCTTAGAACTTAGGGGGGGGGTTTCAATCCATGCCCGTGAGCGCTGCAGGCGGTCGTATCACGAATGCACGATGCGCGCCATATAATTGGAGCAAACGTGTTCAAACAACGAGACCAAAGGGAACGATTGAAAGCCTTGACCTCAATTGAACCCACCCAGGAACCCCCTTGCCCACCAGCTGAGCCTCAGCTCGGATCACGGAGGCATTATTTTTATTCTTGCATACAAGAAAGGAGCGAAAATAGTATCATCATAATGATGGAAGCTGGCGCTGGATCTTGACATCTTGAAAGAGCCGCATCGGCCAAAGCGAACCGAAGCCCGGCCGCCATCAGTCATCTTGAACCTTCACCGTCAGCTTCATCCAATCTCGAACCCACCTCTTCAGCTCATCGTTATTACAGACTATCCCTATTGTTATCAATTTCTTTCTTGTTCTCGCCTCTCCAGAGTCTCCACTGCTGCTTTCCATTGTTCGTTCCATTGGTTTGTTTCCCCATACCTCTCACTCTTTTGTCATTGTTGTTTCATTGTCGGGCCCGCACTTCTCCAGGCTATCCCTAGTGGAGTGGATGGGATAATAACCCCCGAGATCGCAGCACAACCTCACCGACGCCGCGCTGTTCCGGACCCCCAGTGGCCAGTTGTATCGCTGTTTGCCCCCAACCTCTCGCTAGTCAACTCAATCGTCACTCGCTTCTCCACTCCCCAAATCTTGCGACTACTTCTGCACGCTCCAGGCGACTTGTTTCCTGCTTGTTGATTGCTTCTATTAGTATATTGAGAGGATTCAAGATTTATCCCTCTGTTATCCCGTATTCAGCACTGTCGAGAGTCTCGATCGTGTTGTGATTACACACCTGGGGGTCCTCAAGAGCGAAGCTTTGACGATCATCGGGTCTCCGTTGATATCATCTCTTGTACGTGCAACTGGCTGAATAAAACTGGGCCTGCGCTGTTGATCTGCTGCTCCATTGAATGTGGAATTCATCTCCTGCCACAACAAAAACTTCCAAAGAGAATAACTGCGAATATCAGGAGGACTTGGATTCCTACAGCCTGACTGCGAAGCCCCTCTGGCTCATTCTGGATCGTGAATGCTTCCGAATCCTGGCATGACCATTTGACGAGAATATCCATTCAGAGTGTAAATTTTCTCCACCTCTTGAGAGCGCTGGCTGCAGCTTTTTAACTTTTTTTCCTAACTATCTAGTTTACAGAGCTGAACGACAGGGCTGTGATAACAGATACTCCTGCCTTCCCCTCGCTTAAGCGCCTCCCTTGCGTACAAATTCCCCGACTTTGCGAACCGCCTCATTGTGGCCCAGATTCATTCCGCAAGTTGCACGCAATATCCAGTTATCCCACACACATTTCCTCTTACAGCCGCGCTCCTTTTGGAAATACTTCTTTCTGCTTGGATAACAAGAGGTCAATTGTCCAGGAGATACCTTAAGATATCATTCACAATACTGCAGGAGGAGAGCGAACGACGCCGCCAAACATGGCAACCGTAGTCGCCCCGGAACAGTCACAGCACACCCTACCTCCTCTCCTTCCAGCTCCATCAAACAGATCGCCCCCCCCTCCAGACTTCAAGCAACAAAATCTTCCTCAGCTTCCGCGCCACCCTCCACCTCCTCCACCTAATCATGATCTGAGTCAGATCCTTAATTCTGCTCCCAAGAGAAAACCTCTGAAGCCCCCCCCGCTCGAGGTTCTCGATAATGCTATTGTCCACAATTCTCCTGTCTCTCCTGTAGTCATTGATCCTCCGTCAACCCTGCCCCAAGCTTCCAGTGTCCCAATAGAAGATGATGTGAGAACCTTCCCTTCTAACTCCTGGCGACCGGACGAGTTGATGCTGGATAGTCCTGGCACAACACAGCTCCCACCACGCCAGAGCTCACTTTCACCTACGACCAACTCCACCCTCTCTTATCAAACTCTCCCGTATCGCCACAAACTTTCGGATAGCGTACCGGAATCTTTACAAAGCATCCCAGAGCGCAAGGATTCGCTACATCCTGACCAATCTCAGCAAATGACATATAAAATCAATCATAGCGGAAGCCGTGGTGGCTCATCTCGAGGTAGCCTTGAAAGCATACCCCAAGAGAATGAGTTATATCAACCATTACAGTATCACCATATGGCTTTCGAAGAGAATGTATATGATAGAAGTGTTAACCGTGGGTCAAAGAGCTCCATAAAGTCTGCCTCTGGCTCTTCCTTGGGAGGTGAGCCAGGACCAGGGGTATATTCGCAAAACTATTTGGCGCCAGCACGAGGCTCAACGCATGGACTTACAATTCCACGACCCATTTCAGCATACTCGTCTTCGTCGGATCTTGCAGCGCGAGGCCGATCTCCACAGCTCTCCCCTAATATTCATGCCCGTGGTGTCTCTGCACATTCCGCCGCGTCACCAGATACCCGACCTCTCTCTTTCGTAGACCTCCTTAACGTACCATACCCTCAGCCTGAGCCAGGCGCGGGAACCTTGGAACATGCCCATCTACGCCCGTTGGTTGGAAACAACGCATCCCTCCTTAGCCACAAGCAAACTTTTGACATGTATTTGGCCAATGTTAAGAAGACAAATGATCCTGCCGCTCAGTACGAATTTGCTGTGTTCATGATCAATTCCAGCCAAGCAACCGAGGACAGCCAAGCGCCTACTGACTCAACACAGCCGGAGAAATCCAAAGATATAACTAAGGCTAGCCTATTACGAGAAGCTAAATCAATCCTCCAACGCCTTGCTGACCGTAGTTATCCCTATGCCCAGTACTACCTGGCAGATGGCATTGCGTCCGGTCTTCTTAACAAGGGTAAACCCGACTATGATAAAGCGTTTCCGTATTTTGTTGCTGCGAGTAAGCATGGCCACGCAGAGGCTGGCTACCGTGCTGCCCTATGTTTTGAATTTGGCTGGGGAACCCGAAAAGATGCAGCCAAAGCTGTCCAATTCTATCGCCAGGCAGCATCAAAAAATCATCCGGGAGCGATGTCAAGACTCGCCCGTGCATGTTTAGATGGTGAAATGGGCCTCGTTAAACGGTACCGGGAAGGTATTACTTGGATGAAACGGGCAGCAGAATCTGCAGATCACCAATACAACTCTGCGCCCTATGAACTTGGCCTGCTCCATGAAACCGGATACGGGGATGACGTTTTCCAAGACGAAACGTACGCCGCGCAACTATTTACGAAGTCTGCGGAGCTAGACCACCCCGACGCCGCTTATCGCCTAGGAGACGCTTATGAACACGGCAAGCTTAACTGTCCTGTCGATCCAGCGCTCAGTGTGCATTTCTACACATGCGCTGCGCAATTGGGACACCCCATGGCGATGATGGCATTGTGTGCGTGGTACATGGTTGGCGCTGAGCCTTTGCTTTCAAAGGATGAAAATGAAGCATATGAATGGGCTAAGAGTGCGGCTGAACTAGGTGAGCACTCGGAAGTCCTTATTTACACCTCACTGCCCAAATCAAACTTAAACTAATTTTAATCCCCGTTGAACGCAGGTCTCCCCAAAGCACAGTATGCTGTTGGCTACTTCACTGAAATGGGCATCGGATGCCGCCGCGACCCCCTCGAAGCCAATGTTTGGTACGTCAAAGCAGCTGACAAGGGTGACGAGCGAGCGAAGCACCGCATGGCAGCAATCCGGGCAGCAGCATCTGGTGCAGATCCCAAGTCCGCGGCGTCCAAACGACGAAATAAAGGAGATCACCGAGCTGCCTCTCCAGGTGAGGGAGCATTTCTTTTCCCCCTATCTTTGACAATTAGTATACTTGAAATTCCATGAACTTTTTACTAATTTGCGAAATTTTTTCGGTATATACGCAGATGACAAAGGCAAAAACAAAAGATTCATGATCTTTTGATTTATTTTGAATTTGAATTTTGAAAAGTTCGTTTCTTGAAATCTAGTTTTCACGCCTCGCATATACGATTTCTCAGATTCATCCACGGTGCCTTTCTTGCCTCTTGAAAAATCAATCAGGTCTGACGTTGGATACCGCCGCATATATTTGATGTCGTAATATTTTGATATCTGCCCGCTCATACATATACTTTTACACTAATATCTCTCGTCAATTTATCTTCCTGGCTGTGTCCCACTATCTTGTTTTTATCATTCACTACGATACCATACTTTATTTTACTGACCATATACTAATTGAAAGCTAACTTCCCATTTTCCCGCTGGTTGTTTTTTTCTTCGTTGAGAAAAACGCCTTTCCTATGCCTCTTTCCCCTCAGGTCTATGCTCTCCTAGAACTGTATTGTGCGAATTTTCGTTCACGCATGATGCAAGATATGGCTCTATACCTCTCCGTTTATTTATCCTGCTCTGCTAGTTTCCTACTTAAACCCTTTCTTCCCCCGCCATCTCGTCGTTTTCCTTAGAAAATGGCCACACCTGTCGACATAGCGTTCAGGTAATGAAGAGGCTCTCAGGTGTTTGATACAGCGCAGAAAAAAATAAAAAATAAAAATCGAATCCGGGGTCCATATATAAAGGGGTCAACTAATCATCTCTCTTAAAAATGCTTACTTGTTATTTGAATTCTTTCGGTTTCGGTTTCCTTGCCCTCTTGGAGCTAATTGTTAATGCATTGATCTGATGACTCTTGGTTCCTTCTTTTGTTATTTCTCTTTCTGTTCCGGCATGGCTCTTGACTTATCTTTTATTTCTGTTGTTGCTCTTACATCCTCTTTTTCTTTTATTTTATTTTTTTAACTTTTACTCTGGATCGTTCATGTCTTGTTTCTTCGCTATGATTGGTTTTATTAGGTCACATACACATACACATACACATACACTTAAACAAGACAATTTAATCCTGGTTTTTAACCATATCAACACAAACCCTCCCTTAAGTCGGTTGTTCTCTAAATCGCAGACAACTTTGCAAGAGAGCCAAAGTAGACAACACCCAATATTTTCATCATGAAATCTACACTTCTGACCCGTGGCCCCTTTTGAATTACTCATCATGTGTGGCTTATACCCTTCGGCATATAGAAGCAAAACGCTGTTCCCTTCCATCTTGTGTTCGGGATTACGTATCCCTCAGGTTCGGTTTGGATGGTAAGATACACGGATGGATATCAATAGCCTTGAATGGGAGGTACACGTGGCTGGTGAGTTTGCTCAATGGTCTTCTAACATTTAATAGCTAATCACTTTTTATCTTGTAATGCACATGTACATACATAATCTATTTTCTCTTCTTAGTTGTTTTTCTCAGGTGTGTTGCTCGTTCGTTGATGGAATAAATAGTAGGCGGCTAACCAGCGCAGGATTTCCTTTCTCGGCATCCTGCCAACGCTCACGCACTACGCTACGTCAAGAAAGCTGAGGAGGTGATTTAGATTTAGAGGTATCGTTCCCGTGCAGCAAGATCTGATCTGTTGGTTGTTGATTTTGGGAAGACCTTACCTATGTTTGAGAGCGGTCCAGTACTCGCTACAGCAGGCTCAAGCTAGATTACACGCTCGCAAGAATGTTCTTGGCTCCAGGGTCACAACATACATCTATCGACTACTAGGCCGCCTGGTTAGAAAGGAAAATCCAACATTCCGATAACCCTTGGGGCTATTGCAATAAGTACGAGATTGATGCTTGCTGAATGGTCCCCCAGTTTAACCCACCAGCTAGGATAACTTGAGGGGTTAGAAACAAACCACGAAAAATTGAGGATGAAGAATTTTACATGGTCTGTATGGAATAGCTGTTCCCTGGAAGATATTACAGAAAATAAATGAGATAGATCTATTAAATGTTCTATCTAAATTCAAAGACGTTATTCTAAGCCCGCGCCCCCCGGAAAACAAATGCCAGCGCTGATTTATCAAAGGATAGAGGAGATGCCCTTTTGCCCTAAAGAAAGAAACAAAATTAAAAGCAATGAAGGGAGATCTGGAGTAGGAAAAAGGGCGCTACGTCCATATGCTGCCCAATGGGAATAACGTGACGTATACAAGGGCAAACATATCCGAGTACAGATACATCAAACCCAAGGAAGATGGGGGAGGAAGAGATCATAGAAAGGTTATTATATATAGTAGGTCGCTGATAAAAAGAAAAAAGAAACAAAATATCATCACACGTGATTTGTTAGGACTAATCCGATAGCTCTTCCTCCGGATTTTTGGAGATGGTCTTCTTCTCCCTGATCGTCTGATCCGAGTCGATCACCATGGTCAGTGAATAGCTTTCAGTTAGGGTGCTAAGAAGCCCAGCAACACCAATGAGGGCACAGCAGACAGCCCATACGATGCGCAAACTGTCCGTGTACGCCTCTTTAAGGTGCAGCTTCTCAGGCCCATCTTCCATAGCCAGAACCACCCGAACAAGCCCAGCAGCGTCTTTGCTCAATGTTGCCGCAGTGGTAGCGAATTCCGGGTATCTGAGCAAGTTCTTTCGCATCTCGTTTTGGAAAATGACACCACCCACGGCAACGCCGATTGCCTGGCCGAATGCGCGGAAGAAGCTGAAAAACGCGACTGCAGTGGCCATGTAGCCAGGTTTTGCGGATGCCTGGATTGCAAATCCAAGGGCAGGGAATAAGAGGCCCAATCCCATACCGGCGGGAAGCAGAAGAAATATCCAGGCTGCGATGCTGGTGTTGACGTCGAGAATGGTGAAGAGTCCCAAACCAAGCGTAGATAGGACGAATCCCAACCAGACTGCCCAGCGCCAATGGCCTGTTTTCGTCACGAGAATACCGGCGATGGCAGCGATAGGGGCGACGGTGAAGGTCATCGGGAAGAGGGAGATTCCGGCGACTATGGGAGTGTATTCTTTGACAGTCTCAAAATAGAGGGGCATGTAATACAGGCCACACCAAAGGACAAGGCCGTGCAAGGTTGTCTCTATGTAACTTACGATTGCTGTCCTGGTTCCAAAGATGGCTATGGGGAGAATGGGATCGTGGGCCAATTTATACTCGTAGATCATTGTCACGATGAGCCCAACGAAGCCGATGAGAAGTGGAGCCAGCGTTCGCCAAGAATCCCATTCATACATCACACCACCCCAGGTCACCGGAATTAGGAATGAGGTGGTGCTTCCAATAAAGAGAACCGTTCCGATGTAGTCGATACGGCGCAGTTTCGACAGCAGCGAAGAAGGGACAAAATTCAACTTCAAGAAGAGGAGGATCAACACGGCTCCGACACCAATGAATGGAAAATTTATATAGAAGATCCACCTCTGTAATCCAATAAATTGAGGCTATTAGCGAACTATTCCTTCCAGGCAAAAAAATAATTCTAACCGACTTTAGATGAGGAAAAAAAGCATTGGCGGGATTCAATAGACTTACCCATGAAACATTTTGGGAGAAACCACCTCCAAGAATTGGGCCAGTAACTGAACCGACACTCCACATAGCACTAATGATACCAAAATAAGTACCTCGCTCCCTCAGTGGAATAAGGTCAGTTATTACAATCTCAGTGAGAGCAATAAGCCCACCACCACCGACTCCCTGGATGGAACGTCCAACTAGCATGTTGGTGAAGTTGTTTGAAAGGCCAGCAATAAGGGTCCCCACAAAGAATAAAGTGAGTGAGACAAGTATCATTGGCTTGCGGCCGAAGATATTAGAGAATGAAGCAAAATTGGGTTGGAAGACTAATCACGGCGGTTAGTCGAGTCATTATAAAAAGGGATGTATAAAGTTTGATATTTACCCGTAGAGCACAGTAAAAAGGAAGTTCCACTCCAAAACGCTTCAATAGCGGTACCTTTTAATTGCATTGCGATTATCTATTGATGTGATTTCAGCAAGAACCTTATACATGTTGATGGAAATGGGTGGGAGTCAGCAGGTATTGTGTACAAACTTACCGGTAGAGCGACGGATATGGACGTGCCATCCAATGCGACCATCAATGTGAGTACCGCGAGAGTCATTAAAACAAGCCATGTCCGGGTAGAAGGGTGGAAAACTTTGACATCGCCAGCATTGTCAGACAACGAGGACGAGGAGGGGGTGGCGGCAGTGTTGTTCATGTTATCGGATCTTTCTTTGGAGTAATCTTCGGAATTCCCTCCTGAGGGCATAGTATTTTGGTCTGCCCTTTGAGTATGCGCTTTAGCCGTCGTAAGTTGAATAGGAAGCAGTCGTGGTTCTGGCCAATAGAGAAGAAGGAGCCAAAGGCTTTTCAGTCTTCAATTTGTCAACAAACGGAAGTTCTCGATGCTATGGCGTGTTCTTATAGTTGTCAATGGAAGTCAGTATACCGTAGAAGAGGAAGAGTGCTTGAGTCAAGAGATAGGCAATTTCAATTCCATCTGAGGTTTGTTGAGGCATATATAACATTTAGTTATACAGAAATGGGATAAACTTGAACAAGGGCTATTCTGCAAGCACGGGCTTTGCATTAGTCCGTAGACAAGCTCTTGAGACTGGCGGGATAAGTTACAATATAACGTTATGGACCAACTCCTCGTCATGGCAGCAGTTCAGATTAGGCAGACCCTTTTCTTGTTATTTCTGGGATCTTTGAACAACAATAACAATCGGGCGCATAGAAATCCCCTGACTCCGGAAACTCGGCCGAAGTTTCCACCAGCCTCGCAGCTCGAAGGCCGGAGCGGTTGAAGGATAGCTACCCCAGCGCTTCAGCATCCTTTAACAACACACAAAGACAGTTCCATTAGTTAGTCGGTCCATGAGTACCTGTTAGACCGGCATTGTTCATCAACGGCAAGGAAAGGAATTTCTTGTTAGAACCCTCCATTCTCAGTAGAGGGATCAGAAGTAGTCAACAAAATTCTCAAGAGCTATCGCATGTAACAGCTCAACGTACACCCATGAGCCATCTCATCTCCTAGAGGAACCGTCCAGAGTGTACCGGCAGGCATTCAAAACAAGTCAAACTCGTATCCAGTTTGCCAGCCAGAGTTAAAACTGGGTAAACAGCCCACTGCAACGATAAGGATCTCGACGCGATCTGATAACTTCTGATCTTCCGGCAAGGGGGGTCCCGAGCTCGGGAAGGCAGCCATATTATTTTGGCTTTGAGCTTGTCCATCGCGGGTCAATTTCTGTGGCCGATTTAAGTTGCCCCGATCCCATAACCCGTACGGCGCAATATTCGTCCGATTTGTACAGAGTACTGAGGCGGTGGTTTTTCAACTCAACCCGGGTCGTTTGGTTTCATATTCTCTTTTATTTGAATGAATGCAGCTGAATTACTCACGCTTTTATTAGCTTTGTTCAAGGATTCCAGTTGTGTATTCATTCTCAAACTCAGATGCTTTTCATGTTAATTTGTAGAAAGAAAGTGTTTAAAATGTTTAAAACAGTTTTTATAACTTAATTTTTTCTCTTAAAGTAGTTTTCAATTTATAAAAGTATGTTTCAGATGATTTTCTTCAGTAGTATTAAATACTTTTTGTATTTTGAAGTATATTTTTACAAAATTGTTATTCTGTTTCTTATTCTTATTATTATTTATTATTATTTTTCAATTATAGATGTTTACAGTCAGAGACTATAATATCTATCTGAGAACTAAAGTTCTCAGAATTTTTTAGTATTGTTAACTAGCTAACTAATATACATTTATCAATTTCAGATATGCAAAATTAGAAAATTTTAGCTCAGAATATAAAAACTCTTTATAAATTGTAATATTTTCAACATCTTTTCAATAACTTGAAATTATTTAAAAGATATAATAAAAGAAACAGTTTTAAAAATAGACAAAATTAAAAATAATGATAAAAAAGAAAATAAAAGAAAATAATAATAGAAACTTTAAAAATAGTAATTGATTATTTAAATAAATTACATCTTAATTTCTTATATTTTTTCATATTTATAAAATTCTGAATTTAATTATTGTTTTATA